AAGTTTTCTAGTAATGATGAGTCCCGCTCGTGTATGAATTTCAAAACAATCATCAAATTGAAGCTTTTTAACATGAAAATTAAAAGAATGAAAAAAGAAAACAAAGTTTTGATATCTAAGCAAAAATCGATACAATCAAACTTAATTAGATTAACTTCGCTTTTATTTACATAAAACTAACTAAATACTTTGATTTAATAATTTTCAAATTAAAAACAATGTTTCTAAAGCGTTGAAATAAATTAATCACATTTTCGTAATATTAATTGCGTTATCAAAAATCTAAATGCAGTCGAGAGAAAACTGTTTGACAAATAAATCTGATTAATAGTCAAGAGAAACGCAAAGAGACGAATCTTCCTGCTTCCCAAAATTCAACTTCACACCGACGATATTCTTCTTCAACTGCCAGACGATTGCTCAAAGTATTCACAAGCGAACTATTCAGTGGTGTATCTAATACATATGAAGATCCAAGCGGTTGTGTATGAGTTGTTGGATCGCGTATGTGACAAACTCTTATGATGGTGTTGTTCTTGGCGTTTATTTTTTCACCTTTAGTGTGCCTTGTTATTTTCCTTTTCCACTTTTTTTCTTTCCTTTATTTTCTCATTTTAACGCTACACCATCGTTGGTCGTCAATGTGTTGGAAATCCTCGACATTGCGTTGTTGTATTTTCTCTCCCTTCTTGTTAAGTACACCACATTATGTCTCCGGAAAAAAATTAAATACACAAAACATGTATTTCAACACAATAGAAGAAAAAAAAAAGCTCTCAGTCGACTCCACCCATAAGCCATAAATTCTTAAACAAAGCTTTTAAAGTCAAGAAGAAATGAAGTCAAATCTCTGTTGTGATAGAACGTTTGATATGGTTTCGATTTCCGTCAATCAATTCGCTGTGGAGTAAATAAACGCTTGAAAAAATATATCCACGATAACGGAAGTTTACTTAAACTACTTGAATTAATCATCTATCATCAAAATATCGATGAACGGAATATTAAAAACTGTGAAACTTTAAATAAACTAACATTAAGAACAATGTTGCCAAACTTCACATGAACTAACACTGTTAAACAGTGAGTTCTCTCAATTTTTCCCCTTGGGCGTGGCATCGTTCAATTGCGCAAGAGAATGCAATACAGTACCAAATGCAATGTTGTCCTTTATCTCTCAAAAGCAGTTTAACCAGCCATGAAAAAAGCTTTGCCTGAAAGGTTCATTTCGATGAGAAGATGACAGTCATTGATTTCTATTGTTAACAAAATTAAGAGAACAAGTTGTTGGTGATTTTCGGAATAGATTGAATCTAAGAAGTATCTTGAAGTGATTTAATTTGATTGGAATTCGTATATATTTTTTTTTGTTTTCTTATCCATGACTTCATCTTTATTGCTTGAAGCTTAGAAGTTGTTTGATTAGTTTGTCATAGTTGAAGATGAACAACATGTAATTACGGTTTGTTGAACTTTGTGAAGAAAAGAAATTTTTAGTACGTATTAAGAATTTCTGGAAACACTTCAGGTCACTTTAGATTTTGCCATTCCAAAATCGCATTACGTTCCTTATAAATTTCTTTTATTGTGAATAACAACAGCAACAACAACAATGACAACAAAGTAAAGTAGAATTTTCGAATGCCTTCAAATTAAATTAACCTTACGTAATTTTTATAGTAGCAGCCTTTGAAAGCTGTCAGACATGGACAGGAAGCCGGTAATTGAGTATTGATGTTTAGAATTTAGAAATGAAATGGCAGCGTTTATATAACGAATGCAGTACACATGTTGAAATGATTTCCATCAATTTATACATATGGGTTCATAAAGTTTCAAGCATGAAACACCTATGAATGTAGTTCAGTCACGCAAAGCCACTGTTCACGACTAAAGCCAACTAAAACCGAACGAATAAAAATATTTTCGTACGACGACGTCCAAGTTTTGAATTAATTTTGCAAAATTTCCTCAATTTTTATGCTCGCACTTCATTACCACAACCGCCATCATACTTATCCACCTACAATGTTCATGAATTTCTATTTAAAAGTAGAATGTTTAAGAAACGAAACCCTAGAGGGTAAATTTCGAGGGTTCCTTTCATTCAATTTCTAATATCTAATCATTTGCCTTAAACACTTGGAAATATGATCTGTGTTGATGTAAAATCCATTTGTAGTTATTACTAAGGTTATTATACAAGAACAAGGATAGGACTGATCCATTTCTTTAATTTCCGTTAGTGGTGTTTTGTCTGACTACTGAAACGTAATGGTAGAAACTTTTATTTTGGAAATGAAAACATTTGTTTTTTCACCTCTCATTACAATTGATTGAATGGATGTGAGAAACCCTCGAATGGCTATTGATGGATGCATGACGCATAAAATTAAAAAGTTTATGCATTTTTCGCCCGAAAAGCATCGAATCATAAAAAATAATATTTTTCTATCATGTCTTCTGATTGATTTGGGTTGAAAATCAAATTCAGTGGTGCGTGAAAGTTTTTTTTTGTCGATCTTTTTATTTCAAATGTTCAACTTCGTTTCTCTCCAATGCTTTTTTTGAAATTCGTTTGAAATTGAATTAAATTTCCAAAAATTCTTGCTTTTCTTCTTTTTATTGTCATAGTCAAACAGCAAAGTGCATGATGATGATGTTCAAGTAATGTGCAATTTTGTCTTCTGTCATCATTCAAACCGGTTCAGTTTCAAAAGAAAAATAAATTCTTCGAATCCATAAACATGAATTCTGGGCGATGAATTGAGTGATGATGTTTAATTACTCACAAAAAATGATTTAAAATATAACGAGAAAAGTCAGTAATGAAAACCTCTTCAATCACATTTTGTATCACATCAAGTTTCATCAAGTTGAAAAGCGAGACGTGAACTTTTAATGGGAAAATGAATTTCTCTTGTATGAAATTTCTTGGCACCATTAACGAAGACAGTTGTGCTTTATGAATATTTATAGAGGCAAGAGAAATTATCACATTTTTCAGCACTTTAAAATTAAGAAATTATTTTGTGAATTCTTTCAGCAGTTGTTGCATATTTTTAAGAAATCAAATTCAATTTCATTACGCAAGTAGTGTGACTTAAAGCGGATAATAAAAAATATTGTGGCGCATTCATCACATTAAAATGAGAACACTTTTATCTTTCATGTTCATCTATCATCATGATCAACAGCAGCAACAGCAGAAGCAGAGTCAGCACAGCTATTCAAACGTGAAAGGGTCTATTCAAAGATTTAGTTTGTTCATTCCTTTTTGATACGGTACAGAACTTTGTGTTTAATGATGTTATCTAAATGACAGCTGTCTTTAGCCAGAGTGCTAATTAAAATGATTTTTATATTGACGAAAGGAAATAGCGTGCAATCATATAAATCTCAAGAGCACAAAATTACAAGAAAATGAGATTATTAATTAGCGTTTAAGCAGTTGAAAGCATGACATGCATCTGCCTCTGGAATGTTTTTCTTATTCTTAAAGAATAATAAAGGACGTTTAAGAAATAATAAAAATGGAGGCAGAACAAAAGAATCAAAAACGACAACGTAACACAGAAGTTTTAATAAAATGAAATCTTTTGTGATCATCAACTTAAAATGCATGAAATTTAATTCTGAATTCAACGCCCGCAAAATACTGAAAAATGCCTGCCAATTAAATTTGCGAAATCTTTTCTTCAAGTTTACAATTTCTATTCAAATTTGCGGCATTTTTTCCTTCTACTCGACAAAGCATTTTCATTCACTCGAGTCACCAATGATCATTTGCAATGTTTTTAAGACATAAGAACTTTTTATTTTGTCTTCATGATCAGATCAAAATAAGATTTCACAGAAGTGAAGTCGTAAGATCAAAATAAGAAACATAAAAAAATGGCACGCAAGAGAAAGAAGAAAAGCGCCGATCCCGAGAATTTTAGAAGTTATTTTAGAAACTGCTTTGTAAGCACTTACATCAGAGGCGAGGCCTATATGATATTCAAATGCTTATAATAAAACCAAAGTGCTCTAATTCTTAACCCTCGTGCAGTTACTTAATATGCAAACGCTCCCACTCTATTCTGCATCTTCTTTCAACTTTGCAGTTTATAATGCCTGGAAATTAACTGAATAAAACATTTTGTTTTATAAATTTCGCATGGCCTGAGACATATCGCAATAACTTATTAAGATCAGAAGGAAAACGCGAGATCAGAGAAAAGCGTTTGCTTTCCGTTGGCGCCTGGCGTCTAAGAACACTGTTCCCTTTAACATGAATTGAAATGGGTCGCAATATTTTTTTTTTCCTTCTCTTTCTCTTTATACTTTGCCGGGACCGCTAAGGGTTTTGTTTGTTGTTTTGTTTCAGTGAAGAAGCCTGATTTCTTTAATAAACGCATAATTAAAAGACGTGATGATCTGGTCGAAGAATCCAAATTAGTTGGCATAATTATTTCCACCAAATGATGCAAAAAATTCTTCCATGTGGTGCATAAATATTTGATCTTGTAACTCTTTGTGACGATTAAAAGCCGAGCCGATCTCAACCAACCTCCGCTTTGTTTTGCGTTTTATTTAGATTGTTTTTGTATTTCAGCGCATGGAGATCGTTGGCGAATCTCGACCGAATAAAGAAAAGCATCAAATTTCATTTCCTTTGATCATGGTTTTAAAGTTTTTTAATTTCAATCGCCAACGGTTTAACGAACACACTGGATTTGGTTTTGTCGGCATTGCGGTATAACAAGACAAAGTCACGCGAGAATTTCTTGATTAATTGATTCTGGATTTGAAACACCTTTTGAAATATCCAATCGAAATGAATTTATTGTTGACTTCTTAAGAGAATTTTCAATGGAAAGAAGAAAATTTTGCTGATCAATGAAAAACATTTTCATATTTTCATAATAAGTATTGATGTTGTCCTAACTTCTACTCTTTTGTGAACGAATTTCATCTCCTACTTAAAGTGATAAGGGTGATGTTCATATCTTAAAACCTTCTTTTATTCTTCGTGATTCAATATATCATGTCTGAAATCATAAAATGAACAATATGACTTTTTTTAGAAGCCATCGTAAGTTTTTCTTCGATAGGAAAATATTTGAAAGTTACGTGATGTTAACATTTTCATATATTCTTGATATAATCAAAGCTTAAAATTGACAACATAAATTTATTACTAACTTGTGACGATACTCGTGAAATCTTCCCAATAGAAGAAAACTATAAAAGAAAATCATTTGGACACTTAAGGAGAGAATCTTCACATATGAATGTGAGATATTTTTAACGTTTCCTTGGCAACACCCTATTTCAGTCATGGCAATAGATAATTCATTGAGGAATTCTTAAACAGTTTCAATTCCAACAGCAAAAAGTCTCAAGATTTTTTCTTTTCTATCCCATAATTTATATAAAATGATAGAAGTGAATGCAGCTTAGTAAATTTCTGCACAAAAACAGTATTGCATTAATGAACGGAATGGAATTTCTCTGTATGGAAATATCTATGATGCTAATTACTCTGTAGCTTTGAAAGCAATTCAGGAGAAAGTGGTAAACAAAACAAAGAAATAAATCATTTGAAAAATCGAGTATCATGGTTGGAAACAAATAATCACTTAACGCCACGTGATCATTGTGTGACATTTCCTTCCGATTTCTAACCCTAAATCTTCTGCTATCATTATGTAAAGAGAATGATTTGTAAGTGAAATCTAGCAGCAATCAATGAATTGACAAATTTAGATTAAGCTAGAGGTCTAATGGAGAAACTATAAAAGATAACTTAAATGTAGAAAAATTACGAAAGACTTACGAGGATTAGTTTTAATGATTGCAATGAGATCATTCAGTTCAAATAATTAGCAATTAGACAGTCATAAAAATTTGAATAAAGAAATAAAAAATGATTAAAAATTTAAATATCTTAACAATTATACATCAACGTGTTAGCTAACAATAAACACATCAAAGAATGAGTTCAAATCTCAACACGTTTCTTTGTGCAAATAAGATTTTGCATAAAAAATGCTGCTACATAAATAAAACATGTTTTAAGAGTTTAAATAAAAAATAATTCAATAAATTAGTTTGCCACATCAATTTGCAAGAAACATGAAAATTTGTCCCTGGCTCGATTTCTGGATATTTTATTCAAACATTTATAATGTAAATAAAAATATCATCAAAGACCTGGAAAAAGCAGCAAGTTTCCAATGACGCTAAGATCAACCAAAGCAAAAATGCTCTAAGCTATGCTTTTGTCGTTATTAAACATTGAATCAAAACCAGTAAATTGTTTGGTCGACGCCATTTCATATTTTCTTTTTCACTTGTTTTTCAAACGTAATAATTCTATGGAAAATAGCAGCAGACACTCGATGCTGGAGACAAATTTATTTGCATACATATGATGGAGTTATACGAACAATAATGGCAGTAGGCTGAATTTCAATGTTACGTTGTCAAATAAATTTACATCAAATTTAAATTATTCCGATGTCGACTGATATTTCTAGAGACTCCCATAAACGCTCTATGGAAAAACGATGATTATAATCGCTTTGTTTCATATGCAATGCTTGTGGAAATTCCAATTGTTACATTGAAGGATTTTAGAAGCTAAAGGACGCTTTTTCATACATGTTTACTTTGCTCTGCATTTGATTTCGTCAGATAAAAAGCGGCCAAGTCGAAAGTTATAAATGCATCCTATAAACATCTAAAAAACATCCCATGAAATTCATAAATATTGTCGTTGAGGTTTTACATGCTGCAAAATGCAAAAAAAAAAGAAAGAAAGAAGAGTTTCTCTTGTTTCGGATCGAGATTATAACAGGATAAGCATATTCAAATAAAAGGCGAAACATAAAAAAATAACAGAATGAAAACAAAAGCATATGCATGAAAATTGCTGTTATCGTCAGAAGAGCGCCTCAATGATACTCAGGGAGAGAAATGGGAGTCCATTGTCCAATGTCCACCCTCGTCGTTTCAGAAGTTTTATGCGCCTTTGACGATATGAAAAAAAGGTTCGCTTTCGTATCGATTTCTTTCATTCCGAAGCGAATGTATGTACATGTACATATATGTGAAACAGGCACGGAGAAGTTTTATCTGATGTTAATTTTGCTATTTGTTCGAACTTTGCTGTTTCCCAATTGTTTATCGTTGTCCAAATAACAACCCTCATCTACTACACACTGAGAGATATATAAAAATTAAATCACAATTCAATCTACCAAACAACAATAGACGTTTGCCGAAGATATTTGCAATTGATATGCTGTATCAATTTTATTTGCACAATCAATATTCGTTCGTTTTCCTAATGCCTTTTAGAGAAGGAAGATGTATCAAGTAATTGTGAGGGTTGGTTTAGGTTTAGATGTTGTCGTAATTTTTGGCTTTTAAAAACCAACAGAATTTTAAGCGACACAATTATTGTCATTCGCATTTGTGACTGTTGACGTTTAAAATTCTCTGAACTTGATTGTTCAACTTTGAAAATTGTGGAAATTAAAATTGTTATTCATTGCATTCTCGCATAGTAGAAGATTTGATTAACCTAATGAAGATGGTGGATCTGAAGTTAGATGTCGATGCAAACCGAGAAATAATTCCGATAAATATTTGTCTTTCTAATAAACATTGATTAGCTTTGTCTATCGACTGAATGTTATCAGATAACTTAGTAAGTAATTTAATATACAACAATATGATGGCGCCTAATCGAAGACCTTAAATATCTTCGATATTTCCTCGACAACTCGTAAAGTTTAATTTAAGTCTTTCTCACTCAATGATTTTCTATGGTTTCATGACATGAACAACCGTGATAAAATTGTAAACAAATCATTCACTTGTAAATACATCAACGAGTACTGCTAATTTGTCATGTAACTACTATTGCTGATCATAGAAATTGATACGTTATGATTGAAACATGAGGTGAAAACATTTAAGTCAATAAATAGATCAATGACTTTAAATCTAGCAGATTAAAATTTAAGTAAAAGATTTCAGCTTTCTAAATTGCTTAAATGTCGATAAATAAACAGAAAATTATTAGCTTTCATGTTTGTAATGATCATTCGAATTAATATGTGGTTCAAAACATCAGTTGAAGGTTGATTATTAATGGACTTCTCAACATCTACCATTCAAAAACAACATAACAATCTTAAGGAGTCGTTTGTTTACATCGAAACTCAAGCCAAACCTCTAAATTGAGATCTCAAATAAGCTCGTCATTCGTTAGCCTTTCAATGAAACTTGATGTAACGATTTTTGATTGCTTTCATTTTGCTTCGTATCGAGATCTCACTGTTGGGTCTATTAAACACTTCATTGAATTTTTGAGCCGATGAAAATAAGATGTTTATCCACCGCATAGAGAAAACTATTTTCTCATCAAAATGATACGGGTTGTTAGGCTTTAGCAAGCGAGCTGAAGTAGAAAAAAAAAGCTGAAAATCGTATCAAACATTCACTGCTCGTGATTTGCTTAAATGATTTATTGCTTTAGCCATCGTTACTCGAAGGAATGACGATGCAAAAAAATAAAAGGCATTTCTACTCGTCGAACAAAGATATGAACACGAACAATTTTGTTACATTATTATCAAATTATAGGAATCTCGATTTACTCATTACTTATGAAGAGTTGTGAGGTTGGGTGGGCCACAAATATCTTGGCGAAGAGACCCCCTAAGTGTTTTTTCTCCACCTTGCTTCGAGTGAGAGAGATGGAAGGGCCAGAGGAAGGAAAAAGAAGTAGAAAGAAACATAATTTTAAGATCTCCCAGTAAGAGTTTAAAGACGATGTAAGAAATAAAACAACGAAAGCCTCAATTTCGTGCTGTGTTGTGCAAACAAAAATAAAATAAAACAACAACGAGACTCATGTTGCAAACAGCAACAGCAATGCAAATAACGTGCGCTAAGAAAAGCGATACACAACGGCGTTTGTGAAGAAGGAACTTGGAACATTTATGATGTTTAACGTGAAAAACAATTGTTTGCAATCATCTCGATTGAGAATGTATCATTTTGGATGTTATGTGACATTTTTAACGTTTATGATGCTACTTTTGCAACTCTTTAAATGCATCAGTGAATCTGCTGACGAACATGATCATAAAATAGCTTTTCACAACGCAATTCTTCATGCACTGACATCAACATCATCAAGAACGCAAGAAATGTCAACCGATAATTCTTCGAAAGAATCTCTATTTTTGAAAAGAAAGCAAAGGTGCTTCTTTCATTTCAAGCAGAAGCGTTTTTCATCTCTCATCGACAAAGAATTTATTTTCATCGCTTCCAAGAAAAACGAATTGCTACGACACGTCAAAATTTTCTTATCGTAGCAATAAAAAGTTAAATTCAAAGAGACATTATTTCGCGTCGTCTTTAAATGATAAAACAAAAAGTTAATTACGTTTTTCTCTTTCTTGATGAATTTCAATTCCGTGAGAATGCTTTACAAAAGTCGCGATATTTTTCTTAGAAGCGACAAAATGAAATTCCATTTTGTATACGTTTGATTTGAGTGTTATTAATGCGTGCACCTTTTGTTTATAGACATGAATGGGGGTTGCTTATTCGTCGAATGTTTGATGACACGAAATTGTGTTAAGCCTTTTTGCAATTAAAAATGGCGACTTCATAATGCAATGCTTTGAAAGTTCTTACATGTCGGACAACTTTCACAAGCCCTATCGTATATCCAACATAAATATTTAAACCACTGCACTTTTGAGCACTTTCTCATATAGATATGCATACATTAATAAAATATGCATTTGAAAACGCTCACGTTATGAAAGCATATGAAACAATAATACGGCACATGTAATATGAAGGTAATTAGCTTCGTCTTTGTGCATGAACGACGACGCTTTGAATGCTTTGTATATTTATTTATATCTTCACAAACGATCGAGTTAAGATGCAAATAATACAAGCTTACAAATAGAAAAAAAATGAATGTAGATAAACATGAAGTTATAAGCACAAGCCTTAGAAGTGAGAAAATCTCTGTTGTCGTCATGATAAAACACGATTGTAGAATCTGATTAGAGTTTTAAGTAGAATGAAATGCATAATGAGATTAAACATTTGAATTAATTGAATTAAGGTGACTGAAATGCTATCATTTTTCTCATGTTTCTCGCACTTATTTACATTAAAGTATTATCGATGTAACTAATAACTGGTGGAAGCAGTTTTCTTTATTGAACTATATCATTTAAAAATGAACAGCAACATGTCATTCAAAAGATGATATATCATTTGTCTAAGTATCTAGTTGAAGGCTCCGGTAATTAAGTGATCGGATGTGATTTGTATGTTTTTCGCTTCGTCTTGGTGGTCTAAACTAACAATACGAGCAAGGAAGAAAAAAAATTAATAGCATTTTTGTTTCGTTAATTTTTCATTTAAAAACTCATAAAACAAACTCACAAAGATATAAATCGAATATAATTGGTGGCTAAGTTGTGTGAGAGAACGCATAACAAGCTAATTTAAATTATTTCTCTTTCTTCTTGTTCATTGTTGATGTCACGGTATTTAGGAATGGAAGGAAAGAAGATGAGTAAGTCTTGGGAAATTCAACCTCTTCCTAATCATCTCTTGAATAACTTACTAAATACACACTTAACACAGCCGTTGCTACAAATTATAGTTTTCTTTAGAGTTTATTTTAATTTTCTGTCGATCGATAGACGTTGAAATCGTGGGATGGATAATAAAATATTCATTGGGTTCCTACATGTTCATCGCTCGTTATGTATTTTTCAAACATCTTGCGAACGAGTGTCAAAACTTTATATCGAATATAAAGGCCATTAGAATGAGCTCACATGAGGTTGGTTGAGTGAGACAGAGTCTGAGTCTCAAAACGAGACACGCAATCGTCAAATTATTTTTTCATTTCATACAACAGAGAATACACTAATCAATTACACTTCCGTCTTGTTGTTTAAGTAATGTTGGGCTTTAACGTTTGCTTACGTGAAAGCGATTTAATAATAAAAATTTCATGAGATCAAATTGTGAATGGGAAAATAATTTGTAGCTGTCAATGTTTGTCATTAAGGTTAGTGCCACAATGGAACCAACCGTAAGAAAAATTAATTTTGATATTTGAATTATCCAAAGAAAGTTAAATCAGAACAAAAATTACTCACAATGATCTCATGACAAATCCTCTGCACACTTGTCGACCAAAAATTTAAAACCAATTTATTTGAATGCGAAACGAATTCTAATTCGATTTGGTTTGTGGAATGCAATATTTTTATTTGAATCTTTAAATCATTTTATTTTATACGCCAACGACAAACTGGTGTCGTATCTAAGCTGTGTGTTTGCTTGTTCAATTACATTTCATCTTTAGTGAAAGGGAGAAATATCTGAATTGTTTTGTTGTTACGCGTTACAATAAAGTTACTATTGAAGAAGGGAAAGAAATTGTCCCTTCGACGACAATCACAGCAATTAAATTATCGAATTTATTATTACAATTTCATTGCGACAGAAACACACGCTTTGGATTAGATTTGAACGAGACAACTTAACTCTCCCTTGTTCCATGTGATAAGCATCAGATCATAACTCAAATCTCATATTTAGAGAGTGGTTGCAAAGTTGACCATTAAAGCGACAGCTCGGGTAAATAAATTCTAGCAATTACAGTTGATTAATTTGATTTTGAAGCGTTTGAAATTCTTTTAATTTTTGGCAATAAATTAATTAATGAGATTGATATTCGTAATTTTTAGGATACTCTGAAAGATTATCTTTAGTAAAAATCAACAATTTTAAGTATCGATAAACCAACTTTGTTGAGAAATTTCTATCGATTTTCGCCATTAAATGACAGCAGAATAAAAAAGTAGAAAACAAATCTATACGAATCTAATAAAAATTTAATAAAACTTTATTTCATCTTAAATTCTGATTTTATATCCGTGTTATTACTTTGTTTGTTCATTGGTGAATCGTGCTTATGCTGTTAACTAGGAAGATTCAACATGATTTTTTTAAAAATAAAATAGTTTGATAATTCAAGAGTTAATTTGGTAACATTTATAGTTATGAATAATTCAAAGTTCTGTTAAAATTTACATTTATCAAAACTCAACAATTTCTGAATTCTTTTATTTCTCTCAAACATCCCTCATTCCACCACCCACAAATATTCTCCATGAAACGATAGAAAGGAAGTCGGAAGATATTTCGTTTCGCAGCATAACATTATTTATTGATCCTCGTTGAAATCACTCGGCTAATTTAATTTATTCGTCAGCTTCATTTCATTTATGCTTACATGAAATAAATCTGTTTGTATGCAAATTAAGTGCGTAAATTTTCTCACCCTCGATAAGATCGGAAGACAAATTCAATTTGGTTTAGGGTCGGCTACAAAGTCACTGCTGACTGCACCACAAATCATTTTGATATCCGTCACAAGAAACTTTGCTTCAACAGATAATAATGAGTGTGAGGATGACATTGCTTTATTCATTTATTTTTTTTTGTTCTTACATGATTTTTATAACATCATTTGACAAAATTTTTGTGCTACTATGAAGAACATTAAAAAGTCATTGAAAAGTTTGAAAAATTGTGATTTGTTTGCTGAAAAGGAAGTCAATTTGACTCTTCAAAACACGTGCTGTGTTCAGATTCACACGCGCTACTTGAGAAAGTAACAATAAATAAATCGAACATTAGATGACACAAGATAGAAAAATTTGCAATAAATGCAGCAAATGAAATGAGAAGAAAAGCAAGTAATTATGATTCAATCAAGTTTTAGGTCCACTAATTTTCCATGGAAATGCAATGCAGTCAGGAAGGAAGGAAGTTTGTTTAGCAATACTGCACGTGACTTTAAGTGATCATTGCAGTAGGACGATGATAGTCGTAAAAAAACCAATAAACAACATCGACGAGGCTAACTGCAAGCCATGAATCGTGTTTTCATTAGACTTTTCATTGCATTTCTTATCATCTAATTAGGTAAATTAGTGTAAAAGGAAAAGAATTTCGTCGAGCCATGAAAAAGGTTTTAATTGTTAGTTGAGAGAATACGAAGAGAAGAAAATCGTGAGAAAGCAATGATCGGTCCAAACAAGGTGGTCTTAACTCTTTAAGACATTTCTTTAATGCTTCTTATTCATCTCTTAGCTTCATCCTATTAATTCGGAAAATAATTTTATGAACGCTGGCGCCACTACAAGTATTTCTTTTCTTCTTCCCATTCGTCTCCGATGATTAAAATATTTTTCATTCAAAAAACTGTTCATATCTTTTGCGGACGTTTTTGGTTGTTCTCTTTGCTTACATACGTTTTGTTTTTAAGTACTGATGAAAGGGTTAGGGAAAAGAACGACTCAAACTATCTATCTTCGAAATTTTATTTACTTTTTTTTGCGTAAGAAATAAATAATAACCCAACAAGGATTTTTTTTATTGAAACTTGTGTCTTAAATAACATAAACGTTTATTGACAGATACATAAAGTTCAAACATGTTATGGCAATTGAAATTTATTTCTTTATTTTTTAATATTTGAACTTACAACACCATTTAATGAAGAATTTGAAAGCGGTTAAACGTCATTACGATGACTTGACTCTACAATTAATTATTTAGACTCAATTGAATGCATCGCATGACAGTCTTGAGTCGGTCTTAAATACAACCAGTACGCATGTAATTACAATAATTTCAAAGTAAAACCCCAGAAAGTCATCTGTGCCTTCAAATTTGATTCAAATAATCGCGTATTATTTTCTTCGTTTTTCCTTTGTCTCTTTGAGTACTTGAAAAATTCATCAAACCGTGAGGTGATCACATGCAACTTTTATTATGTTAACATTTCGAAATGGTGAAGAGGAACCTATCATATAATTTTCCACTCGATGGAGCTATGTGCCCGAATTCCCAAACAGTTTTGTGAAAATACACTCGAATGAAAATTGCAATGAACGAAAATGACAGCTTATGACAACAGACAATAGAAGTGTCCCCGTTGAACGATTCGAAGTTTGAAAAAATTTCCATTGAATTATAGTGTGGAAATTTGTAATTATTTTATCGTTATTGTTAGGTTTCTAATTTGTACCTGCTGAGGGAAAATACAAGAAAAAAAACTGTTTATTGGCGATTCAATTGAAATGGCACAACGTGAAAGAAATTCAAATTGCGTAAAATTCGACTCCCATTGTTACGATTCTTTACCAAAATATTCTAAGTGAATGAAATATGGAACACCACCGAGTATTTATTTTCGTAGAATTTCTCTTATTTATTCTTTTTTCACAATAGAGGAACATTTTATGAGCTTTTTATCGATCCCTTAAATCAACGCTTTTCACGTCTTTCTTAAACAACATAAACATAAATTGAAGAGATTTTTTTTTCTATATCAAGAGAGATAAATGAGAGCTGCAAAATGCATCGAGTTGCGCATAAAATCAAAATAAGCTCCGCCCATCAATTTACTTGAAGACGAGATGAAGAAATCTGGCAACATAGGAAATTTGACTGAAATGATGAGACTTCGACATTTATATTGAATGTCATGATATTCATCCGACGAGATAGATGTAAACAATCAAAAATATTCATCAAATGTATTCAAGATAATTAATGTCTATTAATCCAGTATTTAACTTCTAAAGTTCCCTTAATCTTCAACTTAATTGCTAACCACCAAAAAAAAGTCAAATCTGACGCTTTGAGCTGCGAAAAGAAAATATTTTTGTCACTTTTCCGCTGGTGTTTGTACATTTCCCCTTTTCACGCCTCTGTGTGTGTATGCGTGTAAATTTGCAGAACGAAAATCTCTCACATTCACGACATCTGCTCGTATGAAGCTTTAGAAGAACAACAGCGTAATCTCACACGTAACTTTGAAAATTTGTAGGCGTTGTTAAGTTTGTTTTCCAATATTTAGAATAAAAAATGAGATTTTAATGCTACTGGTGTTGCTGTTGTTGGTGCTTTTGCACATTCTCTAAAAGCCCCACCATATTTGAACCTCGTTTGATTTTTTCACCAGATTTTAGTGCCAATTTTCACACATACAGACGTTTACTCTTGTCAAAGACGTTTAGTCTTAATGGGAAAGAAAGAAAAAAAGTTCTACGAAGCACTCGATAAACCCCCTCAAAATACCACCCAAAACTCGATATGTATTTTCAACAGTTCAACATTTTTTTCCCATTTTTTCTCAGCTTCAAAAATTTTTCTTTTTTGTGTGCTTTTCGAGACGTCATTTTTCTCTTTCGGAATTGTTTTTTTCATGCTCTATGTAAGCTTGTGTATGTTGGTAAGAAAATTTTTCTCATTTTTCCTTTTTTACTATACAAAGGCGACGAGAAAAAAATGTACGCTGATTTTTTTTGCTTGAAAATTGTTTTGATTTTGTTGTTGTTAGCAGCAGTTACTGGGATTTTTTTTTCTTCACAACTGACACCAGCAGTCATCACCGTTTTCTCGCACCGCAAAGTGGCTTGTTATCTTCGTAAGCTGACTTAGAAAAGTTGAAGCATTTTTAATGATGAACAATCTTTCTTTTTGTAAGAAAATCTTCTTAAAAAAATAATTCGATATAAAGTGGAAGTTTTTAAATTAAGGCATATCACAAATGATTAAAAGGGAAAAGAAATGTTAAGAAAAGTTAAAGTTTTTCTCAATTTAAAAAAGTTGTGTCAAACATACCTATCAAAACTATAAAATAAAGTAAAAAGTTTTTGTGTGTGCAAAATCTTGAACTCCAAAACAGAAAACTTTTGTAGAAAAGAAAATTGAACTCATCTTTAAGACGTTGAATGAATAAAAATCAATAACTGAATAAATAAAAGAAAGAAGAAAATTGGAGCACAAATTGAATGCGTGAAGATTGAAGCAATATAAAAGCGTAAAACTCTCATGAGATCGTGATCAAACTAGAAGAGAAAAGAAAACGTTTTAAATGGAAATCTTCACAAAAAATCATCTTCAAAGTGCAGAATAGACAAAAAATTGAAATTATCTCGAGGGGTTCTATGCTTAACCGTTGTGAAATTCAATCCAATCTCGAGTCTTCCTCTTTTCAAACTAAATGTGTTTATTTATGTGGAAATTTTAAATTCCATTATTTGAACGATACGGTAAACTTCACCTTCTTGGGTTGTTTCAGACACTTCTCGGAATAAAAGAACAAACGAGCATCATTCGTGAAGAACTTTTGTTTAAACAGGAAGAAGAATAAAATAATTTCGGATATTTCTTAAACTAATAATTACTTTTAGACAAACGAATAATTTTGTGAAAAGAAAAACATATTTTTCAAGCAGAAAATTTTTTTGTTACACATTCGACACTTTAGATGAACTTTTCCATTTTTCATCATCAAAAATATGTGATTTTTTCACACCCGCTTTAAGAATTTGATTGGTAATCCACCGCATAAACTCACACCATCTCGAGTGTGGCAAACACATAAATAAAGTGAAAAAAAGACTCTTCTTCTTTATCGCAAAAAGCTTTTCTGGAGTGTTTCGTGTCATATGGGTGGAGTCGACTGAGAGCTTTTTTTTTCTTCTATTGTGTTGAAATACATGTTTTGTGTATTTAATTTTTTTCCGGAGACATAATGTGGTGTACTTAACAAGAAGGGAGAGAAAATACAACAACGCAATGTCGAGGATTTCCAACACATTGACGACCAACGATGGTGTAGCGTTAAAATGAGAAAATAAAGGAAAGAAAAAAAGTGGAAAAGGAAAATAACAAGGCACACTAAAGGTGAAAAAATAAACGCCAAGAACAACACCATCATAAGAGTTTGTCACATACGCGATCCAACAACTCATACACAACCGCTTGGATCTTCATATGTATTAGATACACCACTGAATAGTTCGCTTGTGAATACTTTGAGCAATCGTCTGGCAGTTGAAGAAGAATATCGTCGGTGTGAAGTTGAATTTTTATAGGGAAACAAGAAATCTCGCCGCATTATATTTTTATTAAAATCCATTTCTTGGTAGGATATTCTTATACATTCTCTAAAGATTTATGTAGTGATTTATTTTCTTGCCATGGATTTAAAGTTACAAGTAATGAATTAATATAATTCCTTACTTGCGGATAACTTCCAAATAATTTAAGTGAAAAATAATTCTAATGAAATATTATTGTCATGATAAAATCACGTGAATAAATGATTTTTTTTTTGCGAAACAAAGAAAAGAAAGAAAAATAATATTTTGGAAAATTGATAACGAATGAAAATAAGAAGTGAATTGAATATAAATTAAAGAAAAAAGAAATTAAAGAAATTTTGGAAACAATTGGAATGTTGTAATGAGATACGACGTTCAAGAGTTGCTGCAAACGGATTCGGAAATCAGTCGGACAAATGGGATGGCATATCATCCTTTTCTGCATTTACCAAGACAGACTGATTTCTCAGTCAGCTCTTTGCTGACCGCGGGCATTACGCCAAGCTCTCAATCGTCGCAGTCACCAATAAGTGGTCAATTGTCACCACAAACGCCGATATCTAATACACAACAGCAACAACAGACTATTGTGCCACAACAGCCGACACCAGTGCATCATCCACACCAACCTTACTTTCCAGCTGCAGCTCTTGCTGCTCTGGCTAGCCACACTCCGACTGGTGCACATCAACATTTATACCCAGGTGCTCTTCTACCAAAATTACCTCCACATCATCACGCTCATCATCCATTGGGCACACCATACACAACTGCTGAAGACGTCGTTCTAGCAGCTTCACTTGCTGCACATCAACATCATCCGGCAATGCGCCCATTACGCAATTATCCTGAAGATGATGGTGTTGATGATGATCCAAAAGTGACTTTGGAGGGTAAAGAATTATGGGAGAAGTTTCACAAATTAGGAACAGAAATGGTCATCACTAAAAGTGGACGGTGAGTAAATAAATTCAATAGCTTATAACTCCAATTGTGACTCTGACGAAAGCGTTAAAAAATATTTATTGAATAAACAAATTGTGCATAAAAGTTTTTTAAAGAGAACATAAAAAGTGGAAAATGCAGTGGAAAAAATTGTGCAACTTTTGCCGTCGGGTTAATTGCAATCGTACTAATTTTATGTTCAGCTATGCTCTGCACCAGTAGCAAAAGAAGAAAAAAAATCATAAAATAAAATCTGTGGACACTTTTTGTTATTTAATTAAATGGATATAATTAAAATCAGAGAAAAAGTTATTGAGTGACAATTTTTTTTCTCATTTGCGTTGGCGATAGTCAGCATACTGATTTTATTAAAATGTTAAATCAAATTGAAGGAAAGAGAATTAAATGAAAAAAAGTAAAATAAATTGAGAGATTTTATGATGACAAAACATACAGAAGAGAGCAAGTGAATCGAAAAACATTTTTAATTAATGAAATTGACTATTTTCGTGTTGTAAATGTTACACCATTAACTACTGACGCGCTGATACACCAAATATATGGAAATGTTTTCTGTCCTACATATAATAACTTTATTATGCAAATAAATATCATGATTTACACCCGTAAAACTCATTTCGAGGTGTATCAAGTCAGCCAATCCATAAAGTGACACGCATTTCGGTTGAATTTATTAAAACAGATTTCAAATGTATATATTTTTATTGAAACATGACTGGTAATGGCTTCGTTTCTTCTATTTACCTCAAACCATTCGTATGTCGTGAATCTAAACATTAATTTGAAATAACAAAAACTTTATTATGCTACAGATTTTTCCATTTTCTCTTCAAATCATTTCATCCTTTTAGAGTGCAAACAAAATTAAAAAAAGAAGAATTTAAATCGTAGAATAAAACGGAAGTGGCTCGGCTATGAAACAGAACTCTAACCGCAATGTGTGTGAATGCTACACTCCGACTCATGCAAATATGGTTAGCAGCAGTAAAACAAACAAACATATAAAACACTCAAAATATGCTTTCCACAAATTTTCATGCATTTTTGAAAACGTTTATTGCTGAGTTAATGATTGCCCTAAACACGGTTGCAAACATTGAACGTCTTATGTTTTATTCGTGTTTCACCCATTATCGCCAAATTCTTTTTGCAACTATCTTGTCAAACAATAGCATTTACTCATTAATTATGAATGAATTTAACACGAAAAAAAATGCCAGAATTAAACCGTTTTTGCACGTAAATAAGGCTCATGTTGTAAAAATATGAATATCGTTTGTGATGCTTTCGCGATAAAACGTATTATTATGACACCACCAGTTTTCCATGCTGCTTTATCGTTCTTCAAATGCACATGTACATGTGTATGCGCGATATAATTTTGCGTGTTTTGTTATATTTTTCGTACAAAAAAATAATTACCATGAAACAATGCTCAATGAATTTTGCATGTGAGCGAAAATTAAGAATTAAAAAAAATTAACGAATGATTGGAGGTTAATTAATCAAAATTGAGTGAGAAATATTGATTTAATCTCACAAACCAACACGAAACGTTCGTCATCACTGTTGCGCAATAAGACTTCTTTTAATATTTAGCAGGTACCATAATTAACTTCTTTCTTCTTGTTAAGAATTTGTTTTGCCTTCCATATTCGCATGTTTAAGCATAGAAGTTATTTTAGTAACTTTCAGTGATTTTAAAATTCATCATGAGTCGTCCTCGATGACCGATTCAACATGTCAAAGAGGAAATCGTTAATTATATTTGTTTTTGTTTCATTTTAAAATATTATAAGTGATGGTTTTGGTGTTGTTTCTTCAAATTTTATGACTGATCTATCACTCTTTGTTCTTTATTGTAAGTTTCTCAAGATGGAGTAACATAAGTTAAATGTTTTGGAAATATTTAGTTTGAGTTGATGTTTTGCTAACGCCATGATTAAATAAAATCAATAAAACGCTTTTGTTCATGTGAAGATTTTTTATTGTTCATCCATTTGATCTTCTTCTTTGAACTTAAAACTAAAATGCATTGAATCCTTAGACAGTGCTTAACCCAATTTACATAACAAAAGATTTTAGTCGTTCCGATGAAAGGCTGTAATAAACGCTGCACACAGAGAAAATTCATCGCGAATGAATATTAAAACGAGCGAGTAATTGGATTTTATTACCATAATTCAAAAAATTTTCAATTTCTCATAATTTTTTATTTGAATTACCAGCAGCATAAGAATGAAATCCCAACATTATTAATTAAGCCATTTTGTCCCACATGAAGTAATATCAGAAGCAATGACAACAGCCACTGCGTTCTATTAAAGAACAATAAAAGCGACAAATGTAATTTGATAAGATAAGTCTGAAACAACAGATTATTTGTTCTTCTATGCCTTCTCCTACTCAGACAACCTCATTTTAATAAGAAATAAAAGGCAAACATAAATCTAATGAGAAGTTATAAAATGCAAGAAGAAATCAAGAGCCAGTTAACGACAAAAAAAATTAAACACAAAAATTGGCATTAAAAACAACGAAAAAGAAATTCGGGTAAAGGAAAAATTTGGACAGCTTTTGAAAGATCGACATGAAGTTAGCTTTGATGTTGGCGCAAATCTTAAAAGTGTTCTTGTCATTGCCCTTATTATTACCCTTCATCGCATATTCAAAAAAGCGCTTTTTTTCTCTTCACGACCGACAAACGGATTTCTTCTTATTTTCTCAATTTTTTTATATTTTCATCTATTCCTGTGATGAACGTAAACGAATCAGACTATGGAACATAGAAATTAATTCTGCCGAGAAATATTGTTGAATGAAATTTGCTACGACTTCCTTTAGAATTTTATCATGCTAATTTGTGTCTGATAATTCAATTTTTGTTCTATGTCGCGCTATGCTTTTTGTCGTTGTTATTGGAGAGTTTGAGAAAATTACTTTTGATCAATGACTTCCTTTCGCGCTTACTTCACTTTACTCAGATCAACATATCATAAAGAAGACCACACAGCCTTTCAGATAGATAAATTATTTCATTGCTGTCAATGCTGCAAAAAAGAAAATTCCAAACAAACGTTATAACAATTGTTTACAAAACTGCAGCAGCAATAAATAATTTTTCTGAATCTGGCTTTAAAAGTTTTTTTCACGCCACTTTATGTTTTAATTTATTTGAGCAGCTTTTCCTACACTTTCTGTTTTTCTTTCCATCCACATTTCATCATTGTTCTTGTCTTTCTTCTCTTGACTCAAACTGCTCAAATCCTGTCATAAGCTAAATATAAATGCATGCATGCAATCCTCGAAACGAAAGAAACTGGAACCAGGAGAATATTTTTATGTAGATATTTATGTATATGCATATTTTCGCGCTTTGTTCATGTACATGTTAATCATACTCTCTTCTCTGCCCAAAGGGTGTATTAGTGCATGCACTTAACTTGGGTTAATCAATCAATTATGTTACAATATATGATTTAATTAGAAAAAGTTATGTTTTGATAAGTTCAAAAGAACAATTAATGTTCTTGGTATTAATAAACTTTTCAATTAAATTTCTTTATCTCAGAACATAACTTTTAAACGATTCCTTACTCACTGCAATTCATGTAAGGAAGTTTTCACATAGACATACAAAATCATGAAGTATTCTTTTCACCCATGAATTACACTTGTGAAACGCCAACAGAAGTGAATTTTTTTTTATTTTTTGCTTCGCTTTACTCCTTTCTTATTGTGATTTTCAGAAGTGTGAGAACAGCTATTCTTGCTGTTTATTATTTAGGTATTTGTAACACTCGTAGACGTGTTTTAATTAAAAATCCATAGCAATCTTGAGTTTTGTTATGCGAAATTGCCTTTTTCACACTTGATCTTTGGAGTCCTTCGCCTTACTTTATTCGTGTAGTGAATTTATTTATATATGTGCCTCTTACTCGCCTACAATTTGTCGAAATTATTACCGAGCTTATTAACTAGTCATAAGAAAATATGGCTCGCGTTTAATCTCGCTTTGGGGAATAATTATCTGTTAAATACGAGAAACAAAATAAAAGTTATAGCAAGTAATAAGTAAGAAAATGCCACGAAAATGAGAATTTGAAGTCAACACTTTAATGGACACACCAAGTTGCGTGTTTCGAGCTATCAAGGTGTTAAATAATTTCTTTGGAGTAAAACTACCATTACGTTATTCAACTTCATAAATTCTATTGACATTTTTAGTGTAAGTCACACACCTCGCAACATTTTTGCTCGTATAATTTGCTTCCTAAATATTTTTGTTCCTATTTTTTTTGTAGTCGTGAGACGTGTTCAAAAAATTTCTCGTTTTAACGCCATTTGCTCATAAAAAGAGTGTCAATGTATTTAATCATAAGCTCTATGAGAGCATTTATTTGACTTGAGGCTTTATGTTAACGAGAGAAGATAGGGAGAAGTTATGAAATTCATAATTTAAAATAAATATCTGTAGAGTTGTTAACTCGATTTTAAGAACTCTTGTGAACGTTTGAAATATCTTTATTTCAATTGAAATTGCTAAAAAAATCTTTTGATTAGATTACAGAGTTTTATTACGATATAAAAATATTAAAAATTCATTACTACAATAAAAGTAAGTGAAGATAAAAGTTTATTTTTTAGTACTGACGCATATCTAAGTTAAGAGATATGTAGATGAATAAATTTCAATCCAGGAAATTAAATTATATCACAGAATTCTCATGAAAATCAACAGAGCAACGAATAAATATTTCAGGTTTGACACTCGTTCAGGATTTATAAGTAACAATCATAGATTTAAGTTGAAAAAAGTTATGATATAACAAAAAAAAAAATCAATTAAGGCCGTTTAGATGGCGATGATGTTTTGCAACATAAAATCATTCGCTCAATAATAATAATCAATCCTACATTCCAGCACCACCTTAATGATCAGTCAGAGAAATGAAATTTAATTATATTTCATTCATTCATACAAATAAGTTTCAGACTTAGAACTCTATCATTTAATGATCTTTGGTCTTTCAGACTCTTCTATCGGCTTCCAATTTTCCCTTTTCCAATTCAAAGTTTTGACTTAAACGCTCATCAACATAAACAATCTCATAAATATATGCTTATAATCACCACCACGACACTATAATTAACCAGAAAATTTCAGCCCACACCATTGGGAATGAGCGCGCTAGTAGTGCGAGAAAAGAAAGAAAAAGAGTTAATGAGGAGCCAAAAATGTAAATTAAAACTTAAAAAATCACTACCGGCCCTCCATCGACGAAAAGAGAAAACATTAAATTTATTTTCGATGATTAGTTCTTTCGTGTGGTCCGTGGAAAAGGCAACAAGAGCGAGAAACAGAAATGAGAACTAATAAAATGTGTAGATTTCGTTCTTTAAGGTCAATAGCAGGCAAGCAATGGTTAGTTATTATTTATGAAGAAGAAAAGAAATACAAACATAATCATCATCATATGCCATCGAGTAATAATTTCTAAATTATATTGAAGAGAAGACGATAACAAACATTTTACTCGAATGATGCCCACAAACCATTTATCCCTTCGTGCTTGTTGTCTCTTTTTCTCGCGTATCGAAGTGTTCGCGAGTTGTTCTAACCAAGGGAAAAGAAGAATGAAAGAAGCACCCGAAGGCAACAAATAATGGCAATATATGATGGAAGAAGAGCGAAGAAACCTAATCATCGTCTCGTTATAGCCTCATTTATGTACTGTGAAAATAATGTAATACTTGGCTCGGTTCGGTCAGCTGGCGCCCAACGTTGATTCTATCGAAAATTCCTTCTTTTGAGAGTGGCAAATTATACTTCTCCTTCTTTGTTTCTCATTTCTTTTTGGGATGAATTATTATTGTTTGGAGAGGAACAACACGTTAAACATATAATTATGATATCTTTTTTTATGTTATTTAATTTCAACCAAAAAAACAAAAAAAAAATGTTACGAGAGCCTCAAGAATAACATCAGCAGAGCGTTAACAAGCGTCTTATGAACGAGGAGAAAAAACCATTCAGAAAAACACACAAACAGCAACACCATGAACATAAAAATTGAATAATCATGAAGAAGATTAATTCCACTCAAAAAAGGAACAAAAATGTATAATAAAAAATCGTTTATTGGAAATCGGAACCATTTTTCGGAAAGCTTGCTGTGCGCAAGGATCATTTTGATGAGTTGTTGTGAACATATCTTTCGTTTTAAATAGAATGTATCCCTTCGGTATCATAACGCATAAATTATATGTAAACTTTTGTTTGTATAATATTAAATTAGTCTTCCTTCTGTTGCACTTTTTTACTCTCGACTCTTACATAAATGAAATAAGAAAAGAAAAATTCTTCGTTGGTTTCATGAAAGATCATAAAAAATTGTTATCCGTTAATAATTTTTTTGTTCTTCTGTTTCTCTTTTTTTTCACTTGAGTCATTTTTTTATGTTGAGAACCTTGTGGGGCATGAAGGCAAAACTTGAAGAATAAGCGAGGCGCCACAGTGCCAAAAGTAATTGCTAAGACACGTTTCTTGAAAATTACTCGACGTATGTACGATGATCGAATTTATGCACATTGATGTTTGCAATTGAATTTTCCTTCCCTATACTTTTTCCATATAAAAATTTTCTGCTTTGAACATAATATTTTTAATGAAAAAATAACTTTATTAAAAAAGATTGAAGGTAAAATTTTGATTAATTGAAGTTTATTATCAATTTAGATTGACAAATATAATTTGAACGTAACTGTCGTATTTATCATTTATTTATAGTAATTTCCAGCGATTAAAGTTTTACGAAATAGCCGCTTCGCTCGAGACAATTATACCTATAGAAAGAAAATAAAAAGATATTTTTTGCACGCTATGCAACTTAAACTTTATTGAAACATCAAATGTGTAACTCATAAAAAAGAAATTTCTACGCATTGCGTGTCAGTCAGCTTTACTTTTGAGCAACGTTGAAGTCTTTTCTGCGAGCCATCTGCTCGTGATTATATCGAGATTACCTCATGTTAGGTTTTATGTCTTCTACTCTCCTTGGTAGAAAGAATATATGAAATAAAATAACTCAAAAAACCCAAAAGCTTCGAAATGATGAGAAAGAAAATATAAAAAAAAATTGAAAATAACAAATTGGTTCAAAACTGTCTTCAACTCGATATATGACTTAAAGTTTTTATTAGCTCAAGAAACATACGAAAGACCCAAAACGAAAAAAGAAATAAAGACTGAATAATTAATTGATTGATTTTTCTTTTCCGTCTGTTGTTTAGTGTTTTAATTTTTGAATTAGCTTCTGATAGTTTCAACATTGTTTCTTTTTATTGTAAACTCGTCAGATAGTTGTCTGATGAAAAAATGATATTTCTGAATGGATAAGTTCGTAATAGGACAATTACACCTGTCGCTTCAATTTTTAAACATTTCAGAAAGGAAAAGAAAACAATATTTCGAGAAAGACATCAATCTTAATAAAATAAATATGTATACAACGAGAGATACAACATCAAAGCGGAGAAGAAGATCATGTGTTATCAAAAAGCAGTTAAAGTTTAATGTCATATTTATCAGTTGATAATTTATATAACAACTGCAGTCTTTGAATACATTGAATATACACTGTTTGCTTTCTCATGTTCTTTAGTATATTGTGAGCAGACAAATCCTCTTGGATAGTTTGACCTATTCAAGAAGAGGTCAGCAATGAAGTTTCCTCTCACTCATTGTTATCAGTGTGAGTCTTTACAAGTCATTAAAATTACGAGCGAGTGATTACAAAAATGTCACTTCATGCGTGATAACACCAAACGTTTTGACATAAATAATCTAAAGAGTAGAAAAATTCATAAATCAAATGATTTTTCAGAAATTTCTGAGCCCATTACGCTTTATGACTTTTACTGTCTTTGTTTGAATATATGAAGTTTTAAGAGTCGCACAATCTTTCGTCAGAGCCTGCCAGATATTTCTGGTTTCCTTTTTCAACAAACTTTTAATAACAATTTTTCATTCTCTTTACAGTCAAATGTTCCCTCAAATGAAGTTTCGTGTATCAGGTTTAGACAATAAGTCAAAGTATATTTTATTACTAGACATCGTAGCGGCGGATGATTATCGGTACAAATTTCATAATAGGTAAGTTAAAAATCTTAACGAAACTAGATAACATTTTGTAATTGCTTGATTTATCTTAAAGTCGATGGATGGTAGCTGGAAAAGCTGATCCTGAGATGCCCAAACGAATGTATATTCATCCTGATTCACCCTCAACTGGAGAGCAGTGGATGCAGAAAGTAGTTTCATTTCATAAACTTAAGCTGACAAACAACATAAGTGATAAACATGGATTTGTGAGTATTCAAATCATTCTTTTATTTCCGCTTATTTTATTTATATGTCACATCCTTCATGATGGGGTTGCCAATTAGACAATTCAATTATTATCAATCTTCTTCTTGGATTATTTTCCGTTTGAGTATTTTTTTTTGTTCAGTTCTCATGATGTTGTTTGACTAACTAATTTGCACAAACATAACGTTCAAATTAAATCCTAAAGAAGATTTACGCAGCGAAAATAGCTTCATAACATTGATTACGAATGATGATCTTCTTCGAAATGGTTTGATATATCAACTTGAGGGTTAAACAAAAGACAAAAAAATAATATATAAAAAGTTGAACGCTGATAAGAACTTTTGAAAAACATCACAAAACTTTTACCGACGAGCTGATAATGAATTTAAAAATTCTTCTCTCATCATAAGTCTCTGACAGTGGCTTTACATTAAGGCAAAGAAAGAAGTAATTACTTAGACTCATCACATTTGAATGTGACAACTAAAAACACTTTAATTGAAACGCTGATAACGTTGCTAAACTTCCTTTCGAATCTTTTTCTTTCTCTTCTGACTTTTATTTATTATTTTATTTTTATTTGTATATTTTTATGACTCAAGAAATCATTGTCGGTAGCTTCTTTCAAATAATTTTTTCTCATCTTTTATTATGTCACCAATCAAATATTATTTCAGTCAGAAAACAACACAAGATTTTTTTAGTTAGACTTGCGGTATTAGTGGAACGATTTTTTCCTCCTTTTCGATATTTGTTCCCGCGCTTTGCACTGTCTTACTCTTCCCTTTACAACAAAAGCGATCTCGCACACATCAAAGTGTTTTAAGGCGGCGGACATGAAACGCGTTCATAATCTTTTTTATTAATATAATCTTTTTACTGTTCTGGTTATGAGGTGATCATGGCTTTTGTCTCAATACCAGAAGATCACTTCACTTAATCGCTCTATGTATTTAACCGCTTTAAGTTTTCACAATCGCTCCGAAAACATCAGGTAATTCCACTCACTTGACGACTTTGAGAGACAAAAGCAGTAAGAAGCAAAATATCCGAAGCTGCCGAATAAAACAAAAAAAAAAATACAATATTGATCTCCGGCCTGTTTGAACTAGAAGCGTCTCGTTTTAAATAATCTATTATCTCAAAGATATTTGTTTTCAACAAATATTATTAGAGTTTAAAGCTTCTTCTCTTTTTTTTCTTCTTCTTATGACGAAAATCTCGTTTCTCACATCACTTTTGCGTCTAAAGACAACAAGAAACGAAAAAAAAGAAGTAAAATTGAATGATTGATTGTTTACATTCAATCGAACTCGAGCTAGTGGAACAAACTGAAATGAGTAATAGCTTTTGATGCTCGAACAGTTAACTGAACTATGAAATCATTGAGTTGACCGATGTTGTGTGTGGGAAACAGGTTGCTTGGATATCAAACTTCCTATTCAAGAATTATGACTAGATGTACTGACTAATGATTGATATGATAATTAATTCAATAAATGTAATTATCACGATTACCATCATGACGATCCTTTCTTTAAAAAAATATCTAAAACATAAAATCCATTTTTCCTTTAAAATTTCGATCGTTTTCATCCTTATTAAGTCTTTCAACATGAAACTTCATTCTCTAGTCTCTCCTATCTTGATCTAAATTGATTATACCTACATGTTTAATGTTTCGTATAAACATCTTTTCTTTGTATCCTTAATTGTCATGAGTAGCAGTGGCACATTTCAAGATGTACAAGATACATGCACAAACATTCAGGATAGAAAATATTTCTATTCATCTGAAAAGGGATGGTTTTGTGCTCTGATCACTTTATTGTCGACAAACGAACTATTTGATGCCTCATGTGACCTTTTGTGGCTAACTAGAATTTTTTCTCTTTACTTTAACATTATTTTCTGTTTATATGCATTTGATCGAGTCTGCTTGACATGAGAATGAGAGATTGAAAAGGGAAGCCCGGTGTGAAGTGAAATGCTACATGAAACATGACATAATAAATGTTAAAATGTTTAAAAGTTGCATATTTTCCATTACAAGCATGCAACATAATTTTCATATTAAAAAAATCTACAACTTCCACATGCGATTATTAAAATGCTCGACACTTTTGAGTTAACTGGGTTTAAATAGAAAAAAGAACTTCTCGAGCTCTTAAAATAAGAGGAAGATTCGGCGCTTATACAGATAGGAATCTTTTAAAGAGTTGTTTGTCGGGGGAAATATATTTGATGATGATATATTTAATCTCCGTAAATGCTTTCATTATGGCATTTCATGAAAGTACGATATACCCAAAGAATCAATCCAACAAAAGGGCCCCGGAGAGTAGTTCAAAAAATTGTTGTTTCGATAAAGATCTCTAGACCAAAGAATGAAGTGATTTAAAGAACATTTCAGAAATAAAAGCGAAGGTTCAGTAAAGAATGAAATTATTAGACGGAGATTAAACATAAGAAGAGCATACTGCAGTATTATGCACATAAAGAGATTAACTAAGGATTTAAATTAGGTTGAAGAGCTGGAATGAGATCATAGCAGAAAAGGCTAAGCTGAAACCTACAATCACAAAGGAATGCCGATTGGCAAGAAAAAAAGAATTTTTTACGTCTATCGGTCAAAATTAGTTGCGAAATGTAATTCAATCCTTGTGTTTGAAAAAAGAAGGAGAGAAAATTAAATCGGCAACGTTCATTCTTTTAAAATTCATGAAGAAAGTTTTAAACCCTACAACAATGTGAAATCGAAAAGTGTCCGTTCAAAATAAATGCAAACACTATGAAAGATTTGACAAACTTCGCCACGCTTCTAAAGATATTTTCTATAATATTTAAAATGTACGTGAGTGTAGTGCTGACTTAAGTAAAAAGAAAAATTACTCGATCGTTAAACTCATAAAAGTATGAAACAAAGTAAGCGATATAGAAAAACTTTTAAGTCGACATTGTAGAGAGAATAAAAATAAACGTAACAACGACCGAATAATCAGCCCGCCAGAAAGATTCATCGGCAAATTTGTCTGTTCTTCCAGCTCGATGAAGCTTCTAACTAAAATTCGCATTAACTCAAATGTCACTTGGAAACGCGACGAAGTGTAACTCTTTGCATACACTCTTCGTTGGAAAGGCATTTGGGTAAGATTTGCATGGTTGTTTGAAATTTCTATCAGTCGTTTTATGGGCTTGGTTGGCATTCCATATGAATTGCGTTTCGCAACCTTAACTTCCTTCTTCTCCTGTAAAGTTTCATGCTCGAAAAGTCAAAGTAAAATGTTATGAGAACAAACTTTCGTCTCTTAAACCATCACATCTTTTTAAGAAAAATCCTCAGAATAAAAGAAATTAATTAGAAAGATTTATAAACTTATAAAGAAAGGAAATTAGTACTCAAGTCAATGATTGTCTTAGTTAATTGAATTAGCATGAGATTTAAAGTTTAAAACGTTCACATTGATGTAATTTTCTGTTCTATTGCTCGTAAAAAATCAATTATTTAATCTTCCCCCATTTCCTTTTCGAGTTTTCGTGCCCACAAACAAAAATATGAGAAACATAAAGCACATGACAGCAAAAAAGTGCCATATGAAACGCTTCTACTTAATAGGATTTTTCATTATTAATTCAAATGTGGAGCTTATCAATTTTTTATTATGGTTTGTTGTCAGGTCGCCAGCAAAAGAACTTTTTTTTGTACTTTGACATAATTTGTCTTCACCCCATAAGTAAAATATTTCCCGTTGAGAAATCACTGATAAATATTTAGTACTGGCAAAGGATATCGAGACTCGTACACTATAATTTTTGTAACTAAACTCAATACTTTATCTGTCAGCAACGATTGCAACCCACAATTTATCTAAATGCAGTTTTCTCCCTGGAGTTGAACTTTTGCACGCTTCTCTATGCGATGAACTTTCACTCGTCGTTCCCTTTCTGATGATTATACTCAAGGTTAAAACACTCGCACCATTTACTATTTCTCTCGTTCACATCAATATTGCATAGTTTTTTCAATGGTGCGCTAGGGAAAAAGGGAAAAATTCAAACATGGAGGTTTTTGTTGCTTCTGCTCTGTTATGTTAAAAGGGGTTGAAGTAAGTGGAAGGTGAAAGAGAATTTCGGTGTGTGGATGGGTGTGATATGATTATTTTCCTCTTTTTTTATTTTCATGCGTCTCTTCATGAATAATCCACAAACGACCGAGGAATGTTTACACACGTATTTAGGGCAAATGAAGTTATAATTAATTAAATTAAAAATGGAAGAAAAATTAATATCAATTAAAATATTGAAAGCATCTTAAACTGAAGTCATAAATGATTTTGTGAAGATTCTAGACACACATTAAAAGTGTTTAATTAATCAATTCATAACAGATTCTTACACCCTAAAAAGCCGCATTTGAATTTCTTTTCTTTTTTTTTTGTTACGAGCCTAAACACGAAATGTACAACAATAACACAAACTGAAATTATTTTGAGAACAAAAACAAAGCAGAGAAAGAAAATACTTTTCCAGATTGATATCTCACATCATAAATTAAATAATAATTACAGTCAAAAATGTGTGGCCATTGCTAGTGCTGCCAACCAAGACAGAATTTCAAATGAAATTTTCACTTTCATAGCGCGCAATGTGGTGTTGAGACAAATTATGGGGTAGTTAGTTCGTAGTTAACCATAAATTATCGTCACTACCTAGCTAAGGTAAATATTTCTTCGCCCCAAAAAAAGAATGAATAAAATCCCGCTTAGTGTACAAATTTTGATTTGATTTATTCGCTGTATAACTTGGTGTTAATAAATTTACATTTTTACACTCTTTGTGCGAAAAGCTCTCACTATAAAATCTAATAGGTCTATGAAAACACATATAATTGATATTTATTTTTGGTAGGGCCTCAGTTAGTTCGAATAACCGCCTACAAAACATTTACTAAAGCGATATATTTTCTCGCTTTGGCTGTGAATTATTGTTCAGGTTTCTGCAAGTAATTTCTCAAACAAACTCAACTCGATAAAATTCCTTGTTGTTTCATGTTTTCCTCCCGTTTGTAGCGTTTGTAGCTATGGCTAGAGAATGAATGCTTCCAAATATAATCAAGTGTGCCAGGGACTTCTAGAAAACTTTACGCTCGAAAAGTTTATTGATAAAGGTATGAAAAGGACGTGTGTAAGTTGAATGATATAAAAGGCTCACTTCAAAAGACTAGAGAATTGTAACTAGTCAAAAAAAAAAGAAAAAGGAAAATCGAAAACACTCATGATGATGTAGAAGTTGGTAAAGTAGTTGGTAAAGAAAATTCAAAGCAATTTATTATGTTGGATTCTATCTCCCTGCAGATTTCATAAATTTTATTTTCTGTTTGATGTCAACCATTAGTTTAGAAAATGTTATGAGTTAGGGAAAAAAGGGGCAAGTAGGCAAGCAAGCATCCTTTTGCTAATTTTATTTATTTCTGCTTGAATCACACTCGATGATTTTCTTCCGTGGCTACTAAAGCTACCCTCATACATCATTCGTCCCACATTTTTGCTCGTTATCAACAAAAGATCATCTTGAGACTTTCGCAATACTTGATGTTTCTTTTTATTTATTTATTTATTTAGTTTTGAGATTAGCCTGAAGTTGAAGTTTCTTTCATTTCAAATAGGCAAGAGAGCCTCAGATAATTGATTACATAGAAATAACGGCAACAAACATTGTAAAGTGAACAAAACAAAATAAAATAAAAATCAGATCACGACCACGAGAAGCTTGCACAATTATTTCCAATTAAATTGTCTTAATTAAATCATTAATTTTTGCAAATATGCTGCCAATACAGAAAAAATCATTTCTCGGTTTAACATTCTCGACATAAAACTAGTTGCGACTCTCACATAAAGTGACATTCCTTTAGTTTTAATAAAAAAAATGAAACCTTCATGACAGTAGCAACAGAGAATTATTAATAATAAAAAAAGGTACATCGGCAATGCCTGTGAAATGATTTAATTTATGGTGTAGAAAGTTACGTGAAGACAAATCAATTAAGAAATATAAAGTGTCGCCATAAATGCATGCGAGTTCAATTAAAAGTATTTTCTTTTTCATCGATTATTAATATTTTCACATCTCATGAAACCATTTCGAAATGGTCATCGTCATTATCATTTCTTAAAACCTCGGTGATCCATAAATTGTGATTTACACACCGGCAACCTACTACTTTTTCTTTTGGTAGTTCGAAAGGAAAGGAAAAAAAGAAGAATTCTGGTTTGAAGAAGTTTTGGGAAGATGAAATTTTAGCAAAGAAAAGGATTTGAGAAAACTGACTGACCGTAAGCATAACAATAAGAATGCCAAATGAATGAAGAAGAAATATTGTGTTGCCTGCTCCACCTTCTTCTGAAAAGGTGTGGCGAGATATATTGATGATGATGGAAAAAGAAATACAACACATTATGATCCACACATGCACTTTCATAAGATTAAATTCTTCTCTTGTTCAACGCAAAATGCATTGGTGTGTGTTTGTATCGCTACGTTTGTCGCATCTCGTCATTCGTATTTACTTCGAAAGCTTTCATTCCAGAATTACTTCCAAATACATTTCACATATTTGAGATATCTTACCCTTCAATGCTCCCATGACTGTTTTTGTGTTGGTCGTTTCGCCGTCTTTTTCGTGTCATAATTTTTTTTCCTGCAACCATCAACACATAAACAAGCGACACATGCAATCGGTGACAAAAAATGCATTATGGCGCACTTTTCAGTTCTCATTTTTTTCCTCTTTCATTATAATGCATAAGTAAGAACTTCATTTCATTTTGTCGCCCGTAATTATGACGCTTGCCATGCAGTTTTATTATTTATTTTTTCTTCCAAGTCACACACATTTTCCTTAACTGCAATTAACACGAATCGATAATTTTTCTCACATAACCTTTTCACATAATGAAAGCTTGAACATTACTTATTTATGGTACAATGGCATACATCAGAAGTGACAAAGGAACATTTTGACAGCATAAAAGAAAAGAAAATCTAGTGGCTGGTAAACATAAAAGCAGAACAAATGTCCATATTGCAAAAGGAAGCATGCGCTTAATTTATTTCCCTGGTCATTCTAAATTGGTTTCTTCTATTTCTCAGACGTTTATATTTTAATCAGTTTTTAATGAGACAGGAAATAAATTATTGGGTTTAATTTATTGTACGATGACAAAAGCGACACTTGAAATTCATTTCATCTTTAAATTTATTCACTTCCGATGAAAAGGAGAAATTAAAATTGAAAATTAGAAGCCAAAAGTTCTAAGAAGGTAGAAAAAAGAAAACGAAGATTTAAATGAAAATAATGAAGAATACTTGGGTATTGTGTACATGAACATAACTGGAAGAATGAAGGAAATGCACTTGAGAATTTTTCTTTTATTTAAATGCCTTCCTTTTCTGTCTTTGATGAATGATATCAATCATTGTCTGATTACTTCGAGTGGCGTAATAAGAAAATTTTCTTGCAATTGTTTATACAAAAGCGAGAAGCATAAAACATAAAACTTGGCGAAATTATTTATGCAAACAAGATTTTCCAGGATTGAATATTTTTACGTAATTGAATTTTGTACTTGGCGACATTTGTCTGATAATTTTTCTCTTTCGGTGAAGTTTCTTTTCCTACCTTCACCGTCTTATCTCTTTTCTCATGGATGTCACTGACGTCTAATATTACCACAAAAATTAAAACCGAAACTAATAAAGCATAAATTATATATCTTGTTTTAGGGATCGCAGGCTGGATACTGTGTAAGTATATGAATAAAGCAAAACCTTTAAGTAACCTTACTTGTGGTAATTTTTAATTTGTGTCTTAAACAAGACACTAAGAAAGCTTTTACCATAAAACACGAGAAGAAATCCTGGAAAGATTGACCCTTTTTTCCAATGCTCGCTTTCTTAAACTATTTAGCATAAAAGAATGTTTATCAACTCTCCCATAATCGCCATTCGACAAAGGCATAAAGCAGAACTTTAAAAAGAAACTTTAAACTCCATCACGACTGAAAAAAAAAGTATTTGGTCTAAGGCGCCAGTCTTGAACAAAATGAAATGCAAAAAAAAATAAAGAAACAGCGTCTGAAATTTTTCGGATAATATTCTCGAGTCTTTTTCATATTTGATCCGTCTCAATGCGGTATAAAAGGGAAGCAAATATAAATCGAGATCGATACACTTACACACAAGCCACATAAATAAACACATTGCTTGAATGCCTCTTGCATCAAAGAGTTTTTATTTTCATTTTCATTTTTTTTGGCCCTTATGATTAATTTATAAATGTTATTACATGTGATATGATGAAGGGAAGGTACGTCATAAGACATTCCATTCTTTCTTGTCCACTAAAATATGTTTGGCCTTCAGGCTGCAAGAAAAGGAATAAAAAGCGTTCACAGGGAAAGAGAGAGAAGAGAATTTCTTATTAAATTTTATCTGCGTTACCATCAAACATTAGAAATCAATAAATGAATTTGGATCGTTCTTTTTTTTGTGTTTGTTCTTGAACCTTATTCACATTCCATCAAAAATTGAAAACAAATGCTGTTTGCATCAGAAAGTTTTGTGTGTTTATTTGTTAACAGCGGGCAAGCGACCTTTTAATATCTGACTCCAATTCCAGACCCATCCAGACGATGATGTATCCAATTCGGTAGATTTTATTTTATAAACGCCAATAAAATTTTGACGGAGGGAAATAAAATTGTTTCAAACATTTTTAAACATTTAATGATCTGTTTAAGACGACCATAAACATGTAACGGTTCTAACTTCTTGCTTCGAAGCTAGGTCGCGATAAATAATTCATTTTTTATTTCACTTTTACTTGAAGAATTTAATTTAAAAAGTAATTTATTCAAATATCATCAAGTTTTATGTTTAACATAAATTGTTGCAAAATCTACCTACGAACAAAACTTAGCTTAACTTACATTCACGTCATAATATTTTGCCATGGAAAAAGGAATATTTAATGAACTCATTAATAATATTATTTTTAGATTTAAGATCGAAGCACTAATCATATCGTGATTAAGAAACAATTCAAACTTAAGCATGCGTCAATAAGACCACCTTCAAGCGAAAACTTCCCAATCATCGTCGTCATTATCATCTGCTTCTGCTTCTTCTCCATTTCATTCACTCTTAAAGATACGTCCGAGATCCACGAGCGATAATTGGAAATACAAACCATGAATTTGTGAATAGGACACCCTCATTAGTGGTTGATAGCTTTATCTCAACATAATCATTTTACAAAAAGAAGCTGGAGGAGTTGAATGAAAGAAGAAGAAAGAAAAACGAGGGTGAACTAATACAAATTGTCTATGAGATTGTTAAAAAAAGAATAAGAAAAAGATTTCTTTTTAATATAAAACGAGAAGTTTCCTAAGCTTAAACACAATTTACCTGGACGTAAGCAGAAGGTTGTAAGAAACAGAAACAAACGCAAAAGATAAGATTGAATCAACATAAAATTCATTTGTAAGGATCCTTGTTATTGCTTAAACGATTCTCGTTATCGTTTCTTTGTTTGAATGAAAAGTTATGAAGAGGCGTATCAAGGGGAGCCCATCTCTTTCTTCTTCTCAATTGAAATGAGGGTTTTAAAGTGAACTGACAAACTGTGGGGTCACATGAATCCAATGGTAGTGAAGAAGAAAATCGGCGACGACGAGAACATTGAAAGGAAAATCCGAAGTCGAATGAAAGAAATGAATTCATTAATCTTTAAGAGAATTCTCGTGTGATTCCCGTCCCCGTGTATCTTGTTGTTGCTGTTGTTATTGTTGGCATTATAGCGCCGCCGACCTCACCATAATACTACATGAAAACGGCGCTTTTGCTCTTGCGCTCCACGCAACACGAAATCAATTAACAATGTTACTGTCGAGGCTATTTAGAATAGCAGCGTCTTTCACTTTTTGCTCTCTTTCACTCCCACTTATGTGTGTATCAATATTAAATTTAAATAAATTTATGCTTTGTATACCTGTCGTTGTGCTTGATCACAATAGGAGGGCCACCGACCGTCCCGAAAGTCAAAAGCAAGAGAATACAAAACGATCAGCTCTTTATTTTAATTCTTTCCAATTTCTTTACTTCGTCGTCTTTCGCATATTTGTTTAAGCCTTAAAAACATTATCATCGGCCTCTCTCCTGTTAGTTATACATTTCAACTTCAATAAAAAGAAAAGAAAAGAAAGAACATAAAGCGAACAAAACGAAGCGCGCACGCAGAAGACCAGAAGAAAAGACAAACGGCTCAAATGTAATGTGAATGAATAAAAACAAAAAGTTGAGAAGGCAACGAGTAGAGAAAGAAGGAGATTTTCGTTTTATTCCGAATAAAGCATAAAAATTATAATATTTTTCTGGATATACAATTTTTTTTCTGGACACAAAAAGAAGCCCATCTCGCGAAGCACGGCGCCAACGGAAATTTATGTTGATCGTTCCATCGCTCCATTGTAGGACATTGAATGTGTTTTCTTTCGTTGCTTCTTTTATTATAAGTATTTATATTTTTTTTCTCCCCTTTTGTCTTTTGTCGTCTTTAACTTGCTCTCGTTTCTCTTTATTATTACAACATTGATATTGATATATTTGAGATAGGCAGCAGCCAGAAACTAACTTTTCATACTCGATCTCACAAACCTTTGTCATTGTTTTAACATTTTTGTCACAAAACCTTCTTTTCTTTAAGTTTTGCAAGTTCAACGGTAGTAATTTATGATGCGCTTTTTAGATATTGTCAGATATATTTGTACGTGAAAGAAGACAAAAGGAAAATCCGCAGAACAACGACGATTCCAAAATTTAAGAGCCACAAGCTCCAATGTTTTCTTATGCTTGTTGATTATTTGATAATATGAAGAATGACGCAAAAAGAGAAAAGAAACAAAAAAGATTTTTCGTCGAAATAATCTCGCAATGTCATCGGTTTTTGTGTCGTCTTTGGACCACGAAAAATGCTGTTTAATTCGCTGTTTACAAAGAAATAGAAAGACAAGCGACATGAATTTATTATGTCTCGATCCCGTCATTTCACAGCAGATAATTAGTACCTCTTGGAATTTTTCTTATGCCACTACGCACTGCACTGATGTCTTCGTCATAAATTTTATTCTGTCGCTTCAGTTTTGCAATGTTGTTATTGCCAGTTCATCATAAAAGTAGACATTTCATGTCGTTAATATGGTATGACGTTGCTTTCAAGTCTCATAATGTGAGTATCGAATGACCTCTGCCTATTTAGTTTGTCTCGTGCTGACTTCATATAAAATTGCATCAAACAATGTTCTTTCTTTGTTAATTCCTACTGCAAAAGATTTGTAAGCTTAATTATTTGAATGAAGGGTCATTTACATAAAATCTAATGACCTAACAACGAAATTTCCTTCATAGGTGGCACATTAATTTAAGTCAAAGCCGGAAATTATTCCGATAACTAGCACAGGTGTATTCTCACACAAAAATATCTGCTCGCCTTTGTCACAAAGGTAATTTACCGCTTCTAGAGACTGAAAATCAATATTATAAAAATTTACAAATATTTGCTTTTAGTGTAAACAGTAGCTTCTGTTGAGCGATAACTTAAGAAACAAAAAAAAACTAATGAGATAAAATTAAGACAACGAAAAAAAGAGAATATATCGAGATGTGGAATGAGAAAGTGTTTTTTTATATCGTTTGTTAATGGATTGAATTTAAAAAAAAATGAAAATGAGCTCACATTTTGTGTTGGCATTCGCTTTATTTTTCTCCTTGAAGATCCGAACGTTGGGAAGCTAAGTCCAGCACTATAAGAGTTGGTAATAAAGCTGAAAAGTTTATCACAAATTTTATTTCATGTTTTTCATCACATGCGACTCACCTACATCAGGCAGAGTAAAAAAAATCTTTTTTCTTCTCTTTTCCTTTTCCGTAAAAGCCGATAAGAAGCTGAAAATTATTCGGTTGAAAGTTTTTTTTACAGCAGCATCAACAGCAGCTACTTTACAGCTTTCCTTTTGAATTCACCGATGAAATGATGAGTTGACAAGTTTTATGGGCTCTCATTTTTTCAAAGATTAACTGAAGATGTTTCTCTCACACTTGTAATTTATTCACTTTTACTGTCGTATTCAAATGATTCAATGGAAATTGTTGTTTCTTTTTTTTTGGGTGTCCAATTAAAATTGTTGCATTTGATTTGCTCATTTTAATCAACTTTCATCAAGAAATCGCGTGGTTTTACGATGGAGGAAACTTCAGATTAATCTCAATTGTGAGTTAAACGAATCGAAAGGGAGAACTCTTAATTAATTAAATGCTTTACTCGATGATTAATTGACATCGTTTGTCACAATAGCAAACATTGGCCTGCGTTAAATTAGTTTTTAAAAGACCTCTGTCAAGCAAACAGAATTAAGCTGATGGGGGAAACAAAAAGAGTTAATTAATAAACACCGTTTAAGTGGAAGTTTCTCTTTTTTTCCAAATAAAAACAAAAAATCAAAACTTCACTAACTGAAAATGTTTAACGACCACAGAATAAAAAAAATCTTGTGCATTGCTATTGAGAATGGAGAACAAGTTTTTAAAAATTATTGTTATTAGCTTTTGATTCTTATTCATTTGATGAGCTCTCATTTCATTTTCGGGGAGGAAAAAAAGAATAATTAAAGAAAAAGCGGACGGTTGTGTGGTCTCATTTCGTTTCTGAATAAATTACTCACTCATCTACTGTTCTAAGACCTCGATATGACGTCACACACAAAGAAATGTGAAGATTCATCAGCAGCAACGAAGCATGCAAGTTATTTTTTTATGGCTGATACTCGAAAGATATTTAACATTGTGCTTAAGCTTCCATGATGCGTGAATAATGTTATACCTAACACTAAAACCTGACATCTTTACGAAAGTGTCGAGAAAATAATATTTATAATCCAATTATTAAAAAGTGTTTCATTTCGTCCCATGGTTTAAGACAGCAGAGATTGCCTTTTATTTCTATGGGAAACATTCAAATATTATGAATGGCTTTTAAATAGAAATTAATTTTCTAATAAAAAAATTATTCAAAGTTAAAATATATTGCCACGAGAAGCATGTGACATTATTCATTGTTAATCCCTTTTTAAATCGCCATAATTATTATTCACGAGCAAGGTAGAAGAAAGAGTTGTTGAAAAGTCTGTTTTAGATGTTTTTATGATTTATTGAGGAATTCAAAAAGAAAAAAAAAAGGCAAAAATAAGAGACAATTAATGGAAACAGGTTGTTTTAACACTCGCTTAGAGAATTTCTTCATTATAATTTCTCATCAAAATAAGGAAAAAAAGGTTTGAAAGTTTAAACTCTTTTTCCACTGAGTGAAATTTGCATATAAATTGTCGAGGTCAATATTGAAAATGTGAATCTTTTTCGCCGGTAGGTATTCGAGTCAGAAGAAAACGTGCTGAGTCTTATGAGAAACTTTTGATTATTGTTTTTGTTATGCTGAACAGATTTTTTATTATGAATATTCGAAAAGATGATAAAACTTGAAATCGAAATATTAATGGATCAATAATTATGGAAATTAAGTAATAAACATGTAATATCTATTCAGGCAAAAAGATATAAAGTTGAAAAGATCAAAACCCTAATTCAGATTGATTTCTCGAGGTTTGTTTCGGTATTGATTGGAATAAATTATTGCTTCCTTGAGTGGGAAAAAATATTCTGACCACCACGCTTTTTAACGACAGCAGCAACAGCGGCAGTGCTTAATTGAACGCCATTGAATGCTAATAAATCAATTACTCAATTGAATAAATTCTATTTGCACATTCGTAATTTCACATGAACATGAATTTGTAATTCTTCATGTAGTCATTGAACAAACGAATAAATTACAAAAACATGTCTGTACACTGTGCTTGGGGAATCATAATTCAACATTATCATTGATATCGGCTCAAGGTTTTTGCATTCATCGATGAGACGAGACAGGAAAAGAAAAAAAAAAGATATGAGAAGAAAAGCTTTTTCCTCGAACAATTTTTTTCTCTGTAATTTCATTTTTCCAATTTCAATTCGTTTAAATTAACTCATCAAAGAATCGCGAATTGATTTCTGCTTCTTCCTTCACTGACTTTACTCAAAGTTCAATATCTGAAAATGAAAATAATAAAAACGAGAAGGATATGAGAGTTCAATTCAAGTTGTTGTCGATAAATGTTTTAATTGCATTTAAACTTAAAAACAAAATGAGTTAGTTGCATTACACTGCAAATGAGCTGCAATCATGGTGAAAGAATGAAAAAAGATGAGTGTAATTATATTTCTTAATGCTGACTTTTAAATAAGTATCCATCGATTTAAAAAGTCATGGTGGTCTCGTTTATACATTTTTTAATGCGTTTTCGGAAAAATAATAAAAAACTAAAGTTTTGAGGTAATTAATACACAAATTTCATCTCCAAGGGGAGAAAGAAGAAAAACCTGATTCAAAAAAAGCCACATAAAGATTTTTTTCGTACTCTTTTTGTGGGAGATAAAGTTTGCTTTTTCTCAAACACTTTGAAATCGTCCAGAAATGGATTCATTGGTTGATGATTAAGCAAGTAAGAAAAGAAGCTTTTATTATTTTTTGAGACATTATTTCCGTAATAATCCCACCAAAGAAGAAACCTTAATTAATTATTCAAACGAAGAAAATATAAACACTTTATTATTCATAGAGCATCATCCGCGATTCATATTATTGTTGTTGCTTTGCTTCTTCTCCCATCAGTTCTGCATGTGTTATAATCATCAAAGTTAATTATTCAGTGGACAATAATTCGAATTCTAATGTTGTTAAAAGCATCATGGTGCGAGTTTTCATACTAGTTTCTCACTATAGAAACTCAAAGAAAAAGAAATACACAAAAAGCTTAATGAGTAAAGGAAGTTCGAAATGATTTTTGTTCGTAGTTTTCTCAATTTTGTTAATGAAAATGAAGTGGGAGAGAAGAAGAAAACTTATTTAACACCAAACCAAGTTAATTTCATTCTTAAATTCAAGAGCATCTATCGTTAATTATTTCTTTGAGACGCTTAAAGAGAAATTTTATGTAAATTTCTCGTTTTTCAAGATATTATGAGAAAGACGATCGCTCCATTATCGATTCGATGTCACACACAAAGCGAGATTTGTCGAAAATGTTATGTTTTGTTTTGCTTTTCCTTGTGACCGAGTCCATTAAATCGAAGGTCATTCAATGGGTAAATTATGATGTTTCGATTAAAATGAAGCAAAAAGCGTTTTTATTTTGATGAGAATTTCGAACGGAAATCGTTGCTAATGAAGACAAACGATCGAACCCCAACCGAGAAGTTTTAACAGTATAACAATATGTTTATATTTGTTGTTCTCTTCTTATATCAATTTCAGACGATATTAAACTCAATGCACAAATATCAACCTAGATTTCATCTAGTCCGAACCACCGACATCCTCAAATTGCCGTATTCAACATTTCGAACGTATGTTTTCAAGGAAACTGAATTTATAGCTGTGACTGCATATCAAAATGAAAAAGTAAGTTGAAGCCAAAGTGATCATTAAACTAGTTTAGAAAAGTATTAATAATGAAGGCTGTTAATGATTATGTTATGACAGCAAAAGACTTTTACAACAACTCAATTAGTTTTATAAAAAAAAGCATTAAAAAAATGAGGTTTGTCAACATAACTCAGAAATCTTTCAACTGTAGAACTTGATCTTGAGCCACAAATATTTTCTTTAATTGTCACGTATTTTATTTTCAGATAACACAATTAAAAATAGATAATAATCCTTTCGCAAAGGGATTCCGTGATACTGGTGCTGGTAAAAGAGAAAAGAAGTAAGTATTGAAAAGACTTGTCAATGTTTCGACTGGGACAGAGAGAAAAGACAATCTTGTTAGTTTTCCATCAGGAATTTGAATAATCTCATAAGTCTATCATCAGTCTGCTGCTGTTCATGTCTTACATGTTGTTTTGCGAAGCATTAAATTGACATCTAATGCGAAAATTAAAGACCAGTCACACCAATTTTCTGTGACAATTTTCGATTAAATATAATCCACAGTGTCGTCTTGATTCCACCCTACCCATACATAAAAAAAGTAGAAAACTTCAAGATGAAAATCAATTTGAGTTTGTGGAAATTCAATAATCAAATGTAATCGCTGTAAGAAAACAAATGTGTATTGATCATTCACCCTTGTTGTCATCTAATCGCCACTGATGGATTTTATATTGCAAAGTAAATAATCTTGTGATGAACTCATCACTCAACCGATTACAATTGAAGACATCAACTGACACCCACATTAGTTCAATCGAAATTGTCTTTATTTAAAAGGGGAACTAAGAAAATAAAGAAATCTGGAAAGTGTCACATCATCAGAGAATGTTTTAAAAATTGTTTACATCGAAACTGATATCGTTTAAGAGATTTTTCGATGCCACTGTTATATTGTACAGATAATGCAAATATTTATTTGAGGGTATTAAGTTTAACACACAATATTTCTTCTCTCCTTCACGTCACTCTGTATTTACAACTCAATTTATTTACGTCAATTTACAAAGCAATTGTCCCCGAAAAAAAGAAGAAAAAAACTTTGCCGAAGGTTGATCTTTAATTCGTTTATTGAAATCAATCATGTGAATAACTTCAATCATTCCGCACACATCCACACACAAAAGAGACGGAAAATTTTCGTGAGTTCATTTTAACATTTTTATTTTCCAACAATTGAAACGAGTGACAATAGCGGGGAAATTCTATAAAGAGCAGTAAAGAGATTAAATTTTAGGAAGATATAAATTTTCTATTGGCATTCCAGTCATAACAAGAAGAATTGGAACATAATGTGTTAGGGGTGATTTTGTATGTTACGTCATTAAGCAATTTTGTTTCTTTTTCATGTTGAATTAAAAGAAATTTTTAATGTTTTCGAGATGACTGCTCAATTGCATTCTAGATCGAATTTCCAGAATTCAATAAGCATTCGATACCACTTTATAGCTGCATTTTATAAAAAGATAAATTAGAAAATATTCCGTAATAAAAAGAATTCTAACCGGAATCTTTATTCATTCAATTTTTCACAAAAGATTAATACGATAAGAATGAGAGGAGAAAAGCTGATAACAACAGCAGACAAGAGGCTAAAATGAATTGCAAATATTTACATTATTCTCTCTGATTTCTTGTAAAGGTTTCACTTTGTCATTGTTATGATCTCAACCCGGGGTTAAATGATTTATTTACAGAAGAAAATTTGTTACAGTGATTGCTATGCTGCTATTTAGTTGCTCAAGTATTTATGTTGTATTGTGAGTCACAATGAAGGGTTGACGACAATTTCTAATCCAATCCCATAATTAAATGTATCGAATTCTTCTGAAACCAAAATCATGTTTGTTTGGTGACAATTAAATTCTTAAATTCAAGTTGTGCATTGCTTTGGTTTGATTTCTTGCTGATTTATTCATTTACGTGATGAATTTGTTAGAAATTTTTTACCCTAAACAGGCATCAACTTAAGTAGATATTTTATTTGACGTAATTGCTGTGAATTTCATGGATCGAAAATTAACGGATTTGCGCTTGGTGAATGCTTGCTGTGAAAATTGTAACCCCTTTTAGCGGTTTCATTGATGGTGTTGAGAGAAAAGTGTCGACATTAAGGGTTGCATTAGTTGCTACGATGAAACTTATAATTTGCGTAAAGAGAAAATTCGTGGTATCAAGAAATCAATTATGCATCCGTAAATTCACAAATAGCGCCGCACCAACAAAGCGCATGTAGCGTTTATTGAAATTAATAATCCGAAACTGAATTTTATTGCGATGCTGATATTTCCCTTAACTCACTCTTCTGACTCCTGGCATGCAAGCAATTCATATATGAATTGACTGTCGTAACAACGTTTGAAATCTATGACTTTATGTTTCATGTATCATTAAACGCTAAACAAATGTGTCATGTTTCATCATGAAAGGAAAAAATTGTTCAACGAAGCCTCAGGCATCCTAAACGTGAATTGCATATATTCGATGGCTTTAGATCATAATTTTCTCTCTCTTTGTTGCCATACTTTCGGGCAGACAATTTACATTTCATTTGTTTAGTCAAAGCTAAAATCAAAACATACAATGTCGAGGCCTGAAAGCATCCAATTAAGATATATGAGTGAATCCAATTGTTGCGCTTTTATTTGAAAAAGAAATGAGAAAAACAGAAATTTTGTTCACTTCCCGCACAGTTTTTCTCGAAAAGAAAAAAAATGATTCATAAATATTTTTCACTTAATTTCTTCAGTGATTTATGAAGCAGAGTGAGGCGCATACAAGCTTGCACAAAGTTATGATGATTCTTCTCTCACACAGTTTATGCATCAGCCGCCTTTATAGCTTCCAATTCATTTAACTTTATATCACGTTTAATTTCGCAAATTTTTCTTCTCCCTAAATTCTTCTGAAATGAAATTGAATTAAATTCATTTTTATCCTGTGAATGTACAGTGCAGTTAGGACAACGACGATCGCTTTTTTGCTTCATGATTCAAAGAAATTATCATTCAAATAATGACTGGTAAAGTTTAATCGATGGTAAAATAATCCAATTAGGTAATTTGTCATATCGCCGACTGTGCTGCATTTGTAGCTCGTTTAATTTCTCTTCATTCATTTTGAATGTTTCGTGATTTTCCTTTTCGTGTTCCTTGCATGTTAAATAAATATCTACAACAGCAATGATGGAACTTGAGTTTTGTATTTCTTGTTTGAAACTTCTTTGTGTTAATATTTAGAGGATTTTTGATTGCAAGGTGTTTCAGGAGATAACTGAAAATTTATGCGATGGGTGTGGCTTTAATTTAGCACTAAATTTGCATAAAACACATAGAAGGTTCATTTTTACACCCAAACTTGCAAGCGGAAGAAAAACAACAGATAGGAAAACCTCCTTCGACACGGAATGTGCTGGTTTTCTAGTTGAAATTGTGTAGATTGAAATGTTAAACTTTTTTTATTGCTTTTGCTCTAGTGCGATAGATAAAAATTTGCGCTACTTCAAATTTCTTTCACCTCACAATTTGCATATTTTATACTCTTGAAAAACGTTGCGTTTGCTGTTCAAGAAAGTATTAAAATGCAAATTTCCACTGCTACCGCCTTTCAGACTTTCATTTATTTTTATTTTTTATATTTAATACCAAAATAGATAGGAGAGTTAAATTGTGCAATCGTTATAAAAAAAAGGAATAAAAATGAAATGAATTTTCACTTGACAAATCTCAGAAACATTTCATATTAATATTTATCAAGACATATCATGTTTAGTTGGCATGACATTGCTGTTGCTGTGTGTTAACTTAATTTTCCTTCAAAGCTTTCAAAAGAATGATTTTTTTCTTTAACTCTACAAGACAATCTCCTGAGTGTTCAGACATTTCTAATGAACAAGTCAATATTTAGAAACGATTTTTCATCACTCAAAAAGAATAATTCGCAAAGAAACAGCCGACAAATAAATTGCTTTCAAATAAATTTGTTCATGTTACTACCAATAAATTTGTTTCCATCGAAATGCTTTTCTGTTCTTCATCAGTAACACAATTCAATATCAAATGCAGAAGAATTCGTGAGAATTCGTGAGTAAGAAAAAAGAATCAGTAAAAAGAAACATGCTTCATTAAGTTAAAATGGAATAAAACGCGTCGCTATTCACCCTATTTAATATCTTAACGAAATGATTCACATCCCTTCGCAAGACTTAATAGAATTTCGTACTTCATCCCCACGCCAACAACATAAACTGCTGAACGCAATGAGACAAAAAATTGTCATCCTCGCGCTAATTTCACTTTGCGCTTCTTCATTTTATCTCCTTTTTGACTTTTTGGTGTTCTTTACCCCACCAATGTACTCTACATTTATGAGATTTAAGACTTCAACCCCAATTTATGGATATTTACGACTGTAACAACCCAATTAGAAGAGAACAAAAGCAACAGAAACAGATGAAAAACCACTGAGATATTTTTTGAAATAAATATTCTGGTCATGCTGACGAATCTAATTAAGAAGCATCACTGATATCCTTTTCGATGTTTGATTTTCGCATACATGAAAATGAAAGCTCTCTGTCCTTGTTTTCAATGTTCTTTCGAGATCATTAGCACAATGATTCTCGAGAAAAATATCATTCAAAGACAAATATCTAATTTTAACAAGTCCTTCGTTTCACAATTCAAGTCGAAACTCATTGATGTCATCGCAACGTTCATCGGATGGTGACAAGTTGACACCCAGTCAAACATACAGCTCATCACGAGGCCCGTTGGGACTTGATACACGTCAACATCACCATAATCATCTTTTGAATCAACACCATAATAATCACCATATAGATGATGATGATAAGCTGCTTGATGTTGTCGGGCCGCCTCATTCGCCGCTTTTAAATTCGCTCCAACAAATGCAATCGCAAGCACATGGTAAGTTAATTGAAAAAGTGATTTGAAAGTTGTTTTTAATGCTATGTCATCAATCAACTCATTGCATTCTTTTTCACACTCCAAACAGGCTGGTTTAACTTTGCGAATGAAGCGCATATGGAAGATGTAAGACGAAGACTTCAAGCTGCTGACGACAATGAACGTGATGGAAGTGATTCGAATTGTTCTGACAGCGTTGGAGGAGGTGGCGGTGGTGGTGGTGCATTCAGACCAACAACAAGTCCGAAAGAAAATTCTAAGGCTACAAGTGGTTCGTCATATCCATCGCCAAATATTTCCGTCGGTCCTCCAATCCAACCTCCACCACATCTCTTGCCTTATTTGTATCCACATGGAATATACAATCATGTCGCTCCACCATTGTCGCTTCTTCACAGCCCAGCTATGAATCCAGGAATTTTTCTCAATGCTCAACTTGCTTTAGCTGCACAACATCCGGCTTTGTTTGGACATTATTCTGGGCATTCGCCTTCGTCACCGTTGCACAATCTAAAAGCTCATAGATTCTCACCATATAGCTTGCCTGGATTCCATCAAGGATCCGCTTTTGACGCAGTAACACCAGGTCAATCAAATACCAATAATGACAGATTACAAGAGCGCAGTCTCAGTAGTAGTCCATCACACAATCTCAATGCTAATTCCGATTCACCATCAAGTAATCGACCGCAATCAGCTTCGCCTACACCAACAAATCAACGTCCCCTGTCACAACAATCTTCATCAGCATTTACGCCGCAGGTTCCTATAACAAATAATAATAATACAAATAATAATAATAATAATGACCGGAGCAAGAATGGAAATGGCAACAGTACAACAGTTCACAAGACCTCAACGCCATCAGAATTGAAGAATATGGAGAAGATGGTGAATGGTTTGGATATGCATCAGAATGGAAATACTGTACCAACTTCATTAGCATCGTCTGGATCAGTTCGTTCAATATCGCCTGATGATCAAAAGAAAACTATCAACCTCACCGATCAGTGACACACGCAATTCACACAAATGTTCGACGATGGCGACTCATCAAACCTAATTGAACTCGACTTAATCTGACGAATGGATTTGAAGAATCGATAAAACTAAAACTACAATTAAATATTGACCGAGTGCAAATAATTTCAACCTTCAGCTTCAATTTGTGAATGTTTATCAAGATCACAAGAGAAAGCATGAAGGGAACATTGTGAAAAATCCGTAAGAGAAAAAATGTGCAAATATTGAGAAAAGATACCTATATAAAAATTATCTTTAATCCATTAAACTTAAAGAAAGAAAGATTATGTAACTATCAACACTTGTAGATTAAGATTATTTTTTCCTTTTATTTTTTTTGGAATCACAAATCACACTCAACTTCATTATAAAAAATATTTTTAAAAATCAATTGAATAAATTAAATTTAACAATTTCTTGTGCATATTAAATTGTATCGTCATGATGTAAATAAATAGATAACGATGTTTCAGACACTCAAGATTCTCCAGACACTTCAGTCGGATGATAAAATGTTGAGATCATACCAAAGACAAATTTTTAGAATTTCTTTTTTTCATTTATGTTTTATGTTTTGTTCATGCTCTTGACTGATGAATTCTAAGAAGAAAACTTGAATTAATAATTAAATTATCATTTAATACGAATTCTTAAAGAATTTTTAAACATCGGCATGGTCAAGAGACATGTGCACTCTCATAAAACATAAAAAATTGTATTGGATCTAAATGTTTTTAAGAATCTGATTTTTTATTTCCTTTTTCCATCGATTTCCTTGCCAAAATAGGATATCGATTGTACATAACTTAAGGAAGCTTTTTGTTCCAACATTTATCGTAGACAAATTAAAAACATTTTCGTATTTTGACGGGAGTAAAAAAAGCTCACAATTTTTAAAGCAATATTAAAATAAAAAAATGCAGAAAGAGAAGAAAAAAATTATAAATAAATAAATTAATAAAAGCAGTTGATATGAAAAGAAAAAAAAACTTCAAAATCTTTTTGCGAATGTTAATTAAGTTAAGACTTAAAAAGTTTATGTTTTGAACATTCTTTTGTTTTAACCTTTCAGTTTCACTCGATTATTGTTTAGATATTTGGTGAATTGCATACGATAAATTATTGATAAATGACCAGCAGAAAATAAAATAAAATGAGTTGAGAAAGCAAACAAAGAAATAAAATTAAAGTTTAATTGAAAATGATAATTGATTTCGTTATATTTCCACTTGAGTCGTCCGTCGGTTTGTTTGAAGTGATTTCTTGAAGGCACTTTGCGCAAATATGATGATTTAATTACCGCAGCAACTGGCTCAATCTTTCAGCACCTCTTAAGATTTCAATCGTTAAAAACGCAGACGTAAGCAGTCATAAGCACACGAGAACCATGCACCATAATTTCTTCTATTGAGATTTTATTTCTCCACGACCACGTTTCCCCCGGCTCCGCTCACTTAGTCGTTTCAGTCTGTGGGTGGCTTTCAACATCAACATCATAAAATCATCGTTTAAGATTAGCAGAGGTATTTTTATAGCTCACCATTGCAACCAAGACATCATTGGCGACTGGAAAATGTTTGATATGAATTTTTAATGCCATTGACGATCATCATGAAAACGAAACGAATTCCGATAAAAAGTAAAATGTCTTTTGTAAGCTTTTTTCATTGTCTGACTGTTCAATTTTTATAAGCCCACCGCATTTTGTCGGCAAAGTAATAAAAAAACAAGTAGATAATGATAAAAACAAAAAGTAGATAATTCTGTTTTGATCTTGATGGTGGTGCCTTGCTTGAAAGCAATGAAAATTCATTTCATTACAAAACATCAAGCATGTCATTTTTGCATGACGATCAAATGTTTATTTACATTCTCAAATGATTTTTTGTCATGAAAATTTATCAATTTCATTCTTTCACAAATGAATAAAAAGACGCTTTTAATGCAAATCGTCATAAAACAACGAGAAAAGGCTTTTTTTTATATTTCTGGTTGAGTTGAGCTATTTGGAATCATGTTAAATGCTCAAGAAAATTTAATTAAATTTACATAAGTGGTGACCGCTTAGACTTTGTAGCTGTTTTTGGGGAGAAAACATTTTTGTCGACATATATTCATAATAAATTGGAGTCAATTTTTCAAACATAGACACAATAACAGGAAATTGTTATTAGTTTTTAAATTTTCATTTTAGAAAATTTAAGCACTAGACGCGGCCAAAAATATACACAACAATAGGCTAATTAATTTAGGCTTTTTTTTCCGAAATTCAAAATTTATGAATGTCGTGAAGACAATGAAATTAAAAATAAAAAAATAAATATTCTCCACTCCCCCTTTGGCAATAGTTTAAAAGTCGTCATTTTACGCTTATGTGGAGAGGTGACAGCAATGCTATTGACATTTTCACGATTGAGCGAGAAAGAAGTCAAGCACGACAAAACAACAGCACTATGATCATGTCATAAATCTTAATGAAGGGTTATGGTGCATTTATCAAGTTTCACCAATGGGACAATACACTTCATTACACATGTAAGTCGCTCTTTTCAGGCTTTCGTTACTTTTCACTCAACTAAAATCGTAAATTATTCCACTGACTCTCTGAAAGCTTAATAAAATATAGAAGCAAACGATATTACCATAAAAAAATTCTGTTGTTTAATAACTAGCGTAAAGTTGACTTTAAATAGTTTTTTAATGCTTTTTTCGTTATATTTTATGTAAATTTTCAAGTTGTTTTCTTTTTAGTCAAAGCGCCTACAACCAACGAGCTGATTTAAACGGGTTAAAAAGCTATAACAACAGTTTGATATCGTGACAAACAGATACGAATCTCACGGGGTTATTTATGACCTTCGCCCAAGAAAATTAAAAGGGAAAATTTTCTTACTTTTAAAAAAACAAACAACATAGAAGAGAGAGAGTAAACTTCAAATTACTTTGGAAGCTCATGACATTATTTATTGAGTTCTGACAAACTAAAATCAACAACAAACGCAAAACTTTTTTTTTCGCTGCTTGTTCTTCGCTCCTCTGCTGCAAAGCACATAAAATGAAAATGGTGGAGAACCAATCAAAGTTTCATATATTTTTATGGAAAAAAATTTCATAGCGTGTTTTAACGTTTTAACCCTTTTGTTGTTGCTTTACTTTTTATTACACGCGTAAACAAACACACAGAAAATATGGATGGCATGAAAATTATTGTCATGTGCTGAAGGGAAATCTATAACAAAATAAGGAACCATCCGTCATTAAATGAATGAAAGACCTGAAAAGTTTATTGAACGTTGAAAATCACAAAGATAAATTGCGAAATAAAATATTTTTCGTTACAACACTGCCTTTCATCCCTAATCATATTGTTTATTTCAACAGTTAAAAGTAATTTTGTCGTGGAAAGTTTGCCTCCTTTTTTTGTCTTGAAATTATTATTTGGTGACTTAGCGTAACATGGAACTATGGGATCTGAGCATGGCATGCACAAAAGTATTTTGTTATAGGAAGGAATCTTCACGAAAATAATTGGAAAGTATTATTTTATTAATAAGGAAAAATTATTAAATATTTATGAAGCTTGTGTTGGCACTACCTAGGCATGTAAAGAGAACTGCGTGATTTAACTGAATTTATCATTCTATTGCTATGAACTAAAAAAATGCAAAAGAGCTTAATGTGAAAATTGTGGAGAAGAGAAATGAGTTTTGAAGACAATTTTCGCAAATTGGTTTCGACTGCAAAACTACTCAACCGTTACCACTGAATTGTCGATGACATTTTGCGGGTGGGGGTGAAGTTTCAATAAGTTACACATTCGAACTGATGTTCAGTGATGTTTCGCTTGATTGGTGACCCTCTCTACACTCTAACGAAATTAAAAAGAAAAAAAAAGAAAAACATGTGAATGACGGCAAGTCACCAGCAGAAGCTTCCAATGATTCCATAAAACAATGTGGTGTACACAATCTGCTGCTCTTACTATTTGCTTCCTACTCTTTCATTGCCCATTTATAAATTTCCTGAAGGAAAACTTTCAAACATAACCGAGTGAGAGAAAAGTTTTTTTTTTCTGGAAAAATTAATTGACCGGAAAGAAATATCATGACTATGGGGAGAAACAAAACAAAACTACAACTAAATTGTGTTCATAGTGGGTTCATAGATAATAAATGTGGATGAATTTCGTTTTGGTCAAGTTGCAGTTGAAAAATCATCAGAAGTGCAAAAGTGTTCTGCCTTTATTGAAGATATCTAAATTGCCCTCTAGTCAAGTTCCCTTGTGTGACATAAATTACAATGTTTTGATCATTTTCACATTTACAAAGCTATTAATAAATTTTCTTCAACGAGGCAACATCATCAAACTTAAATAGAGAGAAATTTTAGAAATAAAAGATTAATTTAATTGAATTGAAGTTCAATAGCTTCAATTGCTCTTCTCAAATATTCTTCCATTCACCCTCCCAACGATTATGTCGACAATCGCTTGATAATTTATGACGCTCGACCAGTTGCGAGCCGTTTCGATGACAATTGATGTGAACATCTTTTTACGTGCCTTTCTTAATTGCGTTGATGCCATGGAAAGAATGAAAGGAAAAAATAAATATAAAAGATGTGATCACAGCAACGAGATAAAAAAAGAATAAAATTTGAATGTTAGACGAGCGGGTGTTTGGTATTTGTTACATCGAGTGAGAGAGCTTCAGTTTAAGATTTTTGTGAACATTAAAGTCGTAAATTACGATGATAAGATTTGAATTGTTTTAAAAAGTCTCAAGTTTCATTTAATTTAACGGCTTCTGTTTATCTAATTGACGGAGAAATGACAATTGGAAGTCAATGAAGCACATCAATTGGACAAATAATAAATTGCCTTCTTCCCTTCTGTCGATCACAAGCTACAATCATCTTCCATGGAAATTATGATTCGAGAATAAAACTATTTAATATTCATATAAAGATTTTGTGTGGTCTTTCGAATTAAAACCAATTTTGAACCTCATACCTCTTGCGAAGCCTTTTCTTTTCTTTCTCGCTCTTTCACTCACTTCACCAGCGCCAACTCTATAAACTTGCCTCATTTCGTGGCGTTTAATTAATCTCTCAGTTTATTATTTAAAACGAATTAATTAATTTCTTGGTTTTAATCTGTTTCTCTGTTCAGTGTTCTGTCTGTTTCATGCTGAGGCTTCGAAACATATTTAAACGCTCCGTAATTAATTTTTCCCTTTTTTTACTCTCATTTTTTCGGATCTTTTTTCTTTTTGTGATGGTTTTTAATAAGCCTTAACCAATTATCGATTTGTGCTTGCAACAATTGATTAATTATTTTTTAATTTTGTCGAATGGCGGAGAGCGAAGAAATGAGTAAATCATTGACAGAAGCAAAGTAAGTGGAAGATGATGACGGTTGGCGATGATTATGGCGAAGACCAAACAATTTAGCAGAAAATTATTTGAGAAAATATTTCAAAACTGGTTCCAAGCATCGCCCACCGATCTCATAAATTTATACACAACACTTTGGAAGCTAATTAGGGCTTGTTTGCACAAAATTAAAGCCGATACGGTTGGCGAAGCAAGTTAAATTAACTAGCAAATTCTTCAGTTAGGAATTTTTCTCGTTATGGAAGTAGATACGATTCAAAAAAATGTTCGACAAACAAACGATTTATATTTAAGGAAATCAATCAACTATAACAACTTCTAATTTAAATAATTTGTTAAAAAAGATTTCATCAATGCTGGAAAATTTCGGTCCTTCATACATACAAATTTAAATCTTAATTCACTTTAAAATTTATAACTTTCCTTCCTTTTTGTAACTTCTTGAACTCGTTTCTTGATTTCATTTTTATTTTGATTTCTTGATAAAATAAAATTAAGCTATTGCGGTCAGAAGTCGAATGAAAGCGATTTATCTTCACTCGTGGGACACCATTACGAGCTCAAAATCACATCCCAAATTGTAACCGTCATTCCAAAACTCCAAAAGACATAAATTGCTAATACCCGAAGAAGGTTCATCAAAATTCAAGTCGAGTAATTGAGGTTTACAGAAACAAATTTCTGTGCGCTACGCATGATGTTTAAAATCGCTTCTGACCACCAAAGGTTTTATCATTTCAAACAAAAATAAATCTCGTTCGATGTTATCTTTCGTTTCAAAACCAAATTCACTGTAATTTGTTTTTCCTTTTAGCTTATCTTGAGAATTCAGAAACGTTCTCTGTCGTCCTCTCAGTGAATTTTCTTTTTCCAAGGGTTTGCTAGGATTATGAGTTGACAATTTTCGAAAAAAGAAAAACTTTGTTTTGATTAATTGAAATTTTAAACTTTTCAGACTATAAAACGTAGTCTTGAATAAAAGTACAAGTACTAAGAATAATTTAAAAGCATTCAAACTTTTAGTTTTTATTATTAATCTACGCGATAGGAATTGAAGTTTCACATATCAACGATAATTCATGTCACGAAGTTAAGCGGTGAAAACTTCTTTGAAATTTTAACCATTTTATTCATCAATTTCGTTAGCTTGTCTCAATTCCTAACGACATTAAATCGACACTCACTATTTATAAAATTAAATAAAAGCAATTGAAAAAGCGTTCTAAGTTAATGATTGTTGAAAACAATTGCTTGTGAATCATTTTCGCAGACCATCCTTTGATTTCGAGAGAATTATCTTTTTCTGCAAAAAAATAAAACGGAAAGCGTAAATAAAAATAAACACATTTGCGGGCGGCTTCGTTTCAATACATACTTAATGTGTAACACGCCTGTGAAATCAGCATTAAAATTCCTCAACTTATCTGCCTGTTTAATTTTTAATTGTAGCGGTTGACTAATTCATAGTTATCGTCCGTATCGACTTTTGATTCTCTCAGCACCGGAAATACAAAATTTATTGGCATCAATTGTATTGTCAGAAATCTTGGTGCTGACAAATTGTCGCTTCAAACATTTCACATGTAAATTTTCAGTAGCGAGGAACAAGCACTTAAAAGCACTTTGCTTCAATTCAAAATAATCACCTTATAAATATATTTACTGCAAGTGTTAAAAATTTCTTATTTCAACCTATCATTAAAGTGTGATAAAGTTCATCATAAGACAAAAAGTTACTGTTTGAAACATTTTTATTTACCCAAGCATTTTTATCATCAAAATTTCATCTCTCGAATAGAAAATAAAGTTGAAAAAAGAATTATAAATGAATTCTGATAGTTTTAATAATTGAAACTGAAATAAAATCACAAACAATGGAAGATTAAAGTACATAAAGCTTCACTACTAAAAATGCATGTTAAACTTTTTCTCTCCACTCTTTACACGTTTCTTTAGAAAGAATTTTAATCTCTCGAAAGGCATCACCATATCATGATGTGAAAACATTTCAAAAAACACTTTAAGCTCGAGCATGTTCTTAAAGAGGCGCGATTCCATGTTTTACAATTATTTATGGAATCAGTTGGGGGTGTCTCTGTTAAAGGCGATACTTTAAATGTCTGGACGTTGTCTCTGTTGGTAATCATCTTAAAATCTCAGTGAAGTAAATAATAATAACTCTAACGTATGTTGAGTCTTCTGAATAAACGCTGAGAGAATCTCACCCATCGTCACATAATCTGTCTATACAATAAAACCAACAAATCACATGTGATCTGTTATCGCAAGAAATAATAACACGAGAAAAGAACTTTGCAGGTTGAAGGAAGGTTTCTTGTTTAAAACAACATTTTTCCATGAACTAGGTAATTTGTAATTTTATTGTAGGTTGCGAAAAGACATTTTATAAGCAGTAGACAGACAGCAAGCAAAAATTATTATGTAACAGCAGATGACATTGTAAATTAAGAAATTAAATGAATTCTCTTTTTTCGAAAAACGTGATAAAGTGTGAAAAATTATTAAATGCGATTAAGAGCATAATTATTAATGTTTACACTTCACACAAATGATAACTGAAATAATTTAACTGAAATGCGGTAACAGTAATTTTTCAACAATTTCATTTAAATTTTAAAATGTATTCACAATATCAATTGATTGCTAATTAACATAATATGTTTAATTTATTGAATACAAATAGGTCAAACATTAAAGACATGAAATAAAAACACACTTTAGAAATTATTGAGAACTTAAAAATGAAAATTTATGTGCAAAACAATGTAATAAAATATTTTATAACTAGAAAGAATTATTTACAAGATCTACTTTCCTATTTTGATTTTCTTAGAATCCTGCAATGTATAAAAATTAAAAAAGTGTTTTATTAAGATTTTATTAAGGCTCAACGATATTCAACGACTGAGTATCCGTTGCTGCCACTTGAAAGTTCTTTTCTTCTCAACAAATAAAGTGACATCTATCGGAAAACGTTCACACAATTTTTTAAAACTTAGAAATGCGTTAAAAAATTCGTTCATGATCATTTTGTCTGTTGAAATTCGGGTGTAGAAGCAACTGGTTTTTCTAGAGTTTATGATGAGAATGGAAACAAAGGTTTCCTCTAATCTAAAATTGTCGTTATTGTTATTTAGCACGTGTTAAACGTTTATTATTTACATCGACACGATCAAAAAGATTTATTTTATCACTTGGTCAACATTTAGTTTAAGTTTATTGATAACAGAGTTGAACACATTGGTATTTGTAAACAATCATCAACACTCTAATGTTGTTGTGATCATGATTATTAATCGAAACATTTTAATTTAATGTGTAAACATTAGATATAGAATTTCATGATGTTTTTTCCTATTTCAATTCTAAATAATATTTTTCGCTGATATAATTTTATACAAAAACTCGTTCTTATGTCTATAACGAATAAAGCGATCTTCGATCTCACTTTGCTAATTCTGTATAAATAGGCTTGTTTGAGTCTTTTTCTCTCAGTCTTGTTTCAAAGGTGAGAAAATTAAGAAGTTCTAAGATGAAAGCTTTCGTTGCAAGTTTTTTACTTTTCGGCTTGATTGCCTATTGTTATGGAGTTTCACAACCAGTGATTAAAGATACTAAGACTGAAGGATGCGTAGGCGACAAGTGTGGAGCACATTGTGCATGGGAAGGTGCTCAAATTTTCCCTGGTGAATTTCTGAATCAACCAGGAAAATGCAGAAAATTATTCTGTGCTGACAATTTCGATATTCGCATCACACCTTGTCCTCCACGTAACTATTTTATTTTAATATATTTCTTACATAATCGACAATTCTTATTTATTCAAATTAACAGCTACTGCTGAGTACGAGTGGGTAGACAGAGATGAAACCAAACTTTATCCTGATTGCTGTGGAGTTAAAAAGGACCGCCGCCCTAAGATTGACTAAGATTTATCCGATGATTGATTCTCATGTAATGAAAGTTTATTCAAAATCTCTACTAAATACTTAGTTCTCATTTTGGAACAGTTTGATGTTTGAGTGAAAATTGTGGTGTAATTATAAAATATGATGTTAAAGCGTTGAGCCAATAAAAATTTTGAACTAAACAAATATGATTTCTAAGTGTTTATCCAACGTACAAATTTTCTGATTACATAATCATAAAATGTGAAGAAACTTCCTAAACAAGTTCTTCAAGATATAAGTTTAAAATAAAAAACAAAACTATCTCCCTTAAAAGCTTTCAAGAGTAATTAGTAGTGGATAGAATTATTCTATTCTAAAACCTGTCTTCCACATCTGGACCTAACTAGTTATAAATTCGTCTTTTTCATTTACTTAGATTAAATTAGTAATTTTTTCTTTTGAATATCTTGTGGATTCTTCGCGGATATTATCGCCGACAATAAAGTTTAAACTTTAAACTCATAAAAGTAAGAGTGTAAATAATTTCCATTTCCGGAAACACCTTTTGAACGGAATTTAAATAATTTCAAACCACTTAAACAAGTTCTACCTTTGAAAGCAGAATACTCAAAGAAAGAAAAAATAAAGCATGTAGAAGTTTGTAAACAGATTAAAGATCACGTTTCAACTGAACTCGTGAAGATTACAATAAAATCATATTCTCTTTCGTGATTGAGAGTTCAAATTTAATTTTTTGTAATCATATATGAAAACATTATTGAAGTTGATACTCTCAGTCGTTACAAACAAGTGAATCAAATAACAAGCTTCATAATGAAACTGGTGATTCTTAGTGGTTTTTTGTTTATTCTGATTGCGCAATGTTACGGATATTCACAGCCGGTTATTCCTAATACAAGAGAAGAAGGTTGTGTTGATGGAATTTGTGCATCACATTGTGCTTATGACGGTGTAAAGATTTTCCCGAGTGACAGCTTGAATCGACCAGGAAAATGCCAATTGATGCATTGCGCTAGTAACTTTGATATCAAAATCACGCCTTGCCCATTTGATAGTAAACAAAATTAAATAATTTTTAAATTATGATTTCTGAATATTTCCTTTGTCCACTTAGTGACTGGAGAATATGAATGGGTTGGAAAAGACAACACCAAGCTTTACCCCGAATGTTGTGGAACAAAAACCAAGCGCAAGCATTAATTTTGGAATATCTATGTATGATTATTTAAAGTTCTTCAAAATAAAAATATTCGCTTACATAAAAACCTTTTCTATTCTTCTTTTATTAGTTTTAATTTGATTAAACTCTCATCATAAGCTTTTATTTCGTAAACAAGTAAACAATTTTTTAAGTAAAACTAAGCGAAAGAAGTTTATGATAAGAAATTTATATTTGGTTGATCGAAAGAACTTATCATAACTTATCGTATTTAAAATTATGAAGGAGGTCAAAGGTTTGTTTTATTTTTTTATTTTTTAATTTATTAACAAAATATTTTCGTTTAATAAGAATTGATACGAGAAATCATCAAAATAAACAAGAAGTGAAAATGATTAGATAATGTGTCCTCAAAAGTCTTGCATAATTAATTCCAGAATGTATGTACCATATAAAAAGATCGCAATTCAATAATGAACTCAGTAGAGCTTAGTCTGCAAGTACTCGTAGACTTAAAAATGGTGAAAATTTTATTTTTGTCTTTCTTTGCATTTGTGGCACAATGTTGTGGAGTAACTCAACCCATAATACGTAATACACAAGCTGAAGGATGCATAGGAGATAAATGTGGAATGATTTGCTCGTGGGAAGATGTAAAACTTTTTCCTGGTGAAACTTTACTTTACCGCCCAGGAAAATGTCATAAGTTGTATTGCACATTTGGTTTTGATATTCGTATGACTGCTTGTTCATTTGACAGTAAGTTGAGATTACCCTCAGAGATAATTTTCTGGATTATGCTTGTTCATTTTTTAACAGTGACCGGACAGTATGTTTGGGAAGGAAGAGATACAACTAAGCCCTATCCCGATTGTTGTGGAACATACAAAAAACGATTCGATCTGCCTGGTGACGATGAATAAATTTGATTTATCAAATATTTTTCAGAAATTCAAAATAAAATCTTGTTTTCGTAATAATACGAAAAATTTTTTGTTGATAACTTTAAATGATGAACTTCATTAATATTTATTTGTATTGGCTCTCAAAACTTTCGGTTTCAAGTCATCAGAAGAGTGAAAAATTTCTCTCGCAGTTTTTGTTTTATAAATTGCGTAGTTGTTCGGATTTTGTTAGCAATATTACTTGCTTTCTTTGGCAAGTGCCTGCTAAGTCTTGCTTTAGAAATGAAGTTTTACATTTTTTTAATATTTGCAGTTGTCATGGAGTTTACACAAGCCGAGGAGAAAGATAATTGTGAGTTGCGTCCTATCAGCTAACTTCAGCTTATCCTTTCTTATCAATTTTAATGTCACATCAGAATATTTTCACAACACGAGACCCTCATAAATGTAACTAAAATAATAAATATTTATTAACAGCTTCTCCTGTTTGGATTGTAAAACCAGGTGATGCAAGAATAGTTGAAGGTTCAAATGCTACAGTTGAATGCAAAGCTGATGGTCTACCTCAGCCACAAGTTTTGTGGAAAAAAGGAGTTGACGTAGACAGTTTGTTATACACACCACCAGATAAGGTCTGGGGATTAACAGAGGATGATACAAATGTTCGAGTTGAAAACGGAACTTTGATATTTGAGAACATTCAGAAAGCCAATGAAGGATATTATCTTTGTACTGCAAAAAACGGAATTGAGCCTGATATATCAACAATTATATACATTTATGTACGAGGATATCCAAAATTTTCCTTGGAAGTCAAAAATCAAACTGCAAGATATGGAGAATCAGCAGTTCTTCATTGTGAAGCAACAGGAGATTATCCAATTGATTTAAGATGGTATAAAGATAAAGTTCCTTTAACTTATGAAGCAGAATAGCAGATGGACGTTACACGATTCATGAAGAAAATATATCGAATGGTGTTAACACATACATTTATCAAATTTATTCATTAATGGCACAGAAATGTCTGACACTGCGATGTTCACCTGTGAAGCTATTAATTATATTGGAAGGTCAAAATCCTACATTAATATGACCATTCAAGGAATCCCTGTTGAACCAGATGGAATAAATATTATTGACAAATCTGGTCGTAGTGTTAAGATCGCTTGGAATAAGCCTTTTGATAGAAACTCTCCTTTCACACGATATATAATAGAATACAAACGAAGGAAAGGTTCTTGGGATTGGAATGTTGATCAAGTCATGGTACCAGGCGATTCAACAAACGCTGAAATTAAGGATCTTATTCCAATCACAGACTACAATTTCAGAATTTTTGCAGAGAATGAGATTGGCCGTTCGAAATCTTCAAATATCATAACTTTGCTAACATCAGAAGACAAACTCAGTGGAAAGCCTCACTCAATTGTTATTGATACAATAAGTCAAACTTCTCTGAAGGTTCGTTGGAAAGCGCCTGCTCGAGAAGATTGGAATAGTAAATACATCTTATACAACGTTGTATATAAAGAGACTTCATCAGACAAAAACTTTGAATTTTATGTTAAAGATCATATTCCACACTCAAATGCCAACACAGAACAAACATTTCTAATTGAAAATTTGAAAACATTTACGCAATATTCCGTGGTGGTTCAGGCTTTTAATATAATAGGAGAAGGTCCATTAAGTAATGTGGAAACCAAGTACACAGCAGAAAGAACTCCAGAACAACCACCACGTTACAACACAAATTGCAAAGTAATATCAAGTCAAACAATTGAAGTTTTTTGGAACTCAACATTTTTAAGGCCAGCAAATGGAGTAATCATAGGATACAAACTTCTGTATGCGCCTTCTAATATTTGGGATGATGATGAGAAAAAAAACTTAAAAAAAGTTTTTAAACCATCAATAACCATTCATGGATTGAAAAAATTTACAAATTTTACATTTCAAGTGTTTGCTTACAATAGTGAAGGTGACGATATTTCAAGTGATCCAATAAATTGTCAAACGGATGAAGATTTACCAGAAGTTCCTTCAGCTATAAAAGCAATAGGCATGTCATATAGTTCACTTTTGGTTGCATGGAAACCTCCAAAACAAACTAATGGGATCATCACTCAATACAAAGTTTATATGAAATCTAATGTAGCAAACAAAGCAGAAGTTCAATTTGAAGTTGAAGAAACGGATGGAACTGCTTGTTATAAATCGGGATTAAAAAATAATATTTACGAAGTGTGTGTATCCGCATGGACAAGAATTGGGGAAGGAGATTTATCTGAATGCATAACTTTGAATCTCAATGAACCATTTCCACCCAGGATACCAATATTTGATCAAACAATTAAAGCAACACTTACGAAAAATGTTGATTTACCTTATTATACTATTGGACCCACAATTTCAAATATTTCATGGCAATTCAATGAAGAACTTAAATTACAATTTAACGATAGAATTAGTCAGTTTCCGGTAGGGTCACTTAAGATTCGACAGGTAATTAGACAAGACGCTGGTGAATACAAATGTATAGCAGAAAACTTGATGGGAACGGACTCAGTCACCTATAAGTTGATCGTCTTAGGTAAGTGGATTCAATAAATATTTAAAATAAAGTTAATAATTTCATAAATTTATCAGCTCCACCTTTACCTTCTCATGTTACCACAACCGAATCAACAAATCAGTCAGTCCTTTTAACTTCTTCTAATAAAACAGATTACATTGAGAATGATGTTAAGAAATCTGAGATGGTTCAAGAAGTTGAAAATCAGGCACTTTCTTCCCAATCTGTTGATAAGAGAATCCGCAATGCTATGGACCAAATTGCAGTTTCTTCAAGAAATTTAGCTCAACTTTTAAAGCAAAAAAATCTTCAAGATCCCATTCATAACGAAGTCACTTTACACTTTGTAGATTGTCTTAAAAATGTTTTAGATAAGAAGCAAACTCAAATGAATGAACGAAGCGATTCGAATGATCAATCAGGTATAGCAGAGAATTCCATTAAATGATATTTATAAAGAATACATTTTGTCAGAGGATTTTGTTTTGTTATTAAATAAATTTCATTAGAAATATTCTCAGAGAAAAGTTTTTAAAAGCAATGATAACAATAATTTTGAATTTTCATCACGGAAAAACCAAGAAAAGCGTTCACGACATAAAAATTAAAGTAAGTGCTTTCTTATATGATTTTTCAAAAGTGCCAGCCTAAAAGTACTTCAATATCCTTCAGTAAATTTTATGTACAAGACATCGAAAGGTATTAAAATCACAAATGTCAGAAGATTCGAAAGTTTCCAAAAAGTTTCCTCTGCCACGAGCTGAAATAGTGCTTCGAAAAGCACTGAAGCAAAATATTTTCATGTGGCTTATCTGACAAGGAATAACCTTCATGAACTTATAAAGGAAAAATAATTCTTGTTCACACGTCTCTAAATATAAATTTCAGTTCTCATTTTAATCTTTAAAAGCAAACATTGCCATTAAAGAGATTAAAAACGTCAAAAGATGAAGTTCTCTGTTTTGTTGCTCTTCGGTATTTTTACGCAAGTTTATGGATTTTCCATACCCAAAGTTTATAACACAAAAGCTGAAGGATGTGTTAATGAAAGATGTGGACCACATTGTGATGTGAATGGTGTAAAAATATTTCCAGGAGAAAGGTTTAATTTGGAAGGAGAATGTGAAAGATTATCTTGTACTCAAGACTTTACAGTAACATTCTCAACTTGCAGAGGCTTTGATAGTGAGTGGATGTATTTTAATTATCTTATTCAAAGATTTTATTACGATTTTGTTTCCTGAATTAAATAGTATACGATGAATTTAATTGGGTTGGAAGAGACAATAGCAAACCATATCCAGAATGCTGTGGAACCAAATCATCATTGAAACGTCCGATTTCACTCGACTTTGAATAAATTTTTATGTTATTTAATCAATAAAAGATTTGTTACTCTTGATCATACTTTTTTCTCCACCTCATACTCTTTACCTTAAAAAAACTTCTGTTTCATATATTCACATAAGTTTTTTCAACGCTTTTTGTTGAGAAATGAAAAGCTTCATATGGAGAAAAAATTTTGATTTAACATAAACGTAAAAATATCTTAAAACATGTAAGGTCTGAAAAAAAGTCATGTCGAGTCGTCATAATAAATCCAGTCTAAAGAAAAGCACCAAGTCGAATCAAGTCAAGACCTTGATTCAAACCATTATGTTTTTAATCATATTTTTATGCTTGTTTTTATTTGAAGAATAAATTAACTCTCAGAGATGTAGAAATTTATTTCTCTTCTCTAAAGAATCAATAGCCAATGAAAAAAAAGTTTTAATCAAAAAGGAAGCATGTAAATAATCACCGAAATAAATAAAAGCAAAAAAGCTCTCAATTATTTTTTTTATTCTCATAAAAGTTTTAAATTACTGGTTGTCAAGTGTGTAACTAACTTAAATCTTATTCTGAAGATTTCATTTAAAAAGATTGCATTTGCTTTATAATTTCAGTTGTAATAGAATATCCGCGTGTATTAAGTCAGAAACATCACGAGATCTGAAACTTTACGATGAAATTTTTAATTTTATTTCTGTTTGTGTTTGTTGCACAATGTTTTGGATTCATTGAACCTGTCATTCCTAATACAAAAGCTGAAGGATGTAGAGGAGACAAATGTGGATCACATTGTGCGTTGGAGGAAACAAAAATTTTCCCTGGTGAAGAATTAAATCTTACTGGAAGATGTGGTTTATTTTATTGCGCTGACAACTTTGATATTCATATAACGCCTTGTCCTTTTGACCGTAAGAAACTTCTTAATTAGAAATCTTTTCATTCATCGTGTTATTTTTATTTAGCAAATGGAGAATATGAATGGATAGGTGCGGACGACACCAAATCTTTTCCTGAATGCTGTGGAACGAAAACCAAAATTCACAGGATTTAATTAAAAAAATTATCTGACTGTTGAAATAATTTGAAGAACCCTCGAATAAAGATCAAATGTTATGAATAATTCTCATACGTACTTATGTACACAAAATGGAAATTCTAATCTCATTACAGATGTGATGATTTCATTTATTATTTTTTTCTTCACAAATCCGCTTGATTCTCCCAAAATTTCAGTTGAAGCAGTAACTACTAACTCTACTTATATAAAATGGCAACATTTTGATTAATCTTCTCATTTCTGTTTAGTACGCAGATAATTCTGTTACAGATTTACAAACATTCTACACATTACTAAAATGAAGGTTTTTATGTTTTTGTTGTTTGTTGTTATTATACAAATTTCTGGATTTTCCATTCCCACCATTCATGATACAAAAGAAACAGGATGTGTCAATGGAAGGTGTGGAGATTATTGCGTATTTGATGATGCAAAAGTTTTCCCAGGAGAAGAATTAAATCAAATAGGATTGTGCCGGAAATTATATTGTCACACAGATTTTACAATTTTAATGTCAGTTTGTTCCGAATTTGATAGTAAGTGGAAATATTTTCAAAGCTTATTTACCAATTTTATATTATAATGAAATTATCTTAGTGTACGATGAATACGATTGGAGTGAACAAGACAACAGCAAACCTTTTCCCAAATGTTGTGGAACTAAAGGTGCGAAGAAACCCGGAAATTACAGTGACTTTGAATAAATTTTTAATGTTTATTTAAATTAAACACAAAAATTGCGAAACTTGTAGGAGAAAACTTGTAATTTGAACAAATAAACTTATAACCAGCGTAAATATTTTCATGTGGGTTATCTGACAAGGAATAACCTTAATGAACTTATGAGGGAAAAATAATTCTTGTCCACACGTCTCTAAAAATATTTTTTTACAAATTTCAGTTCTCATTTTATTCTTTAAAAGCAAACATTGCCAATAGAGAGATTGAAAACGTCGAAAGATGAAGTTCTCTGTTTTGTTGCTCTTCGCTATTTTTATGCAAGTTTATGGATTTTCCATACCAATCATTTATGATACAAAAGCTGAAGGATGTGTCAATGGAACATGTGGAGCTTATTGTGCTTTGGAAGATGCTAAAGTATTTCCTGGAGAACAATACAACTGGCCAGGAAAATGTCAGAAATTATATTGTGAACCAGATTTTTCATTGACATTTTCAACTTGCTCAGAATTTGATAGTGAGTTGAAATATTTTAAGTTTCGTTTTTAATAATTAAAATTTTGTTTCCTTACTTACTTAGTATATGATGAATACACTTGGGTTGGAAGAGACAATAGCAAACCATATCCAGAATGTTGTGGAACTCAAGGTACAAAGAAACGTTACAACGATTTTGATTGAATTTGAATAAATTTTTATGCTTTTTAATCAATAAAAGATTTGTAACTTTTGATCATATTTTTTTCCTCACCTCACACTCTTTACCTTACCTTGCGAAACTTGTAGATGAAAACTTCTATTCATATATTCTCTAATAAACTTTTAATCAACATAAATATGTTTATGTGCCTTATCTGATAAGGAATAACCTTCATGAACTTTTAAAGGAAAAATAATTCTTGTTCACACGTCTCTAAATATAAATTTCAGTTCTCATTTTTCTTCTTTAAAAGCAAACATTGCCAATAGAGAGATTGAAAACGTCGAAAGATGAAGTTCTCTGTTTTGTTGCTCTTCGCTATTTTTATGCAAGTTTATGGATTTTCCTTCCCTAGAGTCTATGACACAAAAGCTGAAGGATGTGTTAATGGAAGATGTGGACCACATTGTGATGTGAGAGGTGTAAAAATATTTCCAGGAGAAGAATACAACTGGCCAGGAAAATGTCAGAAATTATATTGTACTGACCACTTTACAGTACAATTCTCAACATGCGCAGAATTTGATAGTGAGTTAAAAATATTATAAGATTTTTTTATAACAATTACAATTTTGTTTCCTTACTTAGTATACGATGAATACAATTTTGTTGGAAGAGATTTTTCTAAACTTTTTCCAGAATGCTGTGGAACAAGAAGTACAAAGAAACGTTACAACGATTTTGATTGAATTTTGTAGTTAAATTGTATGATTACAGTTCAATTAAATTTCCATCTGCTTAAATGTACAATCGAAATGAATAAATTTAAATTTTTTTTGTTTACCTTCTGTCAATGACAAAATTCAGGTTTTCTGTAAAGATTAATAATATTAATAAAAAACTCAATCTATATTGAACAAGGTCGACATCGAGCTTTGTCAAGTTAACTCTCGTCTTATCTTCTTTCTCTTCATCAGTTGAAAGAGAATTTCTGAACCATGAAGCTGATAATCATTGCGTGTGGATTTATAATAGCAACGCTAACTCATTTCCCTTTGGCGATTTCATCATCGTTTACGATTCTAAATTCTGTTGGACATGGTGAGAAAAATATGTGAACTCTTATCAGTGAAATGATTAAACTTTTTAAGTTTTTATTAAAAGATTGCGATTCGGGAGAATGTCTTGAAGTGTGTGAATACGAAGACTTTAAACTGATGCCAGGCACAGCAGATTCGAACAATTCGAAATGTCTTGCAATCTTTTGTTCAGAAGATTTCACGCTTACCGTCCACACATGCATTCACGAAGAAGATCCAACTTGTTCCTACACCCACAACTATAAGAAACCATTCCCAGATTGTTGCAATCAATTTTGTCAATCAATCATTCAACTCAATTAGATAAATTTCATAAAATCAAAAGAAAGTTTCAAAGAAATATTTGCTTTTCTTTCTTCTACTTTTATTATTTATTTAAATATTTTCACAATTATTTCAATACAAGTTAAAAATTATTTAAAAAACACAAAGAAAATGTCAAACGTAAGAAAAAAAAAAGTTATCATTTAATTATTAAAAAAGAAAGTCTAAGTGAATTAAAAATGAAATTTTTTAAGAAAAATATGTTTGAAGATTACAATTTATTTTCCTTCGGCTTTGTCATCACTCATCGACATGGTCTGTGAAGAAAGTATTGGAAATCATTAAATAATTATCACTGTTATGTTAAAATGTAAAACTTACATTCATGCCATCACTTATTTGATCTTCAGGCTTATCATCATTTGATACCGAAGCAGTTTGCGGATCCTTTAATGAAATTGTAGGCTCGTACGGTTGTCTTTTAACAAACATATTATCCAATATGTGATCAATGTTTTCAGCACCACTGGCACCTTTCTCACTCTCAATATTCTTATCTGAATCATCAGTGCCAGCACCTCCGGCGCTTTGAATTTTTTTATGATCACGTGGCGCTAAAATTGGTATCGGATTAGGACGTCTTTGAGGTGGTTGAATGATTCTTTGTGGATGTGTTGGAGCAATTTGTGCATTGGGATAATAAGTCAATCCACTTTGCGTTTGATAAATTGGTTGTTGGGCAGTTGGTGGAGGTTGTGTTGCTGGTGATGGCTGAGGAGGTGTCGGTGTAGCTGTTGGTGGTTGAATATTATAATTCTGATAGTTCGTATATTGTGGATAAGCTGGCGCTGCTGCAGGAGCTTGTGGCTGAATTGTTGACACATAATTTAGAAGTTGTTGCTGCTGTGGGGTTGGCTGTGTTTGCGGTGGCATGTAAATTTGTTGAGATTGTTGTGGCGGCAAGTATTGCGAGGGTGTTGGCTGTTGTTGATACTGATATTTCTCAACCATGGCATTCATCATTGCTGCTTGTTGTGCAGCAGCAGCTGCATATTCACTTGCTGGATTTGTTGGATAATATGCAGCTTGATACTTTTGAGTTTGTTGTTGTTGCTGCTGCTGTTGTTGTTGTTGGTGGACATTTGATCCTGGATTGGAAGTCTGTGGAACTGTTTGTGGATTCATCATAGTCGCTGATGGAACTTGTTGTGTTGGCATAACATTCTGAACATGTGATGGCTCAATTTCTTGTTGCATATATTGCTGTTGTTGTTGTTGCTGTTGATGATAAGCTTGCGATTGTGCTTCATTGACATTTGATCTTTGACGACTAGTCGAATATCGTTTTGATCTTGTCATTTCAGAATTATTCATCATTTGTGAGTCTTGCATGTTGTTCATTGATGGATGTTGTCCACTATTACCGGCAACTTGATTCAAATTAACATTTGTCGTCTTGCCTTGTTGTTGCTGATAACTTTTCTCCATTAATTTCATTTGATCGACTTGATGATCAGTGTATTGAAGATTCTTATTAGGCGATATCGCTGAACTTTGATTTGACATCTGTTGTTGATGCATCTGATGTTGATTATTCACTTCCTTTTCTCGACTTCCCCGTCCATAATTACCTGACGAGTTATCAAAGTTCAAAATTGTACGTGACGATCCCGAAGCTTGAGCATTTGAATTATTTGCAGCATTATTCATTTTACTGTTGATAAAACTCATTGACGAAACGGGAGTTTCATTGTTGTAACGTGATTGTTGATGATGCTGATGTGCGCTGCTCGATGTTGATTGACCCTGTTGCGAAGATGATGACGTTTGCATTTGTTGATTCAATACGTTATTATTCTTCGGATTATTTGACTCGTAATTAATATTTTTACGATTCTGATTCTTGTATTCAATATTGTGATTGAAGTTTATATTCTTCTTTCCTTTGACATGTCGTGCGTTGTTATTATTGCTACTGGTATCATTATTATAGCGTTGATTTCGAGGTTCACGCGAGCCACGATCATCTCTTGATCTCTGTTCACGATTCCTGACCGGTGATCGATAGTTTGATGATGATTGTGGATCATTTTCATCTTGCGGTCTGCTTGTACGACGAATTCGTCGAGTCTTAGACGAAGTTTTAGTAGCGCCAAGGGCTGGAAAGTCTTCTGGACGTAGAGGCCGTCGTGTTGAGGCCGGTTTCATAGCTTGAGTCTTTCGGTAAGCTTCTTCATCTTCCCAATTTCTCGAGTACTTCGATTGATGACGTCCATATCGTCGTTGTCGACGTGGACGAGGTGCACAGTCTTCATTACGAATATCATACCCATAAGCAGACACGAGTTCAGCTCGTGATTTCGGTGCTTGTTCGTTTTCATTGAATCGATCATGTGTCCATCTGTCAGTGTCTTTAGTCTTTTTCACTTGTTTCGGTGTGACTTTCTGATTTTGCGTTGAGAGAATTTTGCTTGATGTGGATAAAGCCTCATTGCTGTTTGTTGGATTTTCTGGATTCTCCTGCTGCTCAACAGAATCAAGATCTTCTACTGTACGGTCATCGTGCTCGTAAAACGTCCCTTTCTTGGGAATGTACTGAGGATTTGAGCGATCCTCATCATGATCAACTTTCTTCTTTGTTCCACTTTCACTTTCTTGCTCTTCTTGTCCATCTCCTGATTCGCGTTCATCATCAATCATATCTCCTTCTTCATCTGAAAAATGCGTGGGTAGAACATCACGTAAATAGAACAAAATTCTTCTTTTAATCTTTAAAATCTTACCCGTGGCTTCGTCATCTAAGCTATCTTCTTCGTCGTCTTCATATTCGTCTTGTTCATTGTCTGATCTTGAATTAGTGCTTGCTGTGTCATATTCTGATTCGACTCCAGCCGAAGTTGGAGAATTTTCTGTTAGACTCTGTTGTTAAAATGGTGCCGAAAAAATTTTCGTGAAGAAAAAGAAAAAGAAATGTTATCAAGAATGTTGACAATTATTTGAAGTTTTTTATCAGAATAGATTATTTTATATTTAATGAATACATTTTTAAATCCTTCAACTTCTTCCACATTTAATTTTTATCAGAATTTTTTTTTTTCGCTTAAAACGCTTTTTGTTTATTTACCAAAGTCCTCTGCTTTTCTTCGCTTTCATCAGCACTGCTTTTATTGACAACATCCGTCATGACTTCAAATGTTCAACTGTTTTACTTTCCTAATATTTCTATCAAGTTTTTACTTTTTTCACGCGAATTTATAAAACAATTCCCTGTTTTCACCAGCAAGGAACTTCGACGTAATCTGTTGAGCGGTTTTACCGAGGAGAGCAAATTCGATTAATAATTATCCGTAATTTTTGAAAATTTATCCGTTATGATAATAATTATATATTTATCTTGTTGTTTTCAAACATTCAAACTATTTATAATAATTTTAATTGTTTTCTTTAGAGTATTTAATCGTTTCCCTTTTCTTGATGTGACTACCCCTTGGAACAATTTTTCACCCCTTGGAAACAATTTTTTCAACAATATTTTTCATTCCCCTTAAAACGCAGTCGTCAAAGGTAAAACTGCAGTGAAAAATTTCTAAAAAACTTTCTGTAAAAATATACTTTTCCAATTCCAAATTAAAATCAAAAATTTGTATTGAGAAGTCAAGATGGCTTCTCAAGAGTCATCGTCTGCTATTTCAAAAAGGGGTCTGACAAGAGAGGATCTCGAAAAAATACCAAGAGATGTTCAAAATAAATATGAAGAATTCTTCTCGGATTTTCTTCAAACAAAGGCACTTTACGAAACTCAAAAGTCGAATATTGGTAAGTAATGTTAAAATTTGAGACTTTTATTGATTAATAAAATGATCTATCAATGACTCGATGGGAATTCTTCATCGCGTGTCTAAAGAAAATTTTCAATAAAATGCCGCTTGCAATGGCTTCTTAAAGACTTGTTTTAGCGATTCCGACACAAAATTTTATTATCGAGTGTTAAATTGGAAATTAATTTTTGTCATATTTCAATTACTCTTTAAATATTAAAAAGATAATCATGAAATGTTATTATAAGTTGTGAAACAAAGTGAATTGTTTGATATGAATTAAGTTAAGTAACATCATTACCGAATATTGTGTTTTGGCGGGTTGTTGTTGTTACAGTTGCGCTTAATGATTCTGCATATTCAATTTGGAACAGAATTAAGTGACATCTGAGTCATTAAAAGTCTTCTTTAAAACATATTTTTAATGATTGTGAATGAGAAATGTCTGAATTCAATAATTCTAACCTGAAATTAATGTTTTTAGATCAACAAAGGACAGAATTTGAACAGAAAATCACTGGGCTTACCGAAAAGTATCAAGATGAGCTGGCAAAAGCACAAGCTGCTCATGTTTGCATTGATGAGTTGCGAGAGCAACTCAATGAGTCGCGACAGGAGGTCCAAAAAATGACTGAAACAAACAAACGTTATGAAGCTGAACTTTTGGAATATCGTAAAGATCGAAATGGAGTGATTGATGAACGTGATTCGTTGAGAAAAATGGTTGATCGTCGTGATTTTGAAGTTGAACGTATGGAAGCTGATATTAAATCACTGAAACAACAACTTCAAGCTGCTATCAATTCAAAGTGCGAAGCACTTTCGAAGTATGACGAAGTTCAACACAAAGAAGTTAATCTCGAGTATAAGGTTTGCATTTGAAAATTTTTTCTGTTGTAATCTTTAATAATGCCTCTCAATTTTATAGGAAAAACGTCTCGAACAAGAACGAATTCTCCTTCAAAATCAAATTGATATGCTCACCGTTGATCTCAATCGTAACATTCAAGAACTTCAAAAGTGTCGCTCCGAAACGACTGCAAGAACTATGACAATTGAAGCAAAACTTCATGAGAAAACCGAAGAAGTTTCAATTGCAACATCACAAATTGCGCATTTGTCAGAAACGAATGAATCGTTAAAAACGAGAATTGAGGAAATTTCACAGCAATTACTTTCGCATAATGGAGAATTCACCAAAATGATGGAGAAATACCAGAAAGAGTTGTTGGCGAAGGAAAGATTAGCCGAATTGTATAAGAAGAAGAGTGAGGAAATTGTTGATGAGCAACGTGACATCTCAGCTGTTGTAAGTGATTTAAAATCAACATTGAAAGAAGCAACTGATGAGTACGGAAATTTAGAGACAAAACACAGACAAATGGAACTTCAACATCAACATGAAATCGAGGAGAAAATGAAGAAAATTGATGATCTTAGGAATGAACTTGTCAATGCAAATCAACTGCTGAAAGTAGCACAACAAGAAAATATTGACATCGCTGTTGAACGACTTTGCCCAGCAGCTGCAGCAACCAGCAAATTAATGAAGTCAGGAAAGTCTTTAACCGAAATTTACTCACTTTATGTTGGCACAACAGAAGAATTGACAAAAACAAAGAAAGAATTGGAACAGTTGAAGTTGAGATTCTCAGAAGTTATTCAAGAAATTCAAGAGAAAGCTCCAATCATTCAACGAACTGAAATTGAGTTAGAAAAAGCAACAGAAGCTAATGCTGAACTTAATCATCAACTTGAGAATATAATTCGCGAACGTGTTGATTCTCGCAATCAAGTTGAAGAGTTGATGATGAAAGTTAAAAGTTATGAAACGCAAACACGAGAATTGCTTCGCGATCGTCAAGATTTGAGTCGTCAAGTTTGTCATCTCTTACAAATTATTGAACAAGCAAGAGGCGGACAAGGATCATCACGTGATGATTCAATCACATCAGATATGAGTGGAAATGAAGTGATTACCAAACGTTTAGTTACATTTAATGATATTCAAGAACTTCAACAGAACAATACTCAACTTCTTGCTGTTGTTCGCGATTTAACATCGAAAATCGAAGAGATGGATGAACTCAAAACTCACATGGATCAAGCGACTTATGAAGCGAAGATTGAGAATTACACAAGACGTCTGCAAGATATGCAAGAAAATATGGAACTCCAAACACGAATGATGGAGAAATGCATTTCACAACGTGAACATTACAAGAAATTGTACAACGATTCGATGAAGAAAGGTGTGAATAAGAACTCAACAATGAATGATAACTTCATGGACATTGGTGATGATGACAACAACACACCAAGTGCAAGTAACACAAGCCTCAACTCAGCTGGCCTTAATTCAAGTGTCGTCACAGAAAAGAATAAAAAAATCACCGATCTCGAGCGTAAAATGCAAGAAAGTGGAAATGAATTGAAGACATTGAAGGAAGAATATGAAAATTATCGTAAAGAGAAGCGTGAAAATGACGAAATGATGAATAAACAATTTGATAGTTTACGAACAGAACTCCGTGAAGTGTCGACGATAAATTGCAAACTTCGTGCTCAAGTCGAGCATCATGATGGACAGTTGAAGCTTCAACAAAAGAATATCGCGACTTACAAGAAGCAAATTCAAACATTGGAAGAACGTAACAAGAATTACGAGTCGACAATTGTCAAACACGAAGCAGCAATGGCTTATCTTCGTGATGATGCGATGAATTCATCATCGAAACTTAGTCGTGCTGAGATAATGATTGAGAAGATCACACAAGAAAGTCGAATGCTTAAAGACAGCGAAAGTCGATTAAAAGCTGAACGTGAAGTTTTATATCGTGAACGTCAAAGCAACAGTTTAGTTCTTAACAACTTGGAAATGATAAAGACGACAATGGAACGTTCTGAAAACGAAGGACGAATGAAGTTGGAATCACGACTCGATGAAACAACAAGAGAATGTTCAGCATTGCGTCGTCGTTTGCAGGAAGAACAAGATCACTTCCGTGAGTTATCCTCACATTTAGAAAGACAAACACAAACAGCAAAAGAAAGAATGGAAGAAGAGAAGACTTTAGCAACAAAATATCGCGACGAATTGATCGAAGCACGCGAAGAAATTGAAAAGAAAAGTGAAAAGATTGAACAGTTGAGTAAGAAACTTCAGGAATCGTTGACACCCACGCAAGATGAGAATCCAGTGGCACAAGCAAATAAGTTACGTAAGGAAATGGAAATGAGATTAAATGAGATGACAGTCGAGAAGGAGACTTTGGAGAAAGAATTGTTGATGACAAAAGAACATTCAAAGCAATATTGCGACATGGCTGAATCGTATGAGAAACAATTATTGGAGATTAATGAAACTTACACGGAATATAAGACGAGAGTTGAGGTTGATCTTGCACAAACAAAGAAAAGTGAAGCGAATCTTAAGCAGCGTGTTAATGACTTGGAAACTGAGATCTCGCTTGACATTAACAATCGTCAATTAATGGCTGGTGATACCAACACACAATTACACAAAGCACAAGTCGACTTGAAAGAAGCTTTAACGAAGATCAGTGAGAATAATCGCGAGTTGCGTGAATTGCGCGAAAAGTCGACGTCACTTGCGACAGCTTTGGAAGCAGCTGAACAGAAATACGCAAACGAAATGATTCTCCATTCGAATGATATAAAAACAATGGCACGATTGAAGGAACAAATGAATGTAATTCATCTTCAATTTGAGGAACTTAAGAATGCTCGTGAGACGGCTGAAGAGAAGCTTGAAAATGGTAAGAAAATGTGGAATGAAAAGCATGAAAATCTTGTGAAAGAGAAAGTTGAGCTTGAAGGACGTTTGGAAGATTTGGACAAACAAAATTCAGCTTTGCATGATCAATTGCAAGAGTTGAGCACGAAAATCTTCATGAATGTGTCACAATCAATGGATGAATCAATGGCCAGCACAACAAACACTTCCATGAATCGTTCAACGACAGGCGATGATGAAAAATCAAGCGAGCAATTGTTGCAAGTTATCAAATATTTAAGAAAGGAAAAAGACATTGCGGTGGCTAAATTTGATATTCTTCGTTCAGAAAACATTCGATTGAAATCTGAACTTCAAATCATTCAAAAGAAGTTTGAAGAAGCTCAAGAAATGAACATCAACAAGACTGATAGCGAATCAAGCGCTTTGAACAGTGCAAGACACGAAGAATTGTTGAGAAAAGTTGAAACTCTCAATGCAATTACTGACAGTAATCGAATATTGAGAGAAGAACGCGACACACTGTCAAATAAATTTAGTGCACTTCAAGATCGTGTCATGATAGTTGAAGACGAGTTGATTCCGTTACAAGAGAAATGTCGTGAATTTGAAGTTAAAAACGACACTTTAAATGCTGAAAATCAGTCACTGAGAAATGAAGCAACACGATGGAGACAACGTGCCAACACGTTACTTGAACGTTCAAGCAAAAATTCACCCGACGACTTCAAAAGACTTCAAAGTGAACGTGAAAATCTCGCGAAAATGCTTCAAGTTGAAAAAGATCAAAACAAGAAGACAAGCGAGGAAGTTCAGCAAATTAAACAAGAAAAGGCGAAAGTTGACGAAACAATTGTCAACTTGCATCGTCAATTGAATCAACAGCAAGCTGACAACAAGAAAACAAGTGACGAGTTGTTGCAATTGAAGCAATCGAGTGCTAGAATGAGTCAAGAATTGTTAGAAATGAAACTTAAAGTTGATCTCAAAGAAGATGAAATGAAGAAACTCACCGAAGAACTCAACAGCAAAGAAATGCAATTAACAGCACTAAAAGAGAAAGAAATTCAAATTCGAAAGATTGCAAAACGTTACAAAGATCAATTTTTGGAGTTGAAGTCTCAAATCGATTCTGGTGCGCTTGTTGGTGCATCGAAAGATGGCGAAAGTAGCGATGTGGCGATGGGAGGTGAGCCAAGCACAAGCACAAGTTCACAAGACAAAACATCGGATGACAGTAAACAACAATTCGAAGCAAGAATTCAACAACTCCAACAAGACATCGAAACAATTCGAACGGAGAATGATCAGTTGCAGCAGCAAAATAATGAATTGAGAACAGCAGCAGCGAAGGAAGAATCTTGCAAAACAGTTTTAGCTAAAGCGAAGCTGACAATCACACAAATGAATGAGAAGCGTGAACAGTTGACACGCGAATTAACAACAACGAAAAGTCATTTAGATCAACGAACGGAGGAACACGAGCAAGTGATTCGCAATATTAAAGCACAATTTGAGAATCGAATTCAAAGATTGGAAAAGGAAATCAACGACCATGCAGCTGAGAAGAGCGAACTCATGCAAAGATTTAATCAACTTCGTCATGGACAAACAACAAAACCAGCGACAAGCACAATGGAGAAAGGAACGTCAGACGCATCGTCACGTACTGCAAATGTTAAGCCAATGGCGGGACCAAGTCAACAATCGGCGACTGTTCAGCCATGGCGTGGTGGGAGTGGATCATCTGGTGAGACGCCTTTAGCTTCGATTCGTCCAATTTCAGTTCAGAATTCGAGAACAGCTGCGGTTATGCCAACAACGAACGTCGCAAGTGTTCAAGGATCGTCAGCCAGTGGATCGTCGTCATCAACATCAACATCGAATGCCGGTCCATCATGTGCCAGTGTCACAGCACTCGTTCCACCACAACAACAAGTTCACACAACTGGATCACAACCAGGCGAAGCAATGTCAAGTTCACCAACAAGTTCACACACTGATTACATGCCAGCTACAAGTTCAGCAACTGTCGTCGTTGTTGCAATTCCACCAATGGGTTCAAATCAAAACGCAGCTGAAAGTTCATCGCAAGGACAAGATTTGGATCAAATTCCACAAGGTGGTGAAAGTTCCATTCAAGTTGTCACAGCTGGTCAACCACTCGCACAAACAGTTGCTTTAGTGTCACCAAGAATTGAAACGCAGCAGTCACAAATTCAACAGAATTTAGATAATCAAGCGCCAAGTACATCTGGTGGTGTTTCGGTAAGTTGAAAATTGTTAAATATTTGTTGATTTATTTTCTAATTTAAACTTTGATAGGTTCCACAGGTTGCTGTAACACATCATCATGCATCAAGCAGCAACACAGTCACAACAACACAAGCTGGAACTCACAAGAGACCAAGAGATGTTGAAGGTGATAGTTCAACATCAAATGACGAACCAGTTGATAAATCATTGCCACAAAAACGTACACGTCTTCAAGATGGATCATTTCAGGTAGTGAGTAGTGAGATTTTATTTGTTTGTTTGCGATTTGATTGTGAGATGTGGGTGATTTGACTTGACTTACTTGGGTTTCTTGACTTGAAACAAAAACCGAACGAATCAAGTCACAACTTGTGAGAATTTCTGTAAATGTCGACAACATCAAAACTTTAAATAATATGAAAATAAATTTTCTTCTTAGGGCGTTTCTGAGTCAGGCTTAGAAGTTGAATATCAAGTTCCGACATCATCACAACGTGATCAAGAAGACGATGCGATTGTTTTATCATCAGAAGATGACGACGATGATGACGATGAAGCGATGCCTGATGAGGGAATTGAAGGTGATGGTATTGAGACTGATTATGCTTATGAGATGGAACGTCAAGAGATTGACGAAGGTCCCGACATTGATGACATTCAATCAAGTGCTAACAATGAAGTTGAAATCGAAGAAGACATCTCAGAAGTGCCAAATCAAAGCTCAGCTGACACTGTCGTTGGTCAAAGTTCGCAATCGGGTGAATCATCGTCGTCATCATCTGTCGCTCGTCAAACAGAGAATCAACAACAAATTCAAAGCATATCAAGTGGAAGTGGGAATGGCAATGGAAATGAAGAAGCTGGGCCATCAACAAGTTCCGGCACGAGTTCAAGTTTAAGTCCATCAGCAACATCACAATGGCGTCAATCACCAAATGCATCGTCATCAAGACAACAAGCACAACATTTAATGCTGATGAGTCAAACGTTCCAAGATGAAGCATCAGATGATCGAATCGTTCCAAGTACGCCCACGCTTTATCGTTCACGTGGCGATGGATTCTCCGAAGTTGTTTCATCACCACATCCAGCTCAAGTTCCTCATGCAACAGCACGTTTCACATTTGGTGAATCCTCGTCATCAAGTTCATCATCTCGTACAATGGTTGAGGGAATGGATGAAACGAGAATTGATTTGACTGATGATCATGGACAGATTGCAGCGAGTGGACGAAACGTTCCAAATATTCCACAACAACAATCACCTGGTGATGTTATGATAAATGATTCAACATCAGCCAGTACAAGCTCAACATCATCAAGTATTTCAACAGTGATTCAACAAGATCAACAGCCAGTCGCTGGTTCATCAAATCAGGAAGAGAGTCAAGTTCCTGAAATAAGTATTACTGGTGTTGACGATGGTAAGATGAAGATTTGAATTTAAATTTACAATTTTCATTTAACATTTTCTTCATTTATTAGATTATGATGGAGCATCAACATCGGCAGGTGTTGACGAGTCAGGAAAATTGGAACAACAAGACCAAGAAGATGACGGCGGAGATGGTGTAAGTTCAGAAGGAGAGAAACCACCAGCTACAGGGTCGAATGAAGTAAAATATTTCTCTTTTCAACTAAAATTGATAATTTTATTAAACAATATTTAATTCTAGGAAGATACAAGCGAAGCTGATATGCTTGAGCAACCTCAAGTGACACGCACAACACGTTCAAGCGCAGTGACAAGAGGCTCGCCAAGTCCACCACAACGTGCTGGAAGAATTTTGCGAGGAACTCATCGTGGTGGCAATCGTATCCAGCCAATTGTCTGGAATCAACAAGAAGCTCAAATGATGGGTGAGTTGAAAAATTGCATGGAAATTATAGATATTTTTTAACCGGTATTTTTAAGATTTCGGTTAACCTAGTAACCGAAACAAAGAAACTCGGTTAACCTACGGTTAACCGAAACCTTAAAATAGTGATAAAAATTTGATTTTTCAACATAAAAAATTGAAAAGAATGCTTAATATGCATATTTCCACTCTTTCCCTAGTACATTTATTGCACTTTGCTTGCTTTTGATTCAAAAATATACAAAAACTTCAAAAAAAAAGATTTTGTGGCTTTTAGTATCTTTGAATTAAATATTTAGACAATTTTATAAAAATAAATTATTTTTAATGGAAAGAATGCATATTACTAAACTTTTATTCGTTTTTATTCAAGAANCCACAACGTGCTGGAAGAATTTTGCGAGGAACTCATCGTGGTGGCAATCGTATCCAGCCAATTGTCTGGAATCAACAAGAAGCTCAAATGATGGGTGAGTTGAAAAATTGCTTGGAAATTTCTTTTATTTAAAGAATTATTTTTTGTGCAGGTTTGCAACAACGACAACAGCAACAACCATTCCCATCACCACCAAATCGCGGTTCAAGAGCTCGTCGTGGGTCTAGAGGGCGAGCTGCAAGTAGCACTAATTACGGTGGCAACATGAGATATTGAATTCGTTAATTCTTCTACATTTAAGTTTAAGTTATTCTCAGTTTAAAAATCGAAACTCTACAGAATTCTTGTCTTAATAATTTCAGTAAAATATATGCCTATGTGATTTTAAGTTTGAAATAGAAATCAGAATAAAACTCTTCGATTTGTAAACAATAAAAAATAATTAATTCATTCTTAATTTTTGGATATCTATGAAAATTTAACGGTCGTTTTGAATTTGAAATTTGGTTCGACTCTCTGACAAAATGTAAACAAACAAAGAAAATTTTGCCGGTGATTGAGAAGCTGAAATATCTTTTAAATCTTTAATTATAAACGTCAAATGGCTTGTTATTGTTGTGTTCTTGGTTGTAAGAACAACAATCATAAGCCTACAAATAAACATTTCTTTCGGTTTCCAAAGCACGATGAGAAAAGAGTGAAATTGTGGACAAGATTTGCAAGACGAAAAGTCAATTCAACTTCTGTTATTTGTGAAGATCATTTTGAATCATATTTTGTGGTTCAGAAGGATAAAATTTGGAAGTTAAACAATGAAGCTGTTCCTACAATTTATTTCGAACAGCATGAAAATGAAATAGAGAAGAAAATTGTTGAATTCAATGGTGAAGATTACATCGGACAAGAAGCTGATAAAATGAGAGATCAGGAAGCAGAAGCTCTTTTAGGTGAACAATGGAAGATCAATGAACTTCATTCACGATGCAGATTTTGCACTGAAATAAAAGAAGAATTAATTGAAATTTCAAGTTTTGCAACGTACAACATTGACATAAAAGCTTTTCTTCAATTTTTGGATCTTCATGTCATTGACAACGATTTCATTCCACAATCTGTCTGTGAAGAATGCTTTAATCAAGTATTATTGCTTGATTCATTCATTGTAAAGTGTAGAAGTGCTAATCAATGGCTTTGGGAAGAAACAAAGAAGCTGAAAACGTTTAAAACTTTATTGAATAGAAATGTTTACGTTCAAGGAGAAAAAGAATTGAAAGCTAGAGAAGAAATTGAAGAAGAAATTATTGAACAGTCAGATGAAAATTCTTACAGTCATCTCATTCAGGAATGTGACTCAGAAAGCGAGCAGAAAAATGAAATGGAATCGCAATCAATGTTTGTCGTAACATATGTTGAAGATCCAAAGCAAAATTCAGAAAACCAAACAAGTTTCCAACAACTTCCGATTGTCAATCCAAACTGCAACAGATTCACTATAAAGAATTATGATTGTGAAGTTTGTCAAAAAACATTCGCTGGTTTAAGAACGTTTAAGAATCACATTTGTGATGTGCCAGAAATTCGATGCAATTTGTGTGATGACATTTTCCAAACAGCTTTTGAATTGAAATCACATCAACAACATTTACATCGACAACCATTGCAGAAGAACAGAAACTTTTGTTCCAATTGTAAAACTGTAATCACTGGGACAATCAGTGGCTTCAAAAAACATAAAGCGAAGTGTAATCGTGATGTAAACCGTGACTTTCAATGTAAACTTTGTGAGAAGGTAATGACTGACATAATTTTTGATTTTGATGATTTGAGCAATGAAAAACTTTTTCCAGATTTTTTCATCATTACACAAACTTTCAATACATCAAATGTTTCATAAAGCCAAAGAGAAATCAGTAAAAGATTCTCTTGAAGTTAATTCTGATTCGAAAGAGACAAAGAAGAAACCTCAAGGAAATGTAATCTGTGATCAGTGCGGAAAATCTTACACAACTGAAGGGTGAGAATTTATTTTAATAATAAAATTTTCATGACAAAATTTAAAATATATTTATTAATTAAAGCGATCGTCGTCGTCATTTCAAACTCAAGCACACTGAAAGAACGGAAAATTTCACATGTGAATTTTGTAATCGAAGCTATCCGACCAAAACTGTTCTCAAAGATCACATTCGCAACACGCACATAATTGATGAAGTCGCTTGCACATTTTGTGGAAAAATATTCCGAAATCGAACTCATTTGAAGAAGCACATGGTTTATCATGATGAATCGAAGAAGATTCACAAATGTTTGTTGTGTCCGAATCAGCCTGGATTTATAAGCAAAGTTGGACTCATCAGACATCAAGCACGTCATGCGAAAAATCAGAAAAAGAATCAATTCAAATGTGACATTTGCGTTAATTATAATTTTCAGTAAGAGCTTTAATTGGTTTCTAATTTAATTTTAGTTTAATTTATATTAACATTTCTTTTTCAACAGCACAAGCTTTCAACTCCAAAGCCACATGAAACACGTGCATGGAATGGATCAATCACATTCATAAAAAAAAAAACTTTCAATTGTAAATCTCAGTTCAGAATTTTAATTTTATTTGAAATAAAATATATCAGAATATTGAAAACTTTGCACCTTTTCGTCGAGGATCAACGCCAGCCTCAATTATGCCATTTCGTCTTGTGATTGCCACAAGATTTGCAAATCCTGTGACTGTGTTTGGTTGTTGATAAGTTTTATGTTGTTTTGATTCCAAGAATTTTACAATTTCGTCATCAAATTCTCCTTCGTAAACGACTTCCATTGGTTCGAGCTGATGATAAATTCGTTTGCTGTTCATTGATGAATCCATTGATTCATTAAAGAACAAATATCGTAGAATGAATTGAACAACGGAAGGCATTATGAGAATCCCACCAGCCCCACCAACAACCATTGTCACTTCATTGTCATTATTCACAATTACTGTTGGGCACATTGATGACATTGGACTTTTTCCTGGGACAATAAAATTTGCTGGTGCTGGAAGTAAACCGTCAGAAACTGCAGCAGGAATTGAAAAATCATTCATCTCATTGTTGTAAATAATTCCTGAACTTTCAGACATTACATAAGAACCAAAACTGGGAAAGATATGAAATAAGTTAAATTGATGACTCAACATAATTATTTAAGTCATAAAATCTTCTCACATATAATTAATTGTCGACGTTATTGCCACAGCATCTCCATTAGGTGCTAGAATGGATATGTGGCCAGTTCCATGATCTTCAATAACTGAATAATTCGCTCCGTAATGTTCATAATCGTTGAAAGTTTTCTCGTCGTCTATAAGACTGCGAATGTATTCAGCATGTTCAATGCTCTGCAATTCATCTAATGTCGAGAGAACTTCTGCTGACATTTCATCACCAAGTTTTGTCCGCTTGCCAAATGCAAATTTTAAAGCTTCAACCAAGCGATGATAGAAAAGTTTATTCTCGTTGTGATACTCGAGAGGGTTGTCTTGAAAATTGAATCCTTGGAGAACATTAAGAATAAATGCGACAATAGAACCCGATCCAGGAAGTGGAAATGAGTAAATTGTGTCTTCATTGAATAGTTTACTGATCACTGGTTTTCCCCATTTTGGTTCAAATGTTAACAAATCTTCCATTGTGATGATTCCACCTTCGTCTTGAATTTCTTTCACAATGTTTTGAGCCAACGAACCATTTCCATAGATTGCGTCAGCACCTTCTTCAGCGATTATTCTCAAAGTATTCGCAAGCTTTGGATTTCTAATCAATTCACCTTTTTTGTAAAATTCTCCTGTTGTAGGATTTGTGTAATAATTTCTAAAATATTTAAAAATTATTATTTTGAAAAAAAATATGAAGAACTTTTTAATCTTACAAGAACGCAGGTTTACTTTTGATAACTTCACCTCGCTCATCAAAAATTGATGACAGAAATTCTGTAACTTCGTAACCATTTTCAGCCACTTCAATTGTTGCTTCAACGACTTCCTTCCATGACAATTTTCCATATTTTTTGTGAAGTTCAAAAAGTCCTTTAAGTTCCCCAGGCACAGCAATCGCAAGACCACCTTGAAGACTTGAAATATTGTCTGGAAACATGTCCTTAGTTGCTGCTAAGGGTGCAACTTCTCTTGCATTTAACGTCTCAATCATTCCAGAATCTTTTGTATAAATAACTGCAATGAATCCACCTCCCAATCCACTGCTTTGTGGAAGTGCTACACCTAATACAATACTTTTTTAATCAAACAACTATATGTAATAAATTTTTAGTTACCCTGACATAAAGTCGCAGCAACCACACTGTCAACAGCCGATCCACCTTTTTTCAAAATATCGACACCAATTTTCGTACATTCAACATTGGATGTAGCCACTGCACCTGTAGTCTTTATTTCATTCGTAAGTAGGAAATAAATGCCAACACTTAAGCATCCAAGAACTGCAATTATAAAAACATAAACTGTTATTGAAATAAATCTTTTCATTGTTTTTGTTACAAACGTACTGCAGCAAAAATTACATGAAGAACTGAAGCACTTTTTTCAGTTTTATCTATATTTCCTGATAAGATTAACACTTTGCACTTCAAATAACTGGTTTTATTGCTATTGTTAACTATTTATATGCAATAAAACTTAATTTCAAAGTCACGATCATGATGGTGATGTTTTACTGAGGAGACATAATTACATTTTAACGGCTTAATTGTTATTTTAAATATGATCTTCAATTATAACAAATTATAACAGTTAATAAAATGTTGAAATTCTGCTAAATATTTTGGACATCAACGTACGTAGATGGCGATTTCAAGCCTTAATTAAAGGTAATAAAACAACATATTTAAGTGACTCAAGAGATAACATGGGTAGCAAAGAAAAAAAAGGGCGAAAAAATTCAACAAGCAGTGGAGCTGCTACTGCAAAGGTAAAATTAGGTTAACTTAATTAAATTATTTAACAGCATTCTCTTCACAGAAATATGAAGCATTACAAAATTCCATATTTCAATTTGTGGAACGTAATAATCTTTACGTGATATTAACAGATATGATGAACAAAGCTTTCCTTAATAACGAACCAGACGCTATTTTGTTTATGATAAAATATCTTCTTGAAATAAAGGAATCAACTTTAGAAGAACATTACGTAAAAGAATGTGCTGACTGGAAAATGAAATATTACGCAGTCACTAATCAGTTTGCAGAGGTATCGATTGAAAATGAACAATTACGAAACCAAATCGATGCAATAAACCGACAAAAGTCAAAAATATATGAAAAACCAAATGATAAGTTTATCGAGAAAGTTTTTGCACCAATGATTTCGATTCCATCTGATGTTTACGATACTGTTTTAGCTGGTAAATCTATCACAGATCCATTACCATTAGTTAGCATTGAAGTAAAATCTGAATCAGAGAATGAAACTGATTATGTTGAAAAGGTTTTAATGGGAGAATTAGAAAAAGATGAAGATTTATGTGCTCAAAAGAACTTGGACTTATCAGAAGATTCGGAGATGGATCTTGAGCCAGAAATCGATACTTCCAATAATATTACAATTGCCCAACAAAAGGAATTAACAACATTTATCCAACTTTCAAACGACAACTCGAAACTTCAAACTGATGAAAAAAAAACAGCAGAACCTGCAATTGGTGAGGTTTTACAACAAGAAACTGTTATTGATGAAGTTCTACGACAAGAAACTGTTATTGGTGAAGTTTTACAACAAGAAATATGTGACAGATCAGAAGAGAATTCGATTAAAGTTTCCGATACTAAAGAGGTTCAATCAATATCAGATGACAAAGAAAGTAAAATTACTCAACCTGATTCTTTAAGCAAATTAGTAAGCAGTATCATTGAAGATGACTCGGATTTAAGTGATGCCTCGATGGTAATTGATGAAGACATAAAATCAAACTCTGAAGTCGAAGAAGAATCTCATCGACTCAAAACTATTGAATCTTCATCAAAGATCTCGCCAGAAAAACCAGAAGAAAACTTAAATCCTCAAGAAATTGAGAAAAGTTTGGAGTTTTTCGTCGAGACTGATAATAACAAAACAACTGACTATGATATGATCGAAAAACAATTGGAAGCTATGCAAGAAGGGTCTTTAGAAGCTACCAAAGCTTCAAACAATAATTCATTGCCCTTGCTTTCGGATGATTCAATTTTGAACAGTTCTGACACTCCCATGATTTCAAAAACAGAAAATTTACCTAAATCCACAAAGGAAGATGAAGATTTTGAACCAAATTATGAACTAGACAGTGATTAATGCTTTCACTATTTTTTTCCTAATAGTTATGTTCTAAGTAAAGAAATTAAAATAAATACCTACTTATGTAAGTTTATTAAAAAATATTTCAAATTCTTTCATCAACAAGTTTTGTTCCCACTTCATCTCTGTTTGCTTAATTCATTTTTCAGTTTTTTCCTTGTTTTCGAACAATTTGAGGTCTTTAATGAAATACCAACCACCGATATCAAGAACAGTTTCAATCGTGAGAAATATTGCGGCAGAATAGTTTACTATTTTCATTAAAGCATCGCTAATGTATACTCAACAATTTCCTATTCTTGAACATGTTTTTCCAGACACCAAGCAAACACTTTAAGAGTGATTCCTAAATAGATTACTTAAGGTAACAGATAATGCAACTTACAAATCAAAAATTTATTGAAAAAGATGAAAAACTCCCCCAATCTTCATCAACATAGAAACTTTGTTTCCTACATAGAAGCTTTTTATGTATGACGATAATTTAAGATACCTCGTTTTATTTTTTCTGTTTTCAATTCACTTACAAACAGCAGCATGTGACAACTCTTCAGGAAGCATTCCAACAGTAATTGAGAAGAAGAAAAAAATTATTGCAAAAATGATTCATCCATGTAGGAAAATCCAAAAGTCGCACAAAATGTTTGACCAACACCTGCGATTAACTGTTGGTGTGAAACCTTCGCTGATCATTTAAAAAACATTTTGCAACACCGCGAGTTGCTACTGAAATTTATAAAGTTTAATCAAATGTAAATTAAAATATTTGTTACCACAATAATTTTTTTTTTGATTTGCAGAGAAATTTGCGGTTTTCTAATTTCTCTGTTGTTTCAATGTTACCACCAATAATCAAATCGCTGTACTCGACAGTATTTAATATACAGAACCCAACAATAGTTAAGATTCCTACTCCAATCCATCGTGGTCGATGCTATTTGCCACCACAGTATGAGAGAAATAACCCACTAAGACTTAAAACCACCAAAAATTTACAATTTGTTATATTTCATTCAACTGATCAAAGAGAAATAAATTGAAGTTGGTTTTGACAATCATTTCATGCGAGGTTGTTAGTACATACTATCATCGCACTTATTGCCAAATTAAAGTCAAGTTAAATTGATTCAAGAATAAAAAAAGTTAATTCAACTTTGATTCTATAAAGTTGTAAATGATTTTTTTATTAAAATACGCAAAACGTATTTTTATTATTAAATGGATAAAATTGCATTCAAGTTTTCATTGAGACAACAAAAATTACAAAAAAAAAGTTTAATTATAGTGTAATGTTTTTAATGAAAATGTTCGTCAAAAGTTTATCAATTTTTAATATCTATTTAAAATGTTTAATTACTATTCGTTGTTGAATTTTCTGTTTTGACTACATCATCAAACAGTTTCAAATCTTTAACGAAGTGCCAAACGCCTACATCAATGATAGTTCCAATAGCAATGAAAACAGCAGCAGAAAAATTGAGAACATAACGAAGAGATTCTTCATTGTACAGCCAACAGTTTCCTTTCCCAGTGCAAGTTTTCCCAGAGACAAGACAAACACTGAAATGTTGAAATAAAATTAAAATTGAAGAATTTTCAACAATTGATCAAAAACTTACGAATCAAAAATGAACCCAAAGAATATTGGACTTGGTATCAAAGCAAAAATGTGAATTAACATCGCACCGAACACAATTGCAGCGACTCTTTCCTTTTTACCAATACATTTTATTGACAATAAGACGTTTGTAGTTCTGCCAGTAGCTGCGATGAACTTCATGAAGCACATAATAATTCGAAATTTTAGAAGTTCCTTCTTACAATTCACGGGGCATGGACCTGAAGTTGCAGAATGTTTTGGTGGTGCAGTCAATTCCCAAGAGAAGCTTGAATTATTATCATAATTGTCAATTCCAACACACGAACATTCCTTGAAAGTTTTTGTATCATTTGTTGCTATAAATTTCTTACAACCAGCGTGACATGCAGAAATATAAGTCAAGCCATCAGTTCCACAAACTGGCGAATACCTAACAAAGTCGCAATGACAATCTTTGTTACATATCGAGATGGCATCATTTTTGACACTCAAAGTTTTTCGACCTTCATCACATCCTACAGAAGAAAAGGCAAACATTCCAACAATACAAAGAATTCCACAAATGATATGCCACAATGAAAGGAATCTTGCTGATGGTTTGTATTTGGAAATGTAAACTCCACCAATTAGAACTCCAATTCCACTGAAGACAATCGCCAATGTTCCCGTTATGAAACTTGAAGTTGATGCTGATTGATGATAAACTGTTTCAATAATCTTCGGTGTGTAAATCCAATAAGGAAGAAGTCTTTAATGAATAAGCTTGTAATGACTGCAAATTGAATTCTTTCTTAACAAAAATTTACCCAAAAAGATGAAAAATTCCTGCGATGTTCATCAACATGAAAACTTTGTTGCGGAAAAGACGTTTGTACGTGACAATCATGTCGGGAATTGAAGCTTTGGTATCATCAGTAACAGCATTCGTGTCAATCATCTTCAATCCACGTTTAACTTTCTCCTTTTCGATCCGTTTACGAACAGCAGCTCGAGGTAATTCTTTGGGAAGCATTGCGACAGTAAATGAAAACAAGCAAAGAATAAATGCAAAGATTAGCCATCCAAGCCACCAAGCACCAAGCCATCGTGGATCTTTATTATTAATAACTGGCGTCAGTTCAGGTGCAATGTAGATTTTAAGACAAAGGGAAGCGAGTGCATAACCGAGTGCCGGTCCCAAAAGTCTCATGAAGAATGAAATACCTGAAATTAATGAATGAATAGAAATCATTTCTTAATACTTCGCTCACATACTCATTAAAGCTGGTGTTTTTGATTTCTTTATGTTGTCATCTAAGTAAGAAAATCCTAAAGTTGAACACAACGTTTGACCAACGCCAGCGATTAATTGTGCAATAAATAAAAGTATTTGTGGCGTTAAACTTCCGCCATCAGCCAAATTACATTCCGCAGCTACACCATCAGTAGCTAAGTACATACGNTGAAAGTTCGTAGCTCATGTTGAAAGCTCAAAAATTAACAATTTGTTTTATTCCATTCAACTGATCAAAGAGAAATAAATTCAAGTTGGTTTTGACAATCATTTCATGCAAGGTTGTTAGTACTATCATCGCACTTTTTGCCATATCAAAGTTAAATTGATTGAAGAATAAAAAAGTTAATTCAACTTTGATTCTATAAAGTTGTAAATGATTTTTTATTAAAATATTTCTGATTACAAACTTACGCGTAAAACGTTGTATTTTTATTATAAATGAATAAAATGGCAATAAATATTTCATTGAGACAACAAAGCAGTAAAAAAGTTTAATTATAGTGTAATATTTTTAATGAAAATGTTCGTCACAAGTTTATCAACAATTTTTAATATCGATTTACAATGTTTTCTCTACTATTCGTTGTTGAATTTTCCGTTTTCACTTCATCTTCCTCATCAAACAGTTTCAAATCTTTAACGAAGTGCCAAACACCTACATCAATGATAGTTCCAATCGCAATAAAAAAAGCAGCAGAAAAATTGAGAACATAACGAAGAGATTCTTCATTGTACAGCCAACAGTTTCCTTTCCCAGTGCAAGTTTTCCCAGAGACAAGACAAACACTGAAATTTTGTAAAAAAAATTAAAATCTCAAAAGGATCCAATAATTGATCAAAAGCTTACGAATCTAAAATGTAACCAAAGAATATTGGACTTGGTATCAAAGCGAAGAGATGAATGAGTGTCGATCCGAGACCGATTGCGACAGTTTTATCTTTCTCGTCAATACATCGAATTGAGACCAGGAAGTTGCTCGTTCTTCCAGTAGCTCCAATGAACTTCATTAAACACATCACAGCTAAGAACATAAAAAGTTCCCTTTGACAATTCACGGGACACGGACCTGAAGTTGCAGAATGTTTCGGTGGTGCAGTCAATTCCCAAGAGAAAGTTTGGTCACTTTTGTAGACGTCAGAACCAACACACGAACATTCCTTGAAAGTTTTTGTATCATTTGTTGCTATGAACTTCTTACAACCAGCATGACATGCAGAAATATAAGTCAAGCCATCAGTTCCACAAACTGGTGAATACCTAACAAAGTCGCAATGACAATCTTTGTTACATATCGAGATGGCATCATCTTTGACACTCAAAGTTTTTCCACTTTCCACACATCCCAGAAAAGCATAACTAATAATCCCAATCACACAAATAACTCCACAAATGATATGCCACATTGTCAGGAATCTTGCTGATGGTTTGTATTTGGAAATGTAAACTCCACCAATGAGAACTCCAATTCCACTAAACACAATCGCCAATGTTCCTGTGTAGAAACTTGAAGCTGACGCTGATTGATGATAAACTGTTTCAATAATCTTCGGTGTGTAGATCCAATAAGGAAGAAATCTTTAATTAATCAGTTCGTTATGACTACAAATTGAATAATTTCTTAATAAAAATTTACCCAAAAAGATGAAAAATTCCTGCAATGTTCATCAACATGAAAACTTTGTTGCGGAAAAGACGTTTGTACGTGACAATCATGTCGGGAATTGAAGCTTTGGTATCTTCGGCAGCACTCGTGTCAATCATCTTCAATCCACGTTTAACTTTCTCCTTTTCGATCCGTTTACGAACAGCAGCTCGAGGTAATTCTTTGGGAAGCATTGCGACAGTAAATGAAAACAAGCAAAGAATAAATGCAAAGATTAGCCATCCAAGCCACCAAGCACCAAGCCATCGTGGATCTTTATTATTAATAACTGGCGTCAGTTCAGGTGCAATGTAAATTTTAAGACAAAGGGAAGCGAGTAAATAGCCGAAAGCTGGTCCAAGAAATCTCATGAAGAATGAAATACCTGAAATTAACTAAGAATAGAAATCATTCCATTTAACTTCACTCACATACTCAACAAAGCTGGTTTCTTCGTTTTCTTTACGTTGTCATCTAAGTAAGAAAATCCTAAAGTCGAACACAACGTTTGACCAACGCCAGCGATTAATTGTGCAATAAATAAAAGTATTTGTGGCGTTAAACTTCCGCCATCAGCCAAATTACATTCCGCAGCTATGCCATCAGTAGCTAAGTACATAAATATAAAGTTGAATCATTAAGAAAATAGAGAAAAAATGTAAACAACAAATTATGTTATTCAGAAGATAAGTGATTGCAACACACAACGAATGTTACCATTTGACTTGCACAGTAATTTATTATTTTCTATTTTCTCAGCAGCTTCACTTTCTGCACCATCTTTGACCCCGCCATTCTCTATCGTAAGTGATAAAGCTTCACTTCCCGATCCGAAGATAAAATGTGGCAAAGCGTTTATGAGACAGAATACGACAATTGCAAGTAGACCAACTCCAATCCATCGAGGTCGATGGCTTTTCCCTCCGTAATATGTAATGACAATATACAGAAACAACGAACTGACGTCATTGCCAACCCAGATAATTCCAATGTTTTTCGTTGGGATTTCAAAACGCTTCTCAAGGGTTGTGATTGTGCCATTGAAGTATGAACCAGTTGATGCAAAGGCTAATGAAAGAATACTGTAAAGTGCCACAAGGAACTTCTTGCTCGTCAGTCTGATAAGAGAAAATTAAAAAAATTAATTTGAAAAATAAATTTTTGATAACTTTTGTAACTTTTTTAGCATTGATCTTCTCATAAATCCAAATGCGCATGAAGTGTCATTTGTTACTGGCATCAATTCCAAAATATCATCAAAATCTCCATTTAATTGTTCATCAGTTAATTTACTTAAAGCTTCTTCAATCGATTCTGAAATATCAATTTGAGATGAAAGTTCGTAGCTCATGTTGAAAGCTCAAAAGTTAACAATTTGTTTTATTCCATTCAACTGATCAAAGAGAAATAAATTCAAGTTGGTTTTGACAATCATTTCATGCAAGGTTGTTAGTACTATCATCGCACTTTTTGCCATATCAAAGTTAAATTGATTGAAGAATAAAAAAGTTAATTCAACTTTGATTCTATAAAGTTGTAAATGATTTTTTATTAAAATATTTCTGATTACAAACTTACGCGTAAAACGTTGTATTTTTATTATAAATGAATAAAATGGCAATAAATATTTCATTGAGACAACAAAGCAGTAAAAAAGTTTAATTATAGTGTAATATTTTTAATGAAAATGTTCGTCACAAGTTTATCAACAATTTTTAATATCGATTTACAATGTTTTCTCTACTATTCGTTGTTGAATTTTCCGTTTTCACTTCATCTTCCTCATCAAACAGTTTCAAATCTTTAACGAAGTGCCAAACACCTACATCAATGATAGTTCCAATCGCAATAAAAAAAGCAGCAGAAAAATTGAGAACATAACGAAGAGATTCTTCATTGTACAGCCAACAGTTTCCTTTCCCAGTGCAAGTTTTCCCAGAGACAAGACAAACACTGAAATTTTGTAAAAAAAATTAAAATCTCTAAAGGATCCAATAATTGATCAAAAGCTTACGAATCTAAAATGTAACCAAAGAATATTGGACTTGGTATCAAAGCGAAGAGATGAATGAGTGTCGATCCGAGACCGATTGCGACAGTTTTATCTTTCTCGTCAATACATCGAATTGAGACCAGGAAGTTGCTCGTTCTTCCAGTAGCTCCAATGAACTTCATTAAACACATCACAGCTAAGAACATAAAAAGTTCCCTTTGACAATTCACGGGACACGGACCTGAAGTTGCAGAATGTTTCGGTGGTGCATTCAATTCCCAAGAGAAAGTTTGGTCACTTTTGTAGACGTCAGAACCAACACACGAACATTCCTTGAAAGTTTTTGTATCATTTGTTGCTATGAACTTCTTACAACCAGCATGACATGCAGAAATATAAGTCAAGCCATCAGTTCCACAAACTGGTGAATACCTAACAAAGTCGCAATGACAATCTTTGTTACATATCGAGATGGCATCATCTTTGACACTCAAAGTTTTTCCACTTTCCACACATCCCAGAAAAGCATAACTAATAATCCCAATCACACAAATAACTCCACAAATGATATGCCACATTGTCAGGAATCTTGCTGATGGTTTGTATTTGGAAATGTAAACTCCACCAATGAGAACTCCAATTCCACTAAACACAATCGCCAATGTTCCTGTGTAGAAACTTGAAGCTGACGCTGATTGATGATAAACTGTTTCAATAATCTTCGGTGTGTAGATCCAATAAGGAAGAAATCTTTAATTAATCAGTTCGTTATGACTACAAATTGAATAATTTCTTAATAAAAATTTACCCAAAAAGATGAAAAATTCCTGCGATGTTCATCAACATGAAAACTTTGTTGCGGAAAAGACGTTTGTACGTGACAATCATGTCGGGAATTGAAGCTTTGGTATCTTCGGCAGCACTCGTGTCAATCATCTTCAATCCACGTTTAACTTTCTCCTTTTCGATCCGTTTACGAACAGCAGCTCGAGGTAATTCTTTGGGAAGCATTGCGACAGTAAATGAAAACAAGCAAAGAATAAATGCAAAGATTAGCCATCCAAGCCACCAAGCACCAAGCCATCGTGGATCTTTATTATTAATAACTGGCGTCAGTTCAGGTGCAATGTAGATTTTAAGACAAAGGGAAGCGAGTGCATAACCGAGTGCCGGTCCCAAAAGTCTCATGAAGAATGAAATACCTGAAATTAATGAATGAATAGAAATCATTTCTTAATACTTCGCTCACATACTCATTAAAGCTGGTGTTTTTGATTTCTTTATGTTGTCATCTAAGTAAGAAAATCCTAAAGTTGAACACAACGTTTGACCAACGCCAGCGATTAATTGTGCAATAAATAAAAGTATTTGTGGCGTTAAACTTCCGCCATCAGTCAAATTACACTCCGCAGCTATACCATCAGTAGCTAAGTACAAATATAAAGTTGAATCATTAAGAAAATAGAGAAAAAATGTAAACAACAAATTATGTTATTCAGAAGATAAGTGATTGCAACACACAACGAATGTTACCATTTGACTTGCACAGTAATTTATTATTTTCTATTTTCTCAGCAGCTTCACTTTCTGCACCATCTTTGACCCCGCCATTCTCTATCGTAAGTGATAAAGCTTCACTTCCCGATCCGAAGATAAAATGTGGCAAAGCGTTTATGAGACAGAATACGACAATTGCAAGTAGACCAACTCCAATCCATCGAGGTCGATGGCTTTTCCCTCCGTAATATGCGATGAAAACAGAAAGAAACAACGAACTGACGTCATTGCCGACCGAGATAATTCCAATGTTTTTCGATGGAATTTCAAAACGCTTCTCAATGGTTGTGATTGTGCCATTGAAATATGACCCGGCAGAAGCAAATACTAATGACAGAACACCGTAAAGTCCGACGAGAAACTTCTTGTTTGCAAATCTTCATGAACAAATTAAGTTTAAGTTGGTTTGAAAAGATTAACGAGAGAGAAATATGTTAATGAACTTGACAAGCGCCTCACCTTTGTAATGTTGGACTTCTTAAAAAACCAATTCCACATGACGTGTCAGTTGTTACTGGCATCAAATTAAAAATCTCATCAAAATCACCATTTAACTTCTCGTCACTCAATCGACTCAGAACTTCTTCAATCGAATGATTTTTATTGCGTTCAGATGGTAATTTTGAACTCATTTTTAACATTAAATTTAAATTTTAAATAGAATCGCAAACTTCTTTCTGCTTTGTTTATGTTAATATTTTGAGCTTGAAACGAAGAACAAAGACACACAACTTTTCTGATCCAACAGTCTCACTGCGGAGATTGAGACTGGAAGAATGTAAAATTGTATGCGATGACTATGCATAAGCAAATCTACATTTTAAGTATACACGTGATGAGTGTTTTGATTACGGTATCGGCTGAAAATCAAAATTACGGTGTCGTAATAATTGCCGGAAACTATACCGAGGCGAGTTATTTTCCACATCGTTGCAAAATCAAAATATCAAGAATTGGACAATCACATTTTAAACCGGGAAGGTCGTCATTGATTTTGTCATTCGATTATGCGAAATTTAGAAATGAAAAACTTTTTTTATCATTCAAGCGCACTTCAACTGAAGTAAATGAAACTTAATTTTTTTTTATTAAATTCATAATGTTTTTGTAAACAATAACAACAAATCTAGTTTTTCTTTCTTTCTCATTTTTGTTTTTCTATTTTTGATCACAGCACGATGCGATGTATTCAATTTTATATTTTGTTGTTACTCGTCTACGCTTCAATCAGTCGTTTCTTGCAGTTTCAACGAGTCAGTCGTGTTTTTCAAACTATCAAACTGGTTTCTTTGTGCACGCAAATTATTTAATACAATTGAAGTTGAAAGATGAAGCTTTGACAATAAATTGTTAGTCGTTCGATTGGTGTTTTGTTTATGTCACACGCTTACGATGTTTAAAAGGTAAATCATTAAAGCTTGTGCGGGTGCAAACAAAGAAAACGGGAACCAAATATTATCACAATAAGTAAAGTGCAAACAAATATTTCACTTGACCTTAACCAATGATTTTCATTTACATGACATGAAAAAAGAAGCATAAAGCAGAAATTATTTCCAATTGATGTTTGCTTATGCTCATGTTGCAATTGCATGATAATATTTAATGTTAAGTTTGTGTGACCTTTTCACGCTTTATCTATTGTGATATTATTCAATCAAAACATTGAGAAATGTTTTTAATATTGCGGTGAAAAAGAAAAGATTGTTGGATACTTTACAAATCAATCGAATTTGAAAGCTTTTTGAGTGATCATCCATCAATGCACATAATATTTCTTATATGAATTTCAAATTTTTTATTACCCATTTATGAACATCGTTTCAATGCTGGCAGTGAGTAGAAACAACGAATTAGGAAGATTTGTGTGAAGCTGAATTAAATTAAAGTTAAATGATGTTTGATAATCTCTTCAAAGCAATGCTGTTCGGGTCATAATCAAGTATAAGATTCGTTACATAATTAGTTGAACAGCGTTTGCACGAGAGAAAGAAAAAAATTGTTTTATATAATAATAAAAAAATTATCTAAATAAAAATGTTTCCACGGAATTTTAAATTAGAAGTTAGGAAATGCAGATGCTGATAAATTTCAGATGAGATTAGCATTCAATTTAAAACATAAACGTGAAACAACAAAGGCACTTCAGACAAATATTTATTCAAATGAAAACTTGAATTTCATAATATCAAATCTTGAATTAAATTTATAATAAAATCATAAGACAATATCATGTCTGAAACTATTAGAGAAAGAAATTGTGAACATGGCAAATGTTGATTTGTTGTACAAACTTAGCAACAAGACAATCGATCACTGGAAAGTAAGAACAGCAACGCAGATGTAGATGTGAACGAAAACAACTTTTTCTTTCGCTGTTTGCGACCTTTAACAGTTCAATTCACTTAAAACATTTAGTTTTGTATGCGAAAAGTATAAAAGATCGAAAGTTCTTTGTGTTTTACATCTGTCTGAAATATAAAGAAACGCTTGGGGAACAAAATTCTTGCGAAGACTCATCGATGGTGCAATAAAGTAATCGCTTACATAATTAAGGTCATAAATCAATTTCACTGTGACCTTCGATTCATAAAATTTCATATTTTTTGCTCGTTAAATGTGTTCAAACGTCGGAAACTTGCTGAGAAATAAGCAGCAAGCAGACGTGATGAAAAAGAAATAGCAAAGAAGACAAAAAAACTGACACAGATTTTTATTTGCCAGCTGAGTTGAATTAGAGACGATTCACGATTGTACATAAAGCAAACAATTGGAGGTGGAGATAATTGAATTGAACATTTTTTTACGCATCTTACTTAACAATTTCTCAATCATCTTGTGATTAATTCATGAAAAAAATTATCAAACACCTTTTTTGGATTCGTAATTTTTCACAATTTTATTTATAAACATCGCAGATGTCACGATCATGTTCAATCACAGTCAAGCTTTTCCTCGTCAAATCCCTTTAACATTCATTTCTTTGTAGTTTCTCTGTTATGTCACTCAACATAGCTTGAATATATTTATTTATCGCCATCAATCGGCTAGCAAAAGTTTCATTCATTCATTCATAATCGAATGTTGAAGAAGCGCGAAGTGAAGGAAGGAAGAGACGATAAATGATCGTTTCGCAATGTGATAATTTACTTCTTGCAACATACATTCAAACATACATAAAAAAACATTACTGAGTATCGATTTAAAAACTTGTTTTATTGATGAGAATAATAAGAGAAATAAATGACGCATGAAAATGCTGGCGAAGCAAAAGTTTGTTGTTCATAATGTGGGTCACTAATGCGATCGACTATGAGCATTCTTGTGAATTCATTGAACTACCTTGAACTTTTTGCACTGAAAATTGTTTAATGAATTTTCAATTATTGCATTTTCAGATATGTAATGATTAAAATTTACGTGATGATTTTAATGACATCTGTTCATGAGAACATTGAAACAAATGGATTAGCAATTGCACCACCGTCATGGTCAGATCCCAAAGTGAATCCATGTGCAAGAATGTTAAATGCATGGCAACATCTCTACTACCCGCCACTTAAAGAATGCTTCAAGATCTTCACGTTAGGCTATCCATGCCCAGATACAATGGAGCTTAGTCCTATTTTGAATGGATTAACTGGTCATGGTGAATGTAAATGTCCACCGGGAACTGCACAATTAAACACAACTTCAACTTGTTACAAAATATTCGATCGTGGGCCATGCGAGTTTGGAGAATATTTAAATCCATTGAAACAAGTGAAAGGCGTTAAGAACTCATTTCGGTTAGGTGAATGCATGAGACTTAAGAGATGTTCACCTGGAATGGTTCATTGGCCTGAGAAAGATTCTTGTTTCAAGCTTTTCACACGTGGCCCATGTGTCAACGGAAAGCTTTTAGTTAATGATGAAAATTCAATTCCAAAGTGCCAGGTTTGTTAATTCTCAGTTGATTTAAAAGTTTCAATGCTCATTGCTTCTCATTTCAGTGCTCTGACTCGGGGCAACTTGCAAAATATTATAACCGTGAAACAAAAACGTGCCATTCACACTTCACTCAAGGTATTTGTCAACCGGGAAAACTTTTTCTGCCTTCACAAAAATGTGGCTGCGATTCAAATTTACCTCATTTTCACAACGAAACGAATCAATGTTACGAGATTGGATCATCTGGACCATGTCCAAATTATGGATATGAATTTACAATCAGTGGTGATGACAGACAAGCATCTTGTAAATGTAAGAAAGGATATGTCTTGATGCATGATGGATTATGTTACAGACTTTACACGAAAGGTCCATGCAAAGATGGTCATGTGATTTCAGATGTCAAGACCTGCATACAAAATCCTTGTCAGAAGAATTTTCTTTATTTTCCACACGAGAAGACGTGTTACAGAATCGGATCTCAAGGTCCATGTCGACCAGAACAAGTTGTCGTGTTTGATTTTACTGTGAAAGTTAGTCGCGAGGGAATTTCTCACAATGGAATTTGTGGATGTTCTGGGATAATTAAAAACCTTGATCAATCTTGTCTGAAAGATGAAAGTTCACCAAAGACACTCTGTGATCCGCCATTAGTTGAGTTTCAAGGTAAATGCCATCAATTGTATTCCAAAGGTCCGTGTAATGTCGGACAATGGCTGGAGCCCACCAAAAATCATAGCAGTTCAAAGACCGTAAAGTGCCAGTGCAAGCCCGGTTACACGCCTTATGACAGTGTCGAGACAGAATATGGAGTTAGCGGCTGTCATGGTCCATCAGTTCTTCTAGCCAGGTTTCTAAATGGAAATAAAACTTACAAATTTGGATTCCAGAAATGGAATCATGTAGAAGAGAAATCGCATGATGCATGATGATTAGTGATTTGAATTGTTTTTAAAATAAACTTTCAAAAGAAATTGACAATTATTTTTTATTCTTTATTTTCAGAGTTTATTACAAAATCGTTGAACAAGTGACAACGTTGATTGGATAGAAAGATTTTCATACGGGAATAAAGTTCTGAGTCAGAATGATATTCGGTCAATAGAAAATTTATGCTTGACACATGCAAAGCTTTTTAATTAATGTTTACCTTCTAAAAAGTAAATTAGTTTAGGTGTAGATGGTTATGCTATTAAATTTTACCTTTATGATGACCAACCATTGAATCATGCCATTGAATTATTTTGTATTGCACTTGAAAGTTAGAAACGAACGAGACGAGATGAAGAAACGAATTCCAAGCGCTGTTAAATCAAAAGTTAAGAACAAAACAAAATCAAGTTCAAGTAGATGTGATAGTTTGCAGGAATATCTTTTGAGTTCAACTCTTCATGGTCTACGCTACATTGGCACAGCTTCATTAACGATTTTTGAAAGAGTTTTCTTCACTTTATCTTTTTTCCTCGTATTTTTATTGTCAGCATATTTCATCTCAAATATCTGGCAGAAATGGGAAGAAACGCCTGTTATCATTGGTTTGGATCCAACTGCAACAAACATCAAGAATATTCCATTTCCTGCAGTTACAATTTGCAATATGAATCAAGCGAATAAGAAATTTGTTGACAGTTTGGTAGATGAAAAAGACAAATTAATCCTGAGAAGTCTTTGCAGACATGATGACAATGCAGTCGATCAGAATGATAAAGCATCATGGCCACAAATGAAACGATTTCTCATAAATGCTTCACAACCATGCAATAAAATGATTGAAGCTTGCAGATTCAAGACGGCAAATTTGATTTGTGATCAAATCTTCAGCAGTGTTTTAAGTGATGAAGGAATGTGCTGCACTTTCAACGTAATTCATCCAAAACTTATGTTTAAAAACTTCGATCCGAAGTATCATGTTGATGAAGGAATGGAAGGTGACGCCGATTACATGACATGGTCACCAGAGACTGGATATGAAAAAACAGACAAGAAACATTACCCTGTGCCTGCTCCTGGACCTGGCACTAAGATGGGTTTGACCCTCACTCTCAATGCTGATATTGAAAACTATTACTGCAGCTCAACCAGATCTACTGGGTTTAAAGTTCTTTTGCATTCTCCGATTGAAACGCCAAAAGTGGCGAATTATGGATTTTTTGTGTCACCTGGTTTAGAGACGAAAGTTGTAATTACTCCAAAGATTTCCGAAGCTTCTAATTCCATTCGAAACATTGCAATCAAACGAAGACAATGCATTTTTGCTAAAGAAGCAAATTTATCATACTACGAATTCTATTCAAAGAAGAATTGTGAAATGGAATGTGAATCAAAATTAACAGAACAAGTATGCAAATGCACACTTTACTACATGCCACGAAATTTTAATAATGCATCGAATATCTGTAATCGGAAGAAAGCTCCTTGTTATGAAGAAGTTTTGTCAAACCTCACAAATTCTTTATTTGAGGGTTTGACATGCAATCATTGTTTGCCTGCATGCTTTGAAATAAATTACGAGCGAGAGATTTCTACTTCGAAATTGCGCATCGATGATAAGATAAAAGCTGAGGCAAATGAAACAAAAAAAAGTCCTGAAGAAGTTGTTGATAACATGGCGATTGTTCATATTTACTTTATTGATAACGCTTATGGTGGATTCACGAAGAACGAGCTTTTCGGTTTTACTGAGTTTCTTTCAAACACTGGCGGTTTACTTGGACTTTTCATGGGATTCTCAGTGATTTCATTGATTGAAATCTTCTATTTTATTTTATTGCGACCATATTGTGCTTATAAAAGGAGTAAAGCGAAAGCGATGGAAGATCAAAAAGTTCTCAGTAAATTATCATCTCAAAGCACCCAAATTTACAACACTGGAATCAAAAGTTTCACAAATTCAAATCATTTTAATGATCAATCGAATCAACGTGATCACTTTATGCGCAGTGATAATTTCAAGCAGAGACAATTCAATGATCATTTACCATTCAAATTAAAAAATGGATTTGTTTATGTGAAAAGTAAAATTGCAAATGGACAAGTAAATGATTCACGGGCACCATATCCATACCATAATTAAATATAAAATTTTATTCCCTTACTTATATAAAATGATTCAAGAAGGATTATTTAACTTAACCATGATTAAACTTTAACCTTATCATATCAGTTTTTTATTATGCAGCTTATTTAGAGTATTTTAGACACCTCAAATCACAGCTTAATATTTTGTTTTATAGCTGAACTTATCATGACAACTAACAAACCTTTCCTTGCTTACAACTGATCTAAACTTACAATGTGTAAGTTACAAATAATCTTGTGTGAAACTCTCATAATATTTCTAATAAAATCTTCGATTTCCTTATTAATCTAACTTAGATTGATTTTCCTGGATTTCTATTTTTATCAATATCAGCATGTTGTCTGAAAAAATCTTTGAACTTCTTGGTTCAATGTGAATGAGTCATGCACAACGCTTATAATTAAATATACTTAAAAGATTTAAAAAGACTTTTCTTAGTATGACAAACCGAAATTCATTCAATTTTTAATCAAAGGATCAATAAGAATAACTGAAGATAACCACAGCAAATATTATCAATGAGTATAAAAGGAGAACAAAATTTAATTCCATTCAGTTTGTGTTGATCATTTGTGCAGATACCTAACATCAAAAAATTCAATAATGATTTTGAGGTAAATTTGATCTTTAATTCTTAAACTAAACCATTTAAAATTTCTTTTCACTTTTTGTTAAAGTTTGAAACTTTTGCTGATCGTAACATCAGTTGCAATCGCTCCGATAAGATGTGCAACTTGTCACTTCTATCTGGACGAATTTTTGTTCTATGGTTGCGAAATGTTTGATGTTAATGTCACTGAAGAAAATCAACCTTTTGAAATTACTGGAGAACATCTTCCTGGATATTCTGATTCAAATGTCAGATGGCTGAATGTCACCGACTCTGGAATAATGAATTTCATCCCGAATGCTATTTCTGAAACGTTTCGAAGTATTTCTAATTTAGTGGATTTCGGTGGAGTTCAGTTGAAGGAATTAAATCCAGAAGCATTTCAATTTCGAATGATCCGCACTATAAATTTAGACAAAAATTTGATTAAGAAAATTCCGCCACGAGCCTTCAATGGCTGTTTGTTTCTTAGATATCTAAATTTGGACAACAACCTCATCGACACCCTTGCAGATTTTGCATTTTATGACAACATCTTTCTACGACATTTGATACTTTCCAATAATTTATTGACAACATTACCGGAAACTGCGTTTGTTAATTTAACACTGACGCATCTTTATCTTGATAACAACAGACTGGTTTATTTACCAGAAAATGTTTTCTCAACACTACAATTATTGAATGTTCTCAACTTAGATAACAATTTGCTTGTGTCAATTCCACCAAGATTGATGGAAGGAACAAGGATAAGAGAACTTTATCTAAACTCTAATCAGCTTGAAAGTTTAGATTTAGGAGGTGATGAAGATTTTGCAATATTCTTTTCTTTAAATGAAGTTTACGCGAGAAATAATAGAATTAATGCTCTGCAAGAGAATTTATTCAGAAGAGCTGCATTGGTTAGAATATTCGAAGCAGGTTGGAATAATATCAACACAATTCATCCAAATGCTTTCAATCGAAACCTCTCGATTTCCGACCTGTCACACATTGGATTATCGCATAACAATTTGACAGAAATAATTCCTGGAACTTTTCATGGACTGTTAGCTCTTATGGAGATTAAATTAAATTCTAATCGAATTTCAGCATTGACCAGTGATGACTTCGTCCAATGTCCATCTACACCTTGCTTAAGGCCTGTCATTCTCGACCTTTCTGATAACGAACTGGAAATTATTCATTCGCAATTTTTTGTCAACATGGCTCGTTTAAGGACTTTGAATTTATCATCGAACAAAATATCAGCAATTGATCGACATTCGGTAGAAATATTGACAAATATGAAAAATTTATTTTTATCAGATAATTCGTGTGCTGAAGCAAACTTTGAAGAGATAACAGAAAAAAACATTCCAGAAATTAAAGAAGCACTGAAAGAATGTTTCATTAATTATGATGAACTAGCAAGCGGATCTTTTCTGAAAAAATCCTCGTTTGTTTTGTTAAGTATTTCTGCATTTTTCATTTCAATTAACAACATGAACAACATGATATAATCATGTATCATTATAAAGTATAAACTAACAGATAGAATACTTACTAGCTCTGAATAGGGAAACATTTTTAATCAATTTTTCTTAAATAAAATTTATCAAGTTACACATTGAATTAAGAAAATTTTGTCTATTTTTGAAGCAGAGTGTTTTATGTGATTTTATGTTATAGATGATATCTTGCTTTAGTTGATAATAGCTTTTTATAAATCTTTAGGGTTGTCACGTCATGCCATGACGACATGCATGTCGTCATGGCGTCATGCATGTCGTCATGGTGAAAACCCTATAAATCTTTATCGATTTGTAGCTTCAGCGATTCTTGAAAAAGAGACAGAATTTTTTTTTGTAAAGTCTGTTTGTATTGAACAGATTTTGAAATAATATGAAAGGGATGTGAATGTTCAAATTTTATCCTTTTTTGTGAATCCTTTTCGCTTTTTCAATTTGTTTTTAAAGTTAAATTTAAACGAAAGTGCATTCTATTCATCATCATCATCAGATCAAGGACAGGCCCATATAGGAACCACCATCAAATGCCGAAACATTTGAAGGCAATGGTCATAAGTGGCACATGAAAATGACAACACTACTCAATTTCAATGCATTCTATTCTTTTTTATTGAATTTTTTTTAATACATTTTGAATATTGGCTTTAACGTGACTACAAATTGATCTGTTAGCATTCGTCATGATAAAAGCGGTGATAAGCGTTGTGGAGAAAATCATTTCATTCAAAAGTTGATCCATTTACAAGAAGTTCGTCATAATTGTTGAAACATTCCTCCAGTGATTCTTTAATTTCAGGAATATTTTCTTCTGTTATCTCTTCAAAGTTTGCTTCAGCACACGAATTATCTGATAAAAATAAATTTTTCATATTTGTCAATATTTCTACCGAATGTCGATCAATTGCTGATATTTTGTTCGATGATAAATTCAAAGTCCTTAAACGAGCCATGTTGACAAAAAATTGCGAATGAATAATTTCCAGTTCGTTATCAGAAAGGTCGAGAATGTCAGGTCCAAAGCATGGTGTAAATGAGCATTGGACGAAGTCATCATTGGTCAATGTTGAAATTCGATTAGAATTTAATTCGACTCTCCAAAGAGAAGACAGCCTTTGAAAAGTTCCAGGAATTATTTCTGTCAAACTGTTATGCGATAATCCAATGCGTGCCAGGCTTGAATGCGTAGAGTTTTGGTTAAAAGCATTCGGATGAATTGTGCTGATATTATTCCAACCAGCTTCAAATATTCTCACCCATTCAGCTCTTCTGAATAAATTCTCTTGCAGGGCAGTAATTCTATTATTATTTACGTAAACTTCAGATAACGGAAATATATTTGTAAAATCTTCATCACCACCTAAATCTAAACTTTCAAGCTGATTAGAGTTCAGATAAAGTTTTCTTAACCCTGTCCCTTCCAGCAATCTTGGTGGAATTGACACAAGCAAATTGTTATCTAAGTTGAGAACATTCAATAATTGTAGTGTTGAGAAAACATTTTCTGGTAAATAAACCAGTCTGTTGTTATCAAGATAAAGATGCGTCAGTGTTAAATTAACAAACGCAGTTTCCGGTAATGTTGTCAATAAATTATTGGAAAGTATCAAATGTCGTAGAAAGATGTTGTCATAAAATGCAAAATCTGCAAGGGTGTCGATGAGGTTGTTGTCCAAATTTAGATATCTAAGAAACAAACAGCCATTGAAGGCTCGTGGCGGAATTTTCTTAATCAAATTTTTGTCTAAATTTATAGTGCGGATCATTCGAAATTGAAATGCTTCTGGATTTAATTCCTTCAACTGAACTCCACCGAAATCCACTAAATTAGAAATACTTCGAAACGTTTCAGAAATAGCATTCGGGATGAAATTCATTATTCCAGAGTCGGTGACATTCAGCCATCTGACATTTGAATCAGAATATCCAGGAAGATGTTCTCCAGTAATTTCAAAAGGTTGATTTTCTTCAGTGACATTAACATCAAACATTTCGCAACCATAGAACAAAAATTCGTCCAGATAGAAGTGACAAGTTGCACATCTTATCGGAGCGATTGCAACTGATGTTACGATCAGCAAAAGTTTCAAACTTTAACAAAAAATAAATGTTTTAATTCTTCATATTTTATTAATAAAGAATTAAAGATCAAATTTACCTCAAAATCATTATTAAATTTTTTGATGTTATCTGCACAAATTATCAACACAAACTGAATGAAATGTAATTTTGTTCTCCTTTTATACTCATTGATGATATTTGCTTTGGTTATCTTCAGATTTTTATTTTTAATCCTTTGATTAAAATTGAATTTATTTCGGTTTGTCATACTAAGAAAAGTTTTTTTTTGAAATCTTTTAATTATATTTAATTATGAGCGTTGTGCATGACTCATGTCAGAAGAAAAAACTTCAGGCTTTAAAAAAATTTATCACACTTTCATTTCAATAGAATTTTGCTTCTTGTTTTATTTTTATTTTACCAGAAAGCTTTCTTCAATTTTTTGAGGAATAATATCGAAATTATAAATTGATGATTACAAATAACTTGAACTCTTTCATAAATGAGATAAGTTCGAATACCTTTCTGCTTAAATTCAAGGTTTGTAGGTTTATTGAAAATCATTTTCTCTTCGAAAATTTAGAAGGTACTTTTGTCGAGCTTGCAGATTTAATGTGAATTTTCCAAAAGTGATAAGAATAAAGCTTAGCTTACTGATAATGAAGATAATATAATAATTTTATTATATCAGAATTAAGAGAACAAAGCGATTGCAAATTTCGTTAGTCACAATTCATAATTCTCGCATACCTAAAAAAAACAACTAAAAATATTTTAATTAATTTCTCTAATACAATGAATAACTCTTTAATTGTTTTTCATCTTTGTCTAACGTGATTTATGTTTGTCGTGATTTACGATCACAGATATTCTAATAGAAATAGTTTCAAAACAACAAAAGGAAACACTTTCAATATAAACAAAGAAGAAAATTCATTTTCTATCAGTTTTGATAAAGAAATTGTGCTGATAATATCACATACAGAAGTGATGATTTTAAGGTAAACTTAATTTTTAATTATTAATCTAAAAGTTTTGATAAAATAATCTTTCATTTAAGTTTGAAACTTTTCCTGATATTAACTTCAGTTGCAATCACTCCAATAAAATGCGCAACTTGTCGTTTCAAATTGTATGATTCGCAATACTGTTGTGAAATCTTTGATGCAAATGTCACTGAAAAAAATCAACCTTTTGATATTATTGGAGAACATCTTCCTGGATATTCCAACACAGACGTCAAGCGGTTAAACGTCGCTGGTTCTGGAATATTAAATTTCATACCGAAAGCCATTTTTGAAACTTTCATAAATTTGGAAGTTTTGAGTATTTGGGGAGTTCAATTAAAAGAGATACACCAAGAAACATTTCAAGATTGCAAACTTTCATCCTTGCATTTGGATCGTAATAATATCAAGAAAATTCCTTCAAAGGCTTTTAGTGGTTGTCCGTTACTAACTGTTTTGAGTTTGTATGGAAATACAATTGAAACTGTTGAAGATTATGCCATAAGTGAACTCGGATTGCTGAAACATTTAATACTTTCAAATAATGAATTGAAAACCTTACCTGAGAACGCATTTGCGAATTTATCAGAGTTACAAAATCTTGATCTCGATAACAACAAAATTGATCATCTTCCCGAGAACATTTTTTCAACATTGGGATCTCTTGAAACTTTAAACTTGGATAGAAATTCACTTGTCTCAATTCCACCGAAATTACTTTCTGGATGTAATTCATTGAAAATGTTCCATGCGAGTTCAAATAGTATCAGCAGCATTCATCCAAATACTTTCAATCGACATTTGATAGAGTTGATAGATCTCTCACAAAATAATCTCAAGGAAATAGCTCCAGGAACCTTTCAAATGTTAAATCATATTAAGAAAATACGATTAAATTCTAATCATATCTCGTCATTACCTAACGAAAGTTTTTCCGGGTGCATTTCTCAAAATCTTGAAACAATAGAAAGTGTAAACATTTCTAGTAATGAATTAACTTGTGAAGGACTTGAAGCTCTGAATCTTTATGATAATGAACTGGAAATTATTCATTCAAACTTTTTTGTCAACATGACTCGTTTAATGGCTTTGAATTTATCATCGAACAAAATATCAGCAATTAATCGAGACATGTTCAAATTCTTACCCAAGATAGAATTTTTATTTTTATCTAACAATACATGCACTTCAAAAAAATTTACAAATATAAAAGAAAGTAAAATTCCCAAAATTGAAAAGTCACTCGAGAAATGTTTCAACAATTATGATGAACTTTAAGCGAGTGATCCAATTCCAACCAATGAAATGTTAAACGATAGCACAACCATAAGTTATCAAGAAGTTTAGAAGATCATAAATATTTAACTGTTCTGACATCTCTTCACATATATTAATCTGAAATAAATATCCAAAGCAAGCAAATATTTTATTTTTAATTACAAACAATTTTTAAAAGCAAATTTTCAGCAATAATTGTTGTAATTACATTATTGAAACTTTATTAACTCTTACAAAATAATCAAAAAATTTATCGCCAACTTGAAAATGCGCTTCCACTAAAACCTGATTGTGGTGGAGGATTCTGAACTTGTTGAGTATTCTGAGCTAAACTGCCAAATAAGTTTCCACTTTCTTGTGAGCCTAATTGCTCGAACAGATTATTAGATTGAGTAGGACTCGCTTGTTGTCCAAAAATGTTCCCCTTTGGACTGCCGAAGGTTGCTTGCCCGCCAAATGTCGGCGCTTGTTGACCGAAAACTGAACTACTAGCTCCAAAGGCAGATTGAGTGTTATTGCTACTTAATCCACCACCAAAAGCAGAACTTCCACCAAAAACACTCGACGATCCGAATGGTGATGGTGCAGCAACTGCAGGAGTTCCACCAAAAATTGAACCTCCACTTTGTCCTCGACCCAAAGCAGATCCCGAAAATAAACTCTGATTTGAAGACTGATTTCCACCAAAAATAGATCCATCGCCAAAAGCACTTGTTGTTGCGCTATTGGCAGCTCCAAAAATACTCGACGATTGAGTTGTGCTTGGCGAAGAGAATGAAGATTGGGAGAAAAGCGATCCCGTTGATGGACTTGCACTTTCAATGCTTCCAAACAATGATTTCTGTTGTCCTAAAACATTTGCTTGTGTTGATGGAACTTCAACAGATCCAAAAATGCCACCAGACGAAGCTGGTTGAGCAGCAGCACCGCCAAAAATATTCCCCGGTTGAGTAACTTTAGGCGATGCACTTCCGAAAATATTTGAACTTTGAGTTGTTGCAGCGTTGGAGAAGAATCCAAAAGGTGGAGCTGATGACGTAGTTGATGTTGTTGAAGTTACTTGTGAGAAAACTGATTGATCAGGTTTCACCAAACTTGAGAAAAGCCCACTTGGAGGTGATGTGGCAGCTGCCGGTTTTGTTGTCTCAGGTTTTGCTAATGATAAACTTCCGAAAATCGAAGCAGTTGAATCACTGGAAGAACTCGTTGTCCCAACATTTGAGATAGTTGAAGTTGTTGATGAAGTCGATACTTGAGTTTCAAATGTTGATGTTTGCAAAGGATTCGACAAAGCTGATCCAAATGAAGCGCTACTAAATATGGACTTGGATTCAGTTTTAGGACTTGAACCACCAAAAATATTCGCTGGCGGTGATTGTGCAACAACTTTTTTTTCAATCTCAGGTGAACAAATATTGCTGAGTTGAAAAGCTGATTCGAGACTTGATTGTGTTGACAGATTATCTTTTGATTGAGAATGAGCTAAATTAGGAGCTGCTGTTGTTGTTGTTGTTTTTGCAGAATCGTCCACTGTTGTTGTTGATGATGATGGAGATGCAGTTATTGTTGATATATTAGCGAAAGAGAAGCTAAACAAAAAGAAAAATATTTTTAGGGGTTTTAGTTTTAGAGTTTTTTTAGAGTGTCACAAGTTTGTTGCAACATGTAACTTGATATTCATGCAACATGTGACAAAAAAGATGAAATGTTGCACTACATGTTGCATTGCTTATATGCAACAACATAATAATCATAAAATTAAACTTACTTTGATGAAGTATTAGAGGCACTTGTAGTTTCATTCGGTTTATTATTCGATTGAATGACAGAAAGTAAAGAATCAGAGCCACTACTTTTCGCTCCATTATCTGATGATGATCCAATGGTTGAAGCCAAAGCAGAAAAGGAAAAGTTTTGCGGTGAATTTTGAACTGTTTTGAAAGGTTCAACAGTTGGCTGTAAAATTTTAGGTTTTGTTGAGTCAGTGGATAAATTCAGGGAAAATCCTGATGAAATTCCTGAACTTGTCAATGGTTTTCCTGTTCCACCAAAGATTGATGTTGTTGAAAGCGGATTCGATGTAGGTAAAGCTGGGCTGCTTGTATTTTGTATTTCAAAAGGCTTTGAAGCGAAAGAGAAACCTTTTGAAGCACCAGCCATCGAAGTGTTTGACATGAATGATGGTACAGGTTGTGGTGTTGCAACAGGAGCTTTAAAAGTCACCACTGGCGTTTCATCCTTACTTTCTTCACTTGAATTTCCTTTCAAAGTGAAAGTTGTTGACAAATTTTTTTGTGGCTTCTGAGCTGCCACTTTGTTTGATAAAGGAATCGAAAATGTCGCTGAGACTGCAACATTTGTGCTGGAAATTGTCGATTGTGGTTTTGTATTTTCCGTTTCTGTATTAATCAAGGGACTTGCAAAGAACTTTGGTGGTTCTTCCTTCTTTTCAACATTTGATACGAGTTGAGTGCTGCTGAACCCGAAAGTAGGAGTTGAAGTTGATGTTTTTTCTTCAGATTTCTTAACATTCGTACCGAACATGAATTGATTTTTATCTTGTTGATTCGTCATCATTGTGAATGGGGAAGATTGTTGTTGCATTGCTGGTAAACCGAACGTTAATGGTTCATTCTTAGAAGTAGGCTTTGAAATTGCTGATGATAAAGAAAACTGAACAGGAGGCTTTGATGGTGGAATAAAATTTGAATTGTCTAGCGAAGGAATCGTTTCAAAACTCAAATTTTTCTTCAAAGACGCTTCTGGTGCTTTACTTTCGATATTCGTTGATGTTTGAACTTTGATTGGGTTTTTGTCTTGAGATTTATTTTCAACTTTTACTGGTTTCTGTTCTGCCATTTTTCGTTCTTTCAACACTTTCATCGCCTTCAATTTCTTTTCTTGAATTATTTCGGAATTTAATCCCAAAAGTTCTGGCCTTTTCGGCTTGATCACCACAACCTCACGATTCGCAAGTAAATTCCTTAAATTCTTTATTTTCTTTACTGTCAACTTTTCAGTTTCACTTTGGACTTGATCAGCAATCGACATTGAAATCATTGAATCAGAAAGCGCTTCAAATGATGGATTTAAAGTCGAAGAACTTGGCGATTGTTTCGTGAAGTTATCACGCAAGCCAAGTTTCGATTTCAACAAATTTAATTTGTCATTTTGACGGTAAATAATTTCTTGTTGCTTCGTCAGTGTTTGATAAAGTTCTTCTAAATTTGGATTGTGCATCCGATTTTTCTTATTCTTCTTAATCGCATCTTGATAATCTCCCCATTGTGCATTCATAAGTTGGACAGCAATCTGTATATGCATCTCACATTGTGACACTTCTTTCATTAATCTTTCAACAGCACGTTTTGTCTTTCGATCTTGAATTTGATTTGAATTCATAAACAAAGATTTTTCATTCGTCGCTTGATCGAGTTTTGCTTGAGCTTCGTAAAACATTGAAAACATTTCTGTTAAGCCAAGACGTGTCAACTGAACATCATTTCGTAATGAGCCGATATTTTCCGTTGCTTCTTTATTTAATTCTTCCAAAGCTTCAAGATTCTTTCTCATTTCAGCTGATTCTTCTCTTGTACCAATATTTGTTTTTAACGACCTAGAACGTTCCATCACACTCTTTAATTCAAGTTCAAAAGCTTGAATCTCGTCTTGAATCATTCGGTTATAGATTTGATCGTCTTCTGCTGTTGAAACATGTGCACTTACATTAATGTCTGGTTTTTGTTGAAGATTAACTTGAGGTTGAATTTGCATTGTTTGTGGAAGAGTTATCAAAGCACTTGGAGGTTTATAAACTGATGTTGTTGTAGCTGGTGGCGGTGGTGGTGCTGTTGTTGTTGTCATAGCTAATGAAGAAGTCAAATTAATCGCTGGAGCTGTGACATTTTGAAAAACAGAAGAAATATTTAATTTCGGAGTTGTCGTTGCAACAATTGGTGCTGCTGCTAATATTGGAAGATTCATGTTTGAAGTTGTCATCGGCATTATCTTTGGCACAGTTGGCGTTGAATGTCCAATTGGTTTCGTAAACATTGCATCAGCTTTGACTGGTGTTTTTAGTATTTCATTCTTTTGAAATTGATCGGGAGTTGTCGATGATAACTGCGGGACTTGAAATAATGACAAAGTTGCAGGATTTAAAGGACGTGGTGGTGAACAAATGTCGACGTATTCAGGTGTAGTATTGAGAATATAAAATGAACATAAAACACCGTAAGTTGACATGATATGAAGCATTGGCATGACAGGATATGAACTCATATCTTCTTGCAATAAACGTCCAGTGCATCCAATGTCGAGCTCTAAAGACATGGGAAAAGTTTCGCTTGTGTTTGGTGTTAATGGAAGTTCAGCTGGATAAGCGTCGTTGGGAAATTCTTGTGACCAAATAGGAAGATCGCCAGTTTGTGTGATTCTTAAGAAACTGATGTCAATCGCGTTGGCAGATGCAACAATTAAAATATTCCACTGCATGATGTGTTGAATGTAAATCTTGCTTGGACGAGTTTCTGATGATGTGTAACAAACATCGTTGTATGAAATGTATTGAGGTGGAGCGCCTTTTGGAGCATTGATGATATGAAAAACTGTAATGAAAAATAAATTTTAATTCAAAGTTTTTTGTTTGGTTTTTTCAATCAACTCACTTGGTCTTGAGCCTTGCTTGTGTTCTAAGAAAGCGACAGCAAATTGAAATGTTGATAACCATTGAATTGTAATGGTATCGAAACTTCCTGCCATGATGACTCCAGCAGGACATTCGATTGTCTTCGCTATTTTTAATTCTGGCGTAAATTGTTTCAACATTCCATTAGTGAATCCGACGACAATTTGTTTTCCTTTTGGTGACCAACAACAACATTTTGCTTTCAGATTTGGATCAATGCCATAGAAGGTGAATCCAGATTCCTTTAAAGTGAAAACATTCAAAAGGCCGCTCTCTGTACAAACAGCAAGAGTTGAATTTAATACAGGATTCCAACATAATTGAATGGCGTCAGAGTTGTCATTCGATAAACGAAATTCGTTGATTTTTTGAATATTCTGAAAAATAAATTTGCTTTACTATGATGAAAATTATAATAAATGAAAATCTTACCGGTGTCAGAAAAGATGCGACCGAGTAAAGTTGAATATGAGGAACTCCATTAAGTTTTACAGCAACTGCTAGAATTGAGCTATCGCAATTAGTGGCAATATGAATAGTTCGTGAAGGAAGAGGAACTTTTCGAAGAGGTGGAGTAACTTCTGCATTTGCAGCCTCCAAATCTTTTAACAACGAAACAATCAATTCCGGATTTGTTGATCCGGCGAATACTAATCCATGACAACTGGCACTTGCCACAATGTTAGATGATGTATTTTGAAAATCATCATTAGAAACATTAAAGAATTGAGCCTTCTTTTGCAAACGAAACGAAATATTCTGTAAAGAATTCGCAAATTTTAATTTCAAAATATTCTAATAGAAATCAAATTAAAATTTACCAAATTATCTTTGCCTACTGAGCCTTGCAAAGCCATTATGAAGTATGTTCGATGGTTGTTACTTGATGGATAATATTCGTTAGCAATTCACCGTTTCAGTGTTTGTTATTTTGTCTAATTTTGATACTTTTATTTTAAATGCTTTATGCTGAACAACATTCGCGGTTTGAAGTCACATGAAACTCTCCAAAATTTGGAGAGATTGCAACAGTCCGACATGAATTATCTTGTACGCAATATTTATAAAATATTGTTAGCATCGCGAGCTTATTATTTGGGCGCGAAAAACTTTTAATCATTTAGGTATTTAGAGAAAAAAATTAAAACTCATAAATAAAGAGTGAAATAATCCTTTTAAAGGCAATTAATAATACAAATATTAAACATAAATTCATTTTAAAGCTTTAGATAAGTTATATATTGGAGTTTTAAGTTTAAAGATGAGTGAATTATCAAAGAAAAAAATGAAGCAGCTTCGTCTTCCTTTTGAGAAACTTTCTGCAACCCCGCAATCTGACATTAATTCGTCTCCAAAATTGGTAGTGCCTTCACGAAAGCGTAAGATTTCTACGAGTCAAGATAACAATGAGATCATTAAATTAAAAATCGATGAAGCAATTGAATCAAAAGAAAATTTTGCAACAGAAGTTAAAGAATGTCTTGAAGAGAGCATGGACATTATAGAATGTTCTGATGATGACGATAAGGAATTGTGTGAAACTAATCCGATTCAATCAAATTCTCCAAAAGATGCTCCTTTACACATTATTCTTCCATCATGCAGCAAATATAAGAAAAAGATAATTTCAGAGAAACATTCAAAGAAATCTGCGGAAGATGATGAGGATGACGACTCCGTTGTTTATCTAGATGAAGAATTAATTTTATCAAATTGGAAGAAAATCAATCATCACAAAACTAGAAAGAGCAATGAAATGAAGATTTCTGTCAGTGATACTGAAAATCATAACAACGACGTGATTTCAGATGGAAAGTTGGAATATGATCATCAAGACGTTCCTAAAATAACCGAGGAGGATAAAAGCATGAGTGAAAATGAAATGGAAGTTGCAAGCGAAGAACAGAAAGATTCAGGAGTTAAATTCAATTCAGAAATCATCAATGAAAGCAAAAGTTTCGATCAAGAAGAAAAGAAAAGTTTTCACACGGTTCCATCGAGTGTTCTTCAAGCTGAAACTCTCGATCCAGAAACGATTCATGATGAAATAGTTGATATTTTAAGTGATAATTCGGATTCTTTGGAATATAATAAAAGTTCTACTGAAATTGGAAATGATGGAAAACTTGTTAAAACAAAAAGCAACACAATTAATTTAACACCAAAACAAATTGCTCGTAGACAAGAACAAGAAGCAAGACGTTTGGAAAAGGAAGCTCAACGCCAAAAAGAGCGTGAGTTGAAGGAGCAACAACGTTTAAAAGAAAAGGAGCAACGAGAAGAAGCAAAGCGAAGGGAAAAGGAAGAAAAAGAAGAAGCTAGAAAAAAGGAGAAGGAAGAACGTGATCGGAAGCGTCAGGTAAGTCATCAATTAAATTAATTAAATCAACAAATGTTTAAGAAAATTTTCCCTTTTAGGCTGAACAAGATAAGAAAGATGAAGAAAAACGTTTGAAGGAAGAGGAAAGAAAGCGAATTGCCGATCAACGTGAAGAGGAAAAACGCCAAAAAGAAGAAGAACGAAAAGTAAATCAAAATATTTTCAAGTTATCACTTTTGATTAATTTATTTCCCAATATTAACAGCGACAAAATGAAATGCGTGAAGAAGAAAAACAAAAGCGTGAAGAAGTCCAAAAGAAAAAGGAAATTGAAGAGCAAAACCGAAAGAAACGAGCGGCAGAAGCTTTCTCAAAGTTCTTCGTTCTTAAGAAAAAATCTGACTCAGTCAACGCTGATGATGAAAACGCATTAAAAGATGAGAAAAATGTCGAGAATGGAGAAACTTTAACAGTTTCCAAAGGAAATTTCATGCCTTTTCAAGTTCGTGAGAGGATGAAGGTCGCTCCTTGTGTTCGACGGCAAATGGATAAGAAACAGTTGAGTGAATTAGACAAACTGTTAAATTCTCATCAATCAGTTAATGAGCTGTATCTGAAAACACTTAAAAGTGGCGATCATAAACCTTTGCGATCATCAAAGACATGGCCATTGATTGACAAAGAAGAAGACGACGTTTTGTTAATTGGTTTGTTGAAATAAATAAAAAATAAAACTTCATAAGCAAAGTTTTTCTTTTTCAGATGAGCTTGAAGGTGCAGGCGAAGATATTTCAATCAATGAAGTTAAAATGACAATGAAATATCGATCAAAATATTTAAGATTTGCTGAGAATCGTCGACCTGCTTATTATGGAACTTGGCGGAAGAAGTCATCAAATGTATCAGCACGTCGACCATTTGGAAAAGATGTAAGAAAATTTATTTTAATCTTCACTTTCATTAATTTATTCATAATTTTATTCTGCAGACATTCTTTGACTATGAAATCGATTCTGATGAAGAATGGGAAGAAGAAGAACCGGGAGAATCAATTCATGGAAGTGAAAGTGAGAAGGATAAAGAAGAGAAAGAGGAAGAAGACGATTATGAAGTTGATAATGATTTCTTCGTTCCTCATGGTCATCTGAGTGATGAGGAAGTTGATGATGGTGAAATTGATAACCATCCTGAAACACAAAAAGCAAAGTTGAAAATCTTACAACAAGAATTTGCTGCTGAAATGAAGAAGAAAACTGAGAAGATTAAGCCACGTCTTATCGGTTGTATTTGGATGAATGGCGATGAAGATGAACACGGATGTTCCAGGAAAGGACAAGATTCGGAAAAGAAGTATCATTGCAGTGACATAATTTGGCGAATTTTGAAAGCACGTGAAATGATGACAAGCGAAGAAGGAGTCAAATTGGAAGCTGATCTTGAACCGGAAATTATCGAACAAGATGAAGAAGAAGTTCAAAAACCTCTAGCACCACAAAAATCACAAATGAGTGTGAAATTCACAGAGTCAAGTGTAAAAGAATTGATTAAATTAATTCACGGTAATAATAACAACAAAATTTTTCTAATACGCGAATTCCAAGCTTATCGCTTAAAGAATTATCATAAGAACGCCGACTTTCAAGAGTACTCAATGAAAACTGTGGAAGAGAAAATGATGAACATTGCGGATTATAAAACTTGTCCAATTGAGGGTGCGATGTTTGGGAAGAAATGCTGGTTAGTGAAAAATGAAGTTTTAAAGGAATATTTTGGTGATGAATCTCCAGCATTGCCAAACGATTGGAGTTATATCTTAGAGAAAAAATCAACAAAAAGGAAGCAGAAGACACAACAGCAAGCTGAAGTAGTTAAAGAATCTTCGCCACCTAAACTAGAAACTCAAAAAGGAAAAGAAACTTCTGAAACTTCACAACCAATTATCAAGAAACGTGTGCAACTCCTGATGAGTGTTCCCAGAGGACAAGCCTTTCCATCGTCAGTCAAAAATGCTTTAATGACACAATTCATAAACACTAAAGATGAATCAACTGATAAAAATGTCGAGAAGTTAGAAGAAAAAAATGAATAATTGTCTTTCGTTAAATGATAATTTGATTATTGTTTTGCTTGCAGGTTTTAAACAGGAATAAAATGAAATCACTCGAAAATTCTGTTCACTAAATTTTTAAAAGCCCAAATAAATACTAATGAAATGATAATAAAGGAAGAATAATAATCAACTTTGTTAAACAGTTTTTCAGTTGCTGAACTTTTTGCAGTTTTAAACTATTTTTTCCTAGCTAACAAATTGTCTCGTTCAAGAATAAATAAAACAACATACGAAATGCTGAAATTATGAGAAAATCTTCTCAGAAATATTAAAGAGAAGTAACAAACACTGAATCATTTTCCTTTTAATCTTTTATTGTATCATAATAATTTCATTAAGATTAATATAAATATAATAAATTAATAAGAGAAAATCTTTTTAAATTAAGTAATGGAAAATGAATGAAAGAACTTAGAAAAAATTAAAAACTGTCCATCAAAACATTCAACATTTCTTACTGTTCTTTTGTCTTTAATGATTTAAATTTGTTGAATGTTTTAAATTTTATAAATTAAAAAAGCCGTAATTTGATATTACATTTAAAAGCATTTTGTGCATTCCGAACAATAATTGATCATCATTTTTGATTCTGCTTGGAAGTTTTTGCGTTGTCTCATAAGTATATTGGATTCTTCTTTTGAGCATTGCTGATACATGACCATCGCCTTCTTTATGATGATGTTTCGGTAATTTTCGTTTAGCATGTTCCATTCGCCGCAATCATAAATTTTTTCAAAATTTCTGTAAGAAATGAAAAACGTTTTTAAGTTAAAAATCATTTTAATTTCTTAAGAGTACAGCAACATACTTTACGAGAGTTATGAGACTTTGATTATGCAAACTTCCTGATGTTGACGTCAGCATTTTCATTTTCCCCATCAGAAACTTGATGGAGTTTTTAAATTTTTGTGTTCCCTTCAATTCATCGAAGTTGCTATAATTAAAACAGATAAATAAAAGAATTAGTAAACACTTAAGGAATAATAAAAAAGTTAAACTTACTCAATAATTATGTCAAAGCATTTATATTCAAGATCGAAAATATATTTGGGATCTTGTGACAGATTAAATGCTTCGAAAACGTTGTCCGCTGTCAGCTGTGATATTATTTTATGAGCACACACGGAAGCCAATATGCTCAATCGATTCACTCTCGCCGCTTGAAACATTTCGGGATCGTCGAGGATATCCTTGTCGATTTCTCCAAACAAAAAATATTTGATAACCTCCAGAGTCACTTTTGAGTTGAAATCCGATTTGGCAAACATATGATGACGAAACATCTTCTTGAAATGTTTGCTCAACTCCTTTAAACTTCCTTCACAAATTCTGAATGTCACGTAATAGTCACATTTAGATTTCTTTGCAAAAAGAAGGTAATGACTCGAATCACATTTGGCATTCGCATCAGATTTCGATTTACACTCATCCAATCCAAGGAAAATCTCACTACGATCTTCGTTGTATGAAATAAATCCGGAAGACAGGCACGTCATTCTTGAACACTTTTGTTTAATGTTTTTTCAAATTAATTTTCACTTCAAACTTCTTTTAATCTGAAACTTTCTTCAACACTTTTTTTAAAGGTTATTCAATTATATTTTAGAGAATAAAATTCTTGAGTGTGCGACTTGCTTCACTAAACTTTGGTAACTGATGAAATTTATCATTTGTGTTTGTCATTCTCTTTCTTCAACATCTTAGAAGATTTCGGTTTTAAGAATATTGACTTGTTTAATTATTTTATTACATAAGTTCAGATTATACTACCTGGACATTAACATTTTACGATTTTGATCCTTTTTTGCTAGGATAATTTTCATCATAGACACAAAATTATCTGTTTCTCTACCTTTTTATGATATTTAGAAGAGAAAGGCGACACCTTTTGTAACATTATGGAATATCCAGTGAATTGCGGGTCGTAAACGTTTCATCTCCGTTCTTACATGAAGAAATTGCAAGTTGCAGCTGAAATTCTGAAAAATGATTATAGAAACTTCAAACACGTGTCATTGTAAGTGCGCATTTTCTAAAATATTTAAAAGTTAAAGCCAAGTTTAATTTAACTAAATCAATTAAAAAACTTTTTTTAATTCATTTATTAGCAAACAATTGAAAGATGAATGAAAAACAGAAATAGAAAAAAACGATCATGGTGACGCAAATAAAAAAGTTATCATTTAAGGTCAAGATTAATTTATTGCCGAATACTTGGAGCCCTGCTTCAAATACAAAAACATAAAAAAATTCTAATCTCTGAAAAATGTATAAAAATGTTCATTAAATCTTTAATTTAATCAGTTGTCAGTTGAGTTTACGAACAATCAGTTGAAATGTGGTAAATTGAGTCATTCAATGATGTAATGTAACTAATATAATAAATATTTAATTGTCTCAGCAAAATATTGTCATTGCTCGGTTATTTGCTGATTGTTTTAAGTGTCACATCTGTTTTGGGAGATGAAAATTTAACATGCAAAATAGGAGAAACATTTTGGACAACGTGTACATTAAACGGGCCGATACTTGAGAAAGGAAGAACAATTATTCCTGTACGAAATGAAGTTCAAGGCTTATTCATTGAAGACGACGAAAGCGTAAAATATTTGCCTGATAACGTTTCAACAGTTTTTCCTAAATTAACAAGTTACGAAGTCAGAAGATGTTCAGTCGCTGACATTCATAAATCGAATTTCAATGGATTGTCGAATTTAATAAAACTAAGTTTATTGAGCAATCAAATAGAAAGGATCGAAGCCGATGTTTTCGACGATTTAGTTGAATTGGAAACTTTGAACCTAGGTTAACAATATGAATTCGTCTAATGAAAATATTTTAAATGTTTTAATATTTATTCTTGACAGTTGGCAACAAAATTAAGCACATTAATGTGGGTGCTTTTAAGAATTTAAAGGAACTAAAAAATTTATTTTTGGTTTATAATCAATTGGAGGAATTGAATGATGAATTATTCAGAAATCTGACTTCATTGTATGTCCTCAGTTTGGGTAATTCGCTCTCTCTACATAACATGAAACATAATTTTAATAATTTTATTATTTCTATCCAGGATTCAACTCAATGAAATCAATCAACAATTCATTCGATGGACTAAGAACACTGAACCATTTGGATTTAATAGGAAATCAATTGGAAAAGTTGGAAAAAGACTGCTTCAAAAACTTGGAGACGTTGAAATATTTGACACTCTGTAAGTCTTGAATAATGCTCTACGAAACATAAATCAAATTAAAATTTCTTTCAACAGCATCTAATTTAATAACGGAAGTTGATGAAAATGCCTTCACTGGATTGAGTAATTTATACTCATTGGATTTAAGTCACAATCAGTTGGTGGGAGGAATGGATCACGCTATGTTTAAAGCTTTATCTCACTTGCATATTTTGAAAATGAGTAAGTCAGTGGTTCTGCTACGAGTCTATTTTACTGCTACATATTAATATTGAAATTATAAATTAAATATTTAAAAACATTTTGACTTTATTTTCACAGCAAACAACTCAATTAAACATATTAACGCGAGTGCTTTTAATGGAATTGGCGAATTAAAAACTTTGATTTTAGATCACAACCAAATAGAAAAGTTGGATCATGTTGTGTTAACACAATTGACAAATTTAACTTATCTTTATATGGGTGAATTTGAAGTTAAATCATTTAAGATTTAATCATTTAATAAATTCTCTTCGATCATTACAGCAAACAATTCTATTACTGATGTCGATGCCAAATTTTTCGCCGAACGGTCGAAATTCTTCCCCAACCTTAAGGAGGTTGATTTAACATCAAATATTTCTATTAACAAAATGTTTGTCCTAGAAGATTTAATATCATTGGAAGGACTCATAAAATGCAGATGTGAGAAAATTGCAGACTCGAATGATGTTTCAATTGATGAATGTCAGATTAATGAATTCAAAGAAGAAATGTTGGCAAAATTTTCCGAGTTAGAACAACAGTTACATTTTTGTCGTTCTACAATCTAAGATTGATAATTAAAATGCTTTCAAGGAAATTTGTGA